GACATTGATGATGGGGCAAACCCATATAATCAAAGTAGGGAGAGTCAGAGTCAGGGCTTAGTGGCTGGCAATCAGTCAGTCGGTCCGTCAATCAAGCGGCTATATATAGTCTAAAAACTGCATTCACACACACTTGTGCAGCGAGAGCGAGAGGGCTGCTTTAGGGGAGAGAGAGATGGCGCACAAGTTGACCTGTCAAGTTCATGCGATATTCATTCCATTCAATTGAAGTCTCATCGCAGGAACAATTGAAAGCAAAAATCTCGAAAATAATCCGGGCCAAAAATGACACTACATAAACGAATATAAACCCTGATTCTCAATACCTTTATCGCGAATTGCAATACTCAAAAAAATCTTATCTTATTTAAAGTATCTTTAAGATTAAATCGACAATTCTGCGAACTTCTCACTTCTGATTGATTTTTAACCCTTTGACGTTCGTTAATGCCCCTCCCGATTTCCCCTTGAAAAGGTTTTCGGCATCTGCAGGGCTTCCGTTTTTGGTAAATGCCTTTTTTGGCTTCTTCAATTTAAATTTCATTTCCCGTATTTTTCTGTAGTGAAGGGTTAACTCTTGAAGCCAACTGTCGCCTTTAGGGTTATCAAAAGGGTTTGGTTACTCCTGTTTTTTGTGTTTGCTTACACTTGTAAATATTTCACGTGCTCTTACTAGTTCTACCCGCCTACGTTCTGCGTTTCAGCTCCCAAAAATGAAACCAGGGGAACTAGTCAGACACATGATGGCTCTCCCTCGTTTTGCTTACTTTTGTTTTTTATTTTTAATTGAAATTCTGTGGAATGCCATAAGTTGGAACACTTGCATCGTAACCTGGCACTCGTATTGCCTGCATTTACTTGGTGGTCCCAGCACAAAAGGGCGATTCGAGAAAGGAAATAAAAGACAGAGGATGGGTTACGTTACGCATACGCCACGTTGTGCAACCGCGCGTTTGATTCGCCACTTTAGGTTCAAATTTGCGCTACCTGAAGGCAAAACAAACATTCCTTGAAGAGGAATTTGTTTGTCTTGGCCCATCGATACAGTACGCATAAGTATTTGTTTTTTCTTTTAAGGGCTTTCCGATATTATGCTAAGAGTTTTCAACTTATTGCTCTTAATGAAATAAATTCGCTTTAATATGAGCTCGGCCACCTTGTTATCTTCGGATGAGCTCATCTCGACTCGCCATATCCCTAATTGCCCTTTGACCACACTTGAGCCTTCACCCACAAACAAGTGTGGTTGCCAGTTACGTTGCACCATCATGTTTCTCTTCTTCGGATTCACCGTGTTCCGAAGCCAACTAATTAGCCCTTGGCTCAGGCGGGAAATGCAAATAGATGGGTTTTTATAATGCGTTCCTTAATTGCAATGGCTAAGGGAGACAGGACTGACTATGAAGTAATTTAAAGATGTGCTAAAAACGTGGAAGCAATTGAGATGACACAACAAATCATAAACAAAAAAATCCAAAATAATTACAAAAAGTGTAGAATTGGCTATGCATTGCCTCTGCATTATTTGGGCAGAGCCGTTGAAATGTTTAAGGGGTTGGAAAGTTGAAGGAAAAGTCCTGTAGAAGTCATGAGCCGGGCTCCTTGCCCAAGCCAGTTTTCCGTCGCTCTCTTCTTCACTGTCTCTCTCTCTCTCTCTCTCTCTCTCGTCCTCAGTCGCTCTCCGCTACTTTGTATCAACATGTTGCCGCAACAAATTGTTGCACTGTTATTGTTAAGCCCGGTATTTCTCTTCCAAAGTTGCCCTCTTCTTTCTGCGCCGTCGCTTTTGACCATTTGTCTTCCGGTTTTTTCCATTTGCCGCTTGTTGGCTCTGCTTATTCCTCTCTTGCTGATACCCTTTTAAGTTTGATTTGAAAATAGCAACCCATTTTTCTTTTTAGTAAATTAAAAATCCATTTAACCGGTAATGATCCAAGGGAATACAATGAAGTTTTACATTATTTTTGGCATTGCGGCGAGGTGGCAGTTAGCAGGTCCTCGAAGGTTTATTATTATTATTTTTATTTGCGAATAGAGAGACTCCACAATTTAATATGAGCTTTTTAGTGTTTTCTTTATTATGCTATTTGTATGGACTTTCAATGTGGTTATCCAGCTTCTACGCAATCTTCCTCTGTCTGCGCACTCACACACCGTCGCCCTAGCATCCTGGAATCGCACCTGCGCCTTGTTTTTTGCGTCGCATTTTCCCTAATTGCCGCTCTCTCTCATTTCAGTCATCCTGTTTGGGTCTCTTTGGCGTTTGCTCCGCTCACCCGGTTTTCAGCAAGCTCCCTCTCTCTTGGCGCCCCTTCCCTCTCCCTTATTTTCAAACGCCCACGCTGTTTTCTCTGTTGTTTCTCTGCACTGGTGCGCTTGTGTATGTATCGAACTCCAATTACAGTTTATCCCGTCTCCCCTTTCATCTTCCTCTTTGGACTTGATTTCCGTTTGGGCCGTCATGCACTTTGAACTCTTTCCTTTTGCGCATTGCACATGCCCCTTATTATTACTTAGGCCCCCCTGGACATCCTGCTTCATCCTTTCTCTTCATCGGCGTCTTCGTAGCTTCTGAAGAAAACAAGAAACACCAGAAGGACGAAACAAGAGGCCGAAGAATTACAGGTTGGGTGAGGAGAATTCCACAGCAAGTAAACTAGTTTTAGGACCTTTTCTTTTCCTAATCCAAGTAAGGCCAGTTGAAGGTATCAGAAACAGTAGGAAAAAATCAAGGCGTGTGTTTTAGTTCGTCTTCTTTTCTATCTGATTCACTTTATCGAGGCCTTACTTCTCCTCATTCATTCATTTATTCTTGAGACGTGCGTACGTATGTACGTACATATCTGTGTACTTCCTTATCGACAGCCCTCTTGGAAAGAGGAATAAAAGGAGAAAAAGCATGTAATTAAAACAAGTATTGAGTTTTATATTTTTAATTATATAAGTTAAAACAAAATATAAAAATATTCTTATAGAAGCTCATTATCCCCGTTCCTTGCTTAGTCTTACCAGGCGATCCGCGAGGCTTGCAGTGCGGCGTGTCTTCTGAATGGAAGGTTGTGTTGTGGCTTTATGGTAGTTGTGGGTTCTAGGGTTTTAGTTCTGTGGGCTTGCAGAATGGTTTCCATGTGGGTCTTGTTTCCTAAATATAGGGGAACACACACTATGACAAACAAACTGATAATCCAGTATTAAAGAACTATTATGTATTATTCATTATAATAATGATAGTGATTTTATAATCCATAATTTAATTTTGGATTGCAATTATTATAATTTATTTCAAACGGGGTTTGGAAATTCAAGTTAAAATCGGAAGTGTTCATAATCCCGAGGCTACCATGAACATTAATTTCCACATTGTAAGTTTTGACCTAGAAATGAGAGCGCGCAGAACAGACAGAACAAATCTCACATGATAAAGAGGAGGTGATAAAAGGGGAAGTGCAGGAGGAAAAGGGAGTGGAGCCAAACGCAGAGACCCAAAAAAGTACAATGAACCCTCGGCCAATGGTGTTGTTGTTGCTGCTGGTGCGCCTGCAACAGTGTTGCTGCCCCGCCCACTCCGCCGCCCCCTTGCCACGCCACCCTCTTCGCCTCACTCTTGACAGCTTCTTACAGAAGGCAAAACGAAAAAATTATGAAAACAAACAATTTGTTGGGGCGATGTTGCTGCTGTGCGCGACGATGTTGCTGTTGAAGCACGCTGCAACTTTTGCCCGGGGGCCAGGTTTTTTGGGCAGAAAGCTGGCCATGCATATCAAAACAAGTTCCGTTCCACACAAATGCCAGCACGTTTCGAAATTGCCGACGTCGACGCATTATAACAATAACAAAAGCCCCAACAGACACGGCAGCAGCATGACCGAGCAAACAATTTGGAGTCCAGCAAAACTACAGTAGATCTTCCGAGCTACAAATGTATGTATGTACACGGGCTTTAAAATGAATGACACCTTTGAAAGGGACAGGGCGGGGTGCACCGACCATTAGGCTTACATTAAACGTTTTTTCGTAGTGCTCCATGTCTTACTTGAAAGTAGTGGGTGCTAAATGCTTCCCATTTAGCCAAGGAACACTGTACATGAGCATGAAACAGTGCATAAACAGTGACAGCGACGCCGACTGCGACCGAGATAGATGCTGTGGCTTGGTCAAACGGGCGAAGGGGGCGGCCAAGGAAAAAGGGTGTGAAGAGGAGGCGGTAGAAAAGAGCGGAAAAGTTTCCGTAGACGAAACAATGACGCAGCAACAGCGGCAAAATGCGAACGAGAGTCACAACGAAAATACAAAAGAGAATGTCGAGCCCCGGAGAGCGAAAAAAAGAAGAGAACTTGTGCAGCATCTTAAGGTGATCCTTTTTGTGATTTTAATGCATATGTATGAAATTATGTACATATTCTATTCAAATAGTGAATACAATTTATATTAAAGTAGAAAAATATTTCAGTTGGTTGTTTCTGGTCCACCCGATAAACCGACATTTACATGCTGTTGTTATTATTGTTATTTTTTTCGTGTTTCGCTATGCACACGCGCAAGAAAAGGCAACAGCAACAAACGGACAAACAAAACAACAACACCTACATTCTGACATCCAAACAGGCGTGCTGGCCGACAATTGTGGTCGCTAAAATAGTGACAAATATTTTAGTTATACCTTTTTGAAGTGTTACACATTAAATAATTATAAAATTGGTGCAAACCGCATCTTCTGCAATCCCTAACGAACGAATTGAGTCTTTGTATCTTATTTTAAACAGTGCCGTAATATCTTGGTCGCTGCTGTTTTTGCATACGCGTCACGTGCGCTCTTCTCTCGCCTCTTTTTTTTTGTCCCTCTCTTGCGCCTTTCTCTCTCACGGTTTCCCTCTTCGCTCTCTTCTGGTTGCACTCGTGTGTGCGTTTGGCGAATGCTACGACTGCGGCTCGAGCAGCGACTGCGGCAGAGGCAGAGGCAGCGCAGTCGGACTTGCAAAGTTGAAGTTAAAATTGAGCGGCCGCATTTACTTTGCTTCTGTCATTGCATTCGGGGTTTAGGATCACAAGAACCAGAAACGAGGAACGGGACTAAGGAAAACCAAAAACACAAAAAAAACCGAAACAGCTCAAATAGAAAACTAGTAAAATTAAAATACAACGCGGATATATTTTTTTACGTTTAAGTGCAACTACAAAACGAAAAAGCTGAAACAAAAGAAATATAAGATGGAGCAGTAGCAGAGTGCGTAATAATTCTAACGGTAAATAGCAAGCAAAATTTCTCGGTGTAAAGTGCAAACGAAGAGTTTTCTGCGAGTCGTATTGTTTTTTCATTGGCTTTGCAGCTAATTTTCGTGTATCTTATTTTTGACGTACATATGTATATGTTTGCTTTGTTATTGTGCTGATATTGTTTGCTCTGCATTTATATTTTAAAGTGATTTTTTTTACTATGTGTCTCTCTATTAAGATGCTATTTATATTTTCAAAGCTCGAATTCGCTTCACTATATATTGCATTAATTTTGTGTTCGATGCATTTTATTTTAATTTATTTGCACTCATTTTGTGGCTATGTATACTGTATAAGTTAATTTGGGTTTTTTTTTTTCGGTTTTATAAAAGTGCTCTGGGTATCTAATTTTTCTCCCAATTATTCCTTTATTTTTAATTTGCATTATTATAATATCGATTTTCCCTTCGTGTAATGTACTTATTGTGCAAATACATATGTACTGTTTTCTTTGTTTTGTTTAGGTGATTTTTTTTTGTTAATATAGCCGTTCTTTAGCTTTTTATGTTGTTTTGCTTTGGCTTTGTTTTTAGCATGTGCCCTTTTTTCTTAAGCGAGTGAGAGAGAGGGTGGGGTTTTCTTTTGTTATTTTTTTTTCTTGTTTTCTCCATGCCATCTGCCATGCACAAAAACATAACAAAAACAAGAACAATTTCACAGTGGAGCGCGTGCTTTTTTCTGCTGTCCCGCTAGCCACGCCATTCGCCCACACACAAGCGCAGTCGATAATTACGGCTCTCTTTGCCGTTCTCTTTTGTGGGGGCAGCTCTTACTGTCTGCACTGCGCTCCCTCTGCTGCCATAGCCTTTGTCCAAGCGCTTGGCGTTCCCCTCATTTAACGTTTTTTAGCCGTAGCGTGCGCGTCGCTGTCGCAGTCGCCGTCGCCACAGACGTCACACTTTGAAAGTTGCGTCAGTTGAAAAAAGCTTAACAAATTATTATTTATACGAAAATAAGGCAACCAAGTTTAAAGGCAATTGTTTTTTTTTTCTTTAAAGTTTCTTAGAGTGCGTCGCTAAAATTAAAAAAGTAGGTGGAAACAACAAATTAAAAAAACATATATGTTATATCGTTGATAGTGCTACTTCGTCAGCTTTTTATACAAACTTTTTGAGTGATGCGTTTGTATGTGTGAATGTGTTTGCTTTGGTACATCCTAAATTAAAATGAATAAACAAAATCATAATGACTTTAAAAAATATTACACAGAATTCTGCGAATTAATAACTTATTACTTTGTACATTGATAATAGTTTTGAAATCTACAAACGTTAAAAACAAACAAAAATTAGGATTTAAAAATTTCAACAAAAAAATGTATAAATTCACGCACTGGCGAATTTTCTATCTCATTTTGAGCTATTTTTAAACGGGCATAAAGGATTTTTTTTATTTTCTTGCACGCTTCATCACTCTTCATTTTAAAATAAGCCACAAAAACACAACAAAAACCAACAACAGAAAGGAAATGCAAAGAAAGAAAGTGCGTCAAATGTAGAAGAGAGCGGTAAAGAGAAAACGTATGAAAATGGCAAAAGAGAGCTTTAAAATTCACAAAGAAAAAATATGCTGTAATGCTTTTTGGGTTTATTATTTTTTGCTTTTTTTGTTTTTTTCCTGTGTTTTTTTTCACATAAATAGTATGCCTTATTATTATTATTTATGCCAGCGAGGAATGCTATGCATGTATTAAGTGATTTATCTACGACAGGATTAAATTTCATTAGGATCTCAGAATTCAGATCTTTATATTACTCAATCTCAAAAGATCAAATCAGCCTCATAAATTTAAACTTTTGCTACCTGTTTGATTTTTAAATTTCGACTTTTAAGATTCAGTCGATTGTTTAATTGTGATCAGTATGTCGTCTGTGCAGCAACCCATTTTCGAGTCCTTTTTCGATTTTGTGCTGTGAAGGTTTCCCTAAATGTTCTAACATTCGCCTAAGATTTTATTGAAAGCAAAAAACCGAATTTTTCGGTGATTAAAGGAATAATAATCTCAACTTTTGTTAGTGTTTATTGGTTTTGTGTGGAGCTGTCGTTCTTTGGTTTCTTTCACACGCTGGCCAAGAAAGTTGGCAAGCAAAACTCTGGCGACCCTTACGGATACTTTGAGAAATATGATGACGACCCTGGGTCCTTGAAAGGCGACCCTTGGGGTGGAATTTCTCTCCATGGCCCACTCGCTTCGGCTTATTTTCGGTTCCTTTTTGGGTCGATTTCTGTTTTCCGTACGATATTTGCAAATATGTACATATATTTTTTTGAATTGAATTCTCGTGTTCCTTAAAGTTTTTGATGGATTGTGAGGTTGCGTAGGTGCCTCAGTCACTTGCATTTATTTTATCTCGCTAGTAGTGTCATTCAAAAGGATTTTGATTTGAAATTACCCAAAACCGGCAACGCGCCGCAGTGGTTTCCTCCTATATTGCAACTTCGTCCTTCCAAGCGCTATTGTTTTTGGCTCATTGCTCTTACACATCTCAATGAACAATTCCCCCGTAAAACAAGTCAATTGCGGGGGGAAAGAGAACGGATCCATTTTAACAAGAACGTCTGTATTCTTTAACAAGTTATTAACCCAATCAATTTATTTTGCAATTCAGAAAATATCCTATGTAACCAATAGCATCTTCAGAAAACAACCGTTTTTGAAACCCAAAAAATAACAGTTTGTTAACAATATCTTTGCTCGAGATTGTACTTTGTAATGTTCAATTCTTGTATTATATTACTCGCTGACCCTGAACAAGTAATACCTCTTTAATGATGATAGTAGCGGGAACGTGTTTAATGTCAAGGTAGTGCCTTTCAATGGACTCTAGGTTGAACCGCAAAGCTCTCTCCGATTAATTTCACCCTTCGGGGAGAGTATAAGAAACGAAAGAGAGCAGCTGCAATAAGGCCGGCTGCAATCCCTATAGGCGTCTCTTTCTGGCGCTCGACCCTTGACCTTTTCCATAAATTATGACAACAACAAGAAAGAAAATGCAACATTATTTTCTCTTAATATTTTCGCCGCTCAGTTGAATGCCCTTACAACACCAGAGCGCACACATGAAGAACCAGCAGCTGACGACAGATGGAAAGGAAAAATAAGGGCATGAGGGGAAAGGACGGGTAAAGAGAGAGGGGGCAGGGCAAGGGGAAGCACAGCCTGCGCGCACGCGCTTTTTCTCTTTTTTTTTTTTTTAGCGAGCAAGAAGTGTTAGAAGTTTAAAAAGGAAGGATTAGATATTTATTTCTTAGATATTTTATAATCATGTTTCAATATATCCAAACTCGAAAAATTAATAGCAAAAAACCCATTTATTATCTCATTCCAGTCTAAACAAATAGTGATCCCCGAAATAAATACTGCAACCATACATATATAAAATAGTAACAGCAAGCAAGAACCACCGAAAAACCAAAACAATAAAAGCAATATTAACTCACAAACAACCTAAAGGAGAATTGAACATCCTTCACAATCAAAAATAAAAGAAAAAGACGGCATTCAATAACAAATAACTCCAAGAACCAGAAACTGAACCAACACTGTTTTAAATTAACTTCAACAATCGTTTTCAACAGCAAAAAACAATAGCTTGAATTGAATTAATTTTGATTTGATCAACGTCATAGTGTCAAAGAAGTTCAACAAGGATTTTCACAATAAATGTTAACGTGTCGCGGTTAAAATCTGGGTCTGTCCTGATCTCTCGCGTGTACTTGCCCCATTTCGCGTTATCGTACGAGTGCCCCCTTTTTTAAGCATATTTGTTCGGTGTTACGTGTTCGTCCTTGCCAACTGTGAGTGTGTCTGTGTGCGAGCGAGGGAGTCCGCTGATTGTGTATGCCATGTCAGGGAAAGATGGCATTATGGCGCTCATCCGGGCGGCTGCATATCTCGACGAGAAGCCCCCGCAGACGGCCAAGAGCCACTTCTCCATTATCAACAACAACAGCAGCCAGCATAATAGGAATAACAGTAGTAGCAGTAACGGCATCATTGCAACGCCGCCGTACACGAACGGAAACGGCAACGGCAACGGGAGCGTCGGCGTCGGCGTCGGCATCGGCATCGGTACCGTGAACGCGAACGCAAGCGTTACCGTCAGTGCGAGCGAGAACGGGAATGGGCTGAGCAGCGGCAACGGGCACAGCAGCCCGCGTAGTCAATTAGCTGCGTGGCATGATTACGAGTTCAACGCAGTTGGGAGCGCAGTCGCCAACGGGCAAAGAGAAGGTCGCCCTATTATATCGGGTAAGCTCCTCCGAATTAAACTCATCTTCCCATTTATGACCTCCCCGACCCGAGATCACAAGTCCGAGTTTTCTATCCAATTGAATCCTGATTCTGGCGTTTTCCAGCGAACGTAACTTGTCTACGTCTTGAACATAAAACCAATTTTACTTACCATTTATATCCATCCACCCATCTTCATGTCATTCCATGTTTTAAGTGCCACGAAAAGCTGTTGCTACTTGACTGACCTCTGCTGTGCGCAAGCTGCTCAGCTGTTAACTGTTGTCGTCTCCTGTCAGGCTAAAAGCTTTTCGAAAATAAAAAGCAGCACAATAATATACAATAACCATGTTCCATCTGAATTATTTTAAACTGGCCTGAAACATATTTACCTTGCGTAACTAGCTTTCTTCACTCTTAAGCCTGGAAATCATATATTTAGCATATTTGTCGCCTATGTGTGTGATAAAAGTATTAGAGATAACGTCGCCCTGTTCTGAACTTGATTGATTAGAACAGGAAGGTTTAGCTGTGGGTGATTGTGGGCGATAACCCTTGTTAAACAATTAGGATACATATAAACATACAATAATTTATAGAAACAATAAAGGGTACAATAATAAATGTTTATGATTGAAGCTCAGGCACTTCTCTTGCCTCTCCGAAGACGAAACGATTGCTGTTTTTCCCCATTTGTTTTTGCTGCATTTAAACTTGCTTTGACCTTGTTTGCGACGCCGACGTCGACTGCATTTTGCGTGGGCGCGCACTGTACCAATGAAAGAAAAAAATAAATTCAATATAGTAAACCCCCAAAAGAAACAACAATACAGCGCTCTCTTTGTCTTCCAATCTCCCACTCCCCCGCTCTTCCGTTCTCTTTTTGGCACAGGTTGCAAGCGTGGCAAGCAGCAGGTACTGTTATATTTTTAGCGCGCTGTTTGCTTCGCAGTCGCCGCTGGCGTCGCTGCCCAATTGGCATGTGCTAAATTGTCATGCTGCGTTTTTGTTTTTGCTTCTCTTTCTGTGGTTGCCTTGTTTTTTGTTGCCTTGACTATTGGATAAAAAATTTGCAACGTCAAAGTCACAGTATAAATATAAAAAATCAAATTTTAAAAAGAAATTTTAACCTCATTGTTTTAAAAAGTAATTTTTTTTACTTTTAATTTAAGTTAAATTTTTAATTTAACTTAAAATTTATTTAAACTTGGTAAAAATCAGACTCACCGGAGTACCTAGTTGTGTCCTGATTAAAAGAAAGAAAGAAGAGTTTATGAATAATATTTAATATACAATTTTTATTTAATACTTATTAAAACTAGTTTTGTTTAAAGGGCTTTACTGTTTTGTATTTTGTATACTGTTTTCGTTGGCCTTTTGCTGTACTCATTTCGGTTTTTTGGATTTTTCGCTTTTTGTCAACATGTGTTGATTTTTTGTTGTTCATCTTGGCAGCTTTTTCGATTTTTTTGCAGTTCTTTTTTTTTGTGTTGTTTATTTCGCTTTTGTCATGCGCTCCGTTCGTATTTTTTCGCACGTACGCTTGTACTTGTTGCTGTTGTTGTTGTTTGGGGTCACGTCATGTTGTGGTGGCTCTCTCTTTTGCGCTCTTTGTGAGGCACAAATTAGTCATAGCCTACAATAATAAAGAGTCTATGCTCTTCGTTGTCTTTTCTCTTAAATCAATATCTTTACTTTTCTGTTTTCGAGCTCTCTTTGATGCTGGTGTAAAACAAAGTCAATGAACTTTGTACGCATTTTTGTTATTGTTGTTTTTGTTTTCGGCCTGCCTTTTTCCATGCCGATGTTATATTACTATTTGGCTTTTCATTTTGGCCTTTATGTTTAATGTTTGTTTTTTTCATACTTACAAATTTTATATCGTTTTTGTTTTTGCTTTTGGTGCTGCATATGTAATGTTTGGACAGCTGTCTCTTTTGTTTTTCAGCTCTCTTTCTCGTCGTCTCCTGTCTTGTTCCAGCTTTAGGTTGTCTTTCCGTCTTCGGTCTTCCTGGTTTTTGTTTTTCTTTCTTCCGGTTTTTTGTGTTCCAATTATGTATATAAAAAAATTTTTTACTTAGAGAAAGTTTCCAAAATCAGAAGTCCTCAAGGCCTATAAAAACCCTAAAATATATGTTTTAATTTTAATTTTGGTAAAAATGTTGTAAATACAAATATGTATTTATGGTATATGTACTATTTTTTTTTATGTTGAAGGGATTCCCATAGCTTACAATACTAAATGGCGAATTAATTTAGCTAGTAACTGAAAGCAACTTGTTTCTATAAAAAGATACAAAAATATTAAAGTATTTTAAAACGGGTTTGCCAACGCCGAAAGGCTTGCAATATAAATAGGTAGCTTTTGGTCTTTATAAGTCGATATTCATTTACGAATTATAAAAATTTTAATAAAAAAATGTTAATATTTTTATCCGATTTACATTATCTCTTAAGTGCAAATTTTCGAAGACTCTTCTAGTCGATTTCTCAAGCGGCAAAATCTACTTATTGCTGACTTACTGGAAAATGTAAGGGCTTTGCACAGTCTACGGAGCAGCATCAAGCACGGCAGCAACATGTTGCTCTGCGGCAGCAACATCGATGTCAATGGCCGAAAAAAAACATAATTTGACATTACAGATATATTTTTATTGGAAGTTCTTACTAAAAAATACTTATATGAAACATAATTAAATAGTAATCGGTTATTTTATTTTGTATTTAATGAGCATCTAAACCTTATCAGTACTTAAAAATCGATAAAACGAGATTGAGTGCTCAACAACTCCGTGTTCATGAAACCGAAGTGTGCATGTGTGTGTAATGGCGTGGGTTGCGAAGTGGGAGTGTGCAACCGATGTTGCTGCTGCAGCCACGTGTGCTTTCGTCACGTGGCATTGCGATGTGGGTATTCGGTAATCTGGAAAACGGGGTTAAAAGGGGGAATCCATGTGCAGGGAAACGGGTGGAGATAGCGAGATAGTGAGGAAGAGCGGCGGGGGGTGGTAGAAAATACTGTAAAACATTAATTAATGCTTAAAAAGAGGATAAACAATTGCAAATAAAGTGCAATCACGATTATGGGTGGAACGCTGCATGCCTTGAATAGTATTTCGAATACTTCAAAGGATGAAAGATACAGATATTCATGATCACCAGAAAATATGTGCTTGAATTGTTATTCAAGCGTTTATTATTTGAGATACTTCCTATATTTTCCGTTCGAGTTGAACATTCGATCTGGCTTTGTGGTTTTTGGTCCGCCAACAGGGGCACGTGCCAACGGCTTACTTACAATACTTACAATAATACCACCAAAAACTACCCATCATGAACCACCGATCGCATATTCCAGAGAAAATAGAGTGACCAAAACCGCTTATGATGCATAATAAATGCGACCGACGATTGGATATGGATTTTTCATGTGTGCCTAACTAAGTCATCGCTAAATCATACCCGCACTTTATCATATATAATTAACCCACCAAGGACCTTCGTCGCCCACCGATTGTTGGCTGTTGATTGTTGACTGTTGATGGTTGACTGTTGGCTTCGTTGCTGCTGGCCTGTGTTGTTGTCTCCTGTATTAACCCGAACTAATTTGCATTCATCAAGCGCCGCCTTTGTCTTTCTTTCCGCCCCCTGCGCTCTGATTTCAGCCCCAGTCTTTATTTACCATAGTAGCTTAGTACATCCCATTTTTCTGTCATTTGTACGCTTTGAAATAAGTTCATTCATTAGAGAGCATTGTTTTATGTCGGAATTAGATCGAAGATCATCAGTTTCGCATGATTTAATGTTCAAAAGTATCGAAAAATTACATAACCTTTTGATTTTAGGTTAGGAAAAAGCCCATTTATTTTTCCTTATTCGTGCTACATTCATATTCATATTTTAGGTTAGAAAAAAAGAGAATTTTTTTACCTCATTCGTGCTACATTCATCCCATTTCAAGTTTTTGTTTCCTATCATTTTCTGCGCCCCTGTGCTTTTTCCCTAATAATTTGATTCGCCTTCTTACATTCTTTTTTTGTTCTTTCTTTTTCTTCTTTGATTTTTGCCACTCTAGAGGGTGGTAGTTCCCTGGCGAACGGCGGCAAGAGCCACCCCCTGCAGCAACAGCAACTCACTGCGGCGGGCAGAGCGGCAGCAGCAGCAGCAGCAGCAACAACAACCACGTTGATGGGGAACTCAGTAGCGAACGGCACCACCTCCCCCACAAACACACACTCAGTTAGCACGCCCCCGCCCGCCCCCTCCGCCTTCATGCTGCTGGCGACGGCAGCGGCGACCAGCACTGCAACTCCCGCAACAGTGGCAACTGCAACTGCAACTGCAACTGCAACTGCAACTGCAACTGCAACTGCCGCAGCTGCAGCTGATGCGGCGCCAGAAGCCGCGTCCCATCCCGCCAAGCACAAGCTGGGTCCCATCGCGGAGGTGCCGCCCAAGTTTCTGATCGTGTCGGAAGCCAAGCGGGTCTATCCCACGTCCACCTCCACCTCCACGCCCACGCCAACGAACCCCGCCCCCAGCGCCTCGCTGCTCCTGGGCCTCAGCCACGAGGCGACGATCAATAAGCTGGTGCAGAACCTTCAGAAGCAGCAGCTGCAGCAGCAGCAGCAGCAGCCGCTCCACCAGTTCCGCAGCCTGCGGCCGGCGGACATTTCCCTGACTCCGCCGCCCACGTCCACGCGGAAGGCGGACAGCAGCAACTCGCGGATCCGCTCCTACTCACTCTCCAATACTGTTTCAGCGTCCAGGGAGCAGCAGGAGCAGCAGCACCACCACCACCAGCACCACCACGCCGCGAGCCACCTGAACTTCCAGCAGCACCTGAGCTTCGTGAGGGGCAGCCTGGTCTACGGGGTGCCGACGGAGGCCGTGGACGCCGCCGCCTCCTCCGCTGGCGGAGCGGGATCGGGAGCGCTGCCGGGGGCCATGAGCATCGCCTCCTCGGCGCCGGCCGCGGGCTCCCTGCTGAGCGCCCACCACACGGGACACGGTGGCCGCAGGCGCACCACCAGTTCCAACAGCAACGGGTGAGTTCCCCACTGGGATCCCAAATCCTGAATTTAATTTAACCATCTTCATTGCAGAGCGGGCACGCGGGAGGTGCACAACAAGCTGGAGAAGGAGCGGCGCGCCCAGCTGAAGGAGTGCTACGACCTGCTGAAGAAGGAGCTGCCCATGCGGGACGAGGACCGCAAGAAGACCTCCAACTTGACGATACTCGAAACGGCCCACAAGTTTGTCAAGGTAAGTACGAGGGTGCCGAGTGCTCCGTAGCGGGAGTGGGTGCAGTGATGCATCGATGGGATGATGGTGATTAATCAACCGATTCTGTTGGTTCTGTTGCAGCAACTCACGCAGCGCGACCGCGAGCAGGAGGCGGAGGTCGAGCGGCTGGCGAAGCAGAAGATCGAGCTGCAGAAGCGCCTGAAGCGACTGGGCCTGCGGAGGGAGACGCCGCCCACCGACCAGCAGCAGCAGCAGCAGCAGCAGCAGAGCATTCCACAGGCCGACAAAGGTGCGACACTCCGCACTTCCGCACTCGCATGCGCTAATCTCGCGCCCTCTCCCTCTTTTCCAGCCGTCTGCCTGGCAACCGCAGCCCCACCAGCCGCACCTGCTGGACCAACTGGACCAGCTGCTCCCCCAACGACCGCCGGTGGTCGCAGCGGAACCACGATTCTGTTCGACGCAGGCAATGCAAGCGCAAGCGCAAGCGCCACTGGGGTGAGGAGAAGTCGTCTGAGCAGTCAGATGGGACCGATCCGATGGGGGTGCTGACTGAGTTCGCGCAGCAGCGATACTCAGTGCGCAGCCCCGGAGGAAGGTCCGCCGAAGAGCAGTCGCTGAGGGGACTAACCCGTGTCTTTTGCCCCTCCAGCAGCTAACAACTGTGATAAACAAAACAAACGCCACACCAGCAGCTGCAGGAGCAACCGCGGCCAGCAGCAAGCTCAGCGCGGCCAGCAGCCTCTCGGGAGGAGCCACCACCACGCTGACTCCGGCCATGGGCATCATGACAATTAGGAACGGCGGCGGCGGCGGCGGCGGCGGCGGTGGAGGCGTTATGGCAATCTCACCGACGGCAGCGGCCATCCAGCATCAGCTGCACCACAACGGCAGCGGCAGTGGCAGCGGCAGCCCGGCGGGAAGTCCTTCTGCCCCCGGAGCCACCAGCATCACTCGTGGCTCGCCGACGCCCTCGACTCCGTCGCCGTCGCCCAGCTCATCGTCCAGCGGCGTCTCCTCGTCGGCCTCGTTCATGGGCGGCGGCTCCTCGTCGTCGTCCTCCTCGTCGTCGTCGTCGTCGTCCTCCTCCTCGTCCTCCTCCTCGTCCTCCTCATCCTCCAGCTCGTCGTCCAGCTCGTCGTCGCCCACGCAACAGCAGCAGATCGCCACGCCCACCACGGCCACCGCCCACTTGGTGGGCGCCCGCAACGTTGGCCTGAAGTTTCACGGCGGCGCCGGTTGTGCGGCCACCGCCTTGAACGGCGGTGCCACCATCGTGGCCGCTGCTGTGCCGGCTGGCGCCGGACCGGCGAATGGTAAGAAGAGGTCCTCCAATCCAACGACTGGCTCTCTGGTGTGTTGACCACTGCAGAATGTTGAGCTGTTGTTGATCATTTCAAGCTATACTTTCTGCACTTGCGGGAGACTTGAAAGCGATTATTCAATGGATGCAGATGCATTAGCACAGCCAGGTCAACTGGGTCGAATCACCAGAATCGCCAGTTAGTGGATTTAGCTATGTAATTGTGAAATCTCTCAGTCGAATCGAATATCAAAGAGCGTGTTATTCCTCGACAGGTTTCCATCCGACCGACAAGGACCGCAACTACAATTTCCTGATGCTCAGTGCTGGGACAACGGCGCAGTGAATCAATCAACAAAATCGAACGAGAAGCAGCAACAACAACAACAACAACAAACACCTACAACAATAATGAAAACAACAACAACAAGAACAACAACAACTGAATTGTGTGCAACGGCTCCCACCTTATAAAAAATTAACAACTAGAAGAGGGTTCTCTAAAAAACTCTTTTGTCTTGAAGCAAGCTAACAAAACATTGCGTATTTTCACACTCTCGCACACATTAAACAAAAACAACAACAACAACAACAACAACAGCAGCCAACCAGCAGAAAGAGTTCAAAGCTGTATTTTTATGTGAAACAAATACAAAAGCTATCGAACAGTTCCGCCCAACACGTAGCATCGATTTTGAAAATCAAACAAATCAACAAACAACAAAAAACGAAGAGGAAAATTATTTTTTAGTAAATAATTTTATAGCGACAAAGCGGGATAAAAGCTATCAGCGAACAGCTAACAGCAACATCAGCAATATACAAACACCAACAACAACAACAAACAACAACAACAAACAACAGAAGACCAATAAAATTAACGAAACAGCATCAACAGTGCCAGCATTCAAGATCAACAGCTAAAACCAGCCACATCAATCAAGAAAATCGGCATCACATCACCACACACACACACACACAGCCCTTCAAAATGCATATATACCACATATATTATATATCTAATTGTACTACTTTATAGTGAAGCCTAGAAAAGAAGAGTAAACACCAAGAAAATAGCACACTTAAATGTAAAACAGGAAAAGAAAAACAAAATCAAAATGCGCTGTTGTAACAGAAACCACCAATGGGTAACGCTTTATAAATATAATGTCTCTATATGTATAGAAACATAAAAAACCTTTAACGTAGGGGAGGAGGATAATGAATTAGAGATCTAAAGCAGAATTTCCCAAATCGATGTGGCAAAAAACAAGAACCCGTATATGTCCTTTTTTCTTGACCAACAACTTAACGAGGAACATTTTCTTTTGGAAATTTTCTTCTCCCTGCAAAACCGCAAAACAAAACAAATAAGAAAAACACAGAAAATAAGCAAAAATCAAATCAATAGAATTACATTAAATTAGGGTGTTTGTATGTGAAGTATGTGTGTAGTTGCAAACAGAACTTTAACCAATAGAAAGTAACTATATAAGAAAGCAGCTGGCGAGAAAGTGATGCGTCTGTGTAATACCCACTTGAATTAGATATTATTGTAGCAAGCAAACAAAACATCGTAGCAAAAATGTGTAATAGTGCAATAAGCTAACAAAAGCCACGCCCCTTTCCCCTTCCCCCTATCCCATATAACCCAACCCAAACTTATAGACAATTTTCATTTTGATCTTGTTCTGGAAAGACACGCATGTAAGACATTACCATATAAAAAAGTAGTCGTCGCGTAAAACTCAACCCAACCCCCACTTGCAATTTAAACTCCTGCCTTAAAGTTGTTTAAAGTCAAGTAGATACAGATACAGATACAGAACAGCAAGGCCCCAAAATTCGATGTACCCAAACAAAAAGCTTATACAAATATTTATATACAAGCATAGGTAAAGATAACGAAAATAGCTTAGAAATAGAAAACGCGAGTATCAGTGTAAGGAAGAAAACAGTTACACAAACTGAATGTTATATTTTCGAGCATTTTTTTCAGAGTGTATGTGTCGGCATACATGGAACATATACATCTAGAAAGGAAGCAAAAGATTGATAAAAGTATTAGCAAAAATATCTCTGAACAATAATGGCGGGCAGACAGAGAGGGAAGAGCAGGTCGCCTCTTTCTACCCCCTTGAATATTTGCAAGTTTTGTACGTCGGGTCAGTGAATGTAAAACTGTATATCATCTAAATATATTTGTGTGCACGACACGAACTAACAGTAAAGCGAGCAGGACAGATAGCGTAAAATTTTCCATATATTTTGTAAATACTTTAAGGAACTAGTGGCGACTGTCCAGTCTAGAGTTTTTTTTTTCTTCTAATTTTTCGTCAAGGGGCCTTTTAATTTTATTGTTTTACAATTTTTTTCTACAAAAAGGGACAGAAAATCAAAAAATATTTTCACACCTGAGCGTTTTACACGAAAAGAGAAAAGCAAAGCAAATAATCATAAAAAATCTAAATCTATTAACTAGAAATATTTATGTGTATGGGACGTCTGTGTAAATGTGTTTGAATGTAAATTGCGTTGAAAGAGAAAAAATAATTTAATAGTTACGCACGCCGTGTTTGTCAGTCGATTTCTGTTACTAACATAAAATAAAATGTATAAAAATAACAAACAATATTAATGAATTAACCCTTACTGTTAAATTAGCTTCTATGTTCTTTAAATTATACTTTTCTTTCGGTTAAATAACTTTAAAACACTTAACAAATTATTTTCTTATTTTTTTAACTTTCATTTTTAAGTAGGCAAGTAATAATCGATTGAACATATTTTTTTTTGTCTAATTCTAAAAAAACAAACAAGGAAAACAGCAAACAACAAAACGATTTCATTTTAGAAATTTAAGCCGAACTTAACTAAATCTTAATGTTTAGAAAACTTTGTTAATTAAGTTGAAAACAAATCGGGAGTATTGCAAATTATCATTAAATATACAGACACAAGAAAACAGATGAAAGGAAAAGCCCCACAAAAAAAATATATTTATAGAGAAAGCAGACAACAAAAAAAGATTAAAACAAACAACAATAAAAAACCTTTAAACAAAAAATAAAGCGAAAGAAAACCTTTTAGCTGTAAATGTAACTTGTAAAATTAATTTTAAACAAAATGCTTACATAAGCAAACAAGCAAAAAAAAATCAACAAAATCAGAAAAGTATGGCAAAAGTAAGAACAGTAAAACAGAATATATATGAAGAATTATATATATATATATAAATGTAAATGTGTAAAGAAAACAGAAAATGCGAAAAAAAATAAAAATAAAAAAGGAGATTTCAAAGCAATATTTTTCAGTTCAACCGCCTAAAAATGGAAATTAGATATTTTTATACCCTTGCAGAGCAAAAGGGTATTATAATTTCAGTCAGAAGTTTGCAACGCAGTGAAGGAGACACCTCAGACCCCATAAAGTATATATATTCTTGATCAGCATCACGAGCAGAATCGAAATATGTATGTACGTCTGTCCGTCTGTCCGTCTGTCCGTCTGTCCGTCTGTCCGTCTGTCCGTCTGTCCGTCTGTCCGTTTCCGCGCAAACTAGTCTCTCAGTTTTAAAGCTATCGTGCTGAAACTTTCCCAAAAGTTGTGTAGTTGTTGCACGCAGTATATAAGTCGGAACGGGCCGGATCGGCCGACTATATCGGATAGCTCCAATACAAGAGAATGAAATAAAAAAATCTTACTGTATTGTTTTTCATCAGATCGACTTGAATTCTTCAAGATGGCGTTTTCTAACTGTTATTGAATTTCGGATTAAATTTTATCAAAATCGGATAACTCTATCATATAGCTGCCATAGGAGGGATCGAAAATTATATATAGAATTAATGGAAATAAATTGATAACATCGTTGTTTTTCATCAGACAAGTATGATTTTTGGAATATAGAGTGTTCTTACGACTCTTGAATTACGAGTTAAATTTGATCAAAATCGGACAACTATATCGACATATTTGATGACTGCAAGGGTATATAAGCTTCGGCTTGCCGAAGCTAGCTTCCTTTCTTGTTTTTACTTATTTTTCGCACATTTTTTAAGGGGCACCCCTTGCAATTGTTTATGCTCAGTTTTTAAAAGGGTTTTAAAAGTATTGAACAGCTATTCTGTGAAGCCATCTGTATTATATATTTATTAGCAAACACACCCCTTTGACAGCAAATAAAACCGAGTCCCTTTTTTTAACAGTTTGTAGTGCTTAAATCGGTAATTAATGGCAAAGCTGGATACCAAATACAAACAGTCTAGGCTAGGCCACTTACAACTTTGCCCCTTGAGTTAGTGAGCTATCCTCCTGCTAAAGTAAACTTTATTAGCACTCGCTAATACTACTGAACTACTGCTTAGTCTAGAAAAAAAAAACAAACAAAAAGGGTATGTATCTAGGGAATCACGATCAGTCTGCGGATCAGTCTGCGCCCCCCGTTGGGCGCCACATGGTTAGCGCTCCTCGCTGCTGCTCCCCTCGCCGCCGATGAAGTCGTCCCGCAACCCGCCCCTGTGCTCGTAGTTGTGGTGGTGGTGGATGTGCTCCTCCTCCTCCTCCAGCTCCGGTAGAGCGGGAGACGCCACCGCCGGCGGCAGTGGGTGGTGGTGCTCGTGGTAGTTGTGGTGGCTGTGGTGGTCGTGGTGGTCGTGGTGATCGTGGTGGTCGTGGTGATCGTGCTTCTCGTGGTGGTGGATGTGCTCCTTGGTCTGGTGGATCTGGATAGGCCGGTGGTCCTCGTGGATGACCTTCTTCTCCTCCTTCAGAACCAGCGGCTTGTGGTGGTGGTGCACGTGCTTCACCACCGTGTGTATGTGCTTCTCAATCTTCTTGTGGATCGGCACGTGGATCACGATTTTCTTCTTTTTTTGGCTACTGAAACGTAGAGCATATGTTATATGTAATTTCGTTTGGTTACAATACACTTAAAAGTTCAATTTAGTTACGAAGCTCAAAAAACTAAGGCCCAGAGGAAAGGGTTTCGAATTTTGCCGTGAGGACAAGCTTATTTTTAATTTTGGGTCAGCATTTTTCAAGTGCTTCGTTTTCGGTAATCCCATACCCCGCATCCGTTTGTGGCACGCAGACGAGCAGCAGAACCAGCGCCACCACAACCGAGAGCCTCAGCAACTGCAAAAGACGATCGCGGATATATCGGTGTAATCGGTGTAATCGGTTTAATCGCTTTAATCGGTGTAATCCTTGGGCCATCCTGGTATATCGCCACTCACCAAACTGCGGTTATCCATTTCGCTTGGCTAGATCCTGGAGACGAGGTGTTGAAGGCCCTGACGATGCGGCTGCTTTGATTGCTGCCCCACTGCGACCGTTATATTTATAGGGGCCCACGGAATGCGGTGGAGTACGAGTACGAGTGCGCGAATACGCGAATACGAATGCCCCGGCGCCAGTTGGCGGCGCTTCCGTGAGGCAGTGAGGCACCACCGCAGTCGGTGGGCAGAGCCGTGGGTCTTGCTTTGCTGGATGGGTGGATTGGTGGAGCCACACTCGAGCCACACTGCGCATGCGCACGCGCCAAAACAAACATAGCTGGCTGCTCAGTGGAAAACCTGCAATTTTCAGTCATTTCGGGTGGCGGCGATCATCGTGTCATGGATTGTGGGTGGTGGTGTTCAGCGGTGTGATTTATTGTACCCTATGGCAACAGGCTATTTGTGTGGTCTGCACGCTAAAGCTACTTATGCTATACATAGTTCAAAAACGATTGCGCATTCCGTTGGCAATTGGAGAATGAGATCCTACGATGTTATAAGATATGTATGGATATTTAAGTATGAATATCCCCAGCCTCAAAAGGGCATTGCACCTTCGACCCTTTCCCAAAAAGCCACCTTGAATAGCTGCTCAAGTAATCAGATAAACGGGTCCTCCGACCTCAGTTTCCCACATTTCTCCCACTGGCAGGGGATGGATGGGAGCTTCGTGCCCATTGACGAGTGCTCCATTGTGCTCTTCTCTGTTTTTCCGTTTTTCCGTTTTGTTTGGGCTTCTTATATTTTGCTATATTTTCAGCAGCTCACGCAGACGGAAGGCACTGAAAACTGAAAACTGAAACCCAAACTCAGTCAACGGAAATAGCAGGAGTGCAGCGCGTGTCTAATACCCACATAGATATGCTGCTTGGCGCCCGGCCCCTGGATTTATTTCCCACCCGATTTCCCCGATTAACTTAAGTACATGGCACGTAACGCGAGGGATAGAGAAATTCGCTACAAATAGATCGCATGCACATGCTGCATATTTCTGTTATGCAATCGCACAGGCGATTTTCCAGATTTGCGGGTGTTATTTAATTGCGAACCAACCGCCAACTTGTTCGTTTTCGTTTTGATATGCGATCACTGCTAGAATGTGGAGCCCTATCGATATCGCTGTCAGTTATCGATATAAGCCCCAACGGAAGAAGAAGCATCGACAAAGAGGCGAAAGAGCAAGGCAAAAACAACTGAGAACAGCGATAATAGCGTCACCCAAGCACAGTGGGCCGGCTAATGCGTTAGCCTGGTTGCAATCGAAGCTTACAATTGATTTGGTTATACTGCAAATAATTCTGTATTGAGTTCCCCTCTAGGTAGGAATTATTGGACGGCCGCGTTAAAATCACCATTGCCGTAGGCTTATGACTTTAAAGAGCAAGCGCTTTGTAGCTCCCGAAACCTATCTTGGTAATGCAATTCAAGAGCAGGTATAAACATATTTGCTTTGAGTTTGAATTTGTTCTCACCGCATCGATCATGAGGCCCACTGTACGCAGACTGGCTGAGTGTGCGAGTGCTGAGTGTGTGTGTGCGCCCCCCAATCAAAATCTTTTTTTAGTATTGAAAGAACAGTCGGGCAAGAAAGTTGGGGCACAGCAAAATCGAGCCAGACAAAGTAAATAACTAAATAACGGCATACATATAGACAGTATTCTGTTCGGTAAAATATCTTCTGTTGCACAGCAGCTAACAGCATTTGTCCGCCGTGTTTTAGTTAGTTATATTCATTTTTTTCCGTTTCTTTTATTTTTTGTTGTGGTGCGTCTGTGTGTGAACCAATTGTTGCTGCTGCGGAAGTATTGGTGTGGTGATTTATAAATTTCCAGTGACAAAGACAAAAAAAGCAGTGAAGTAATATGCAACAATACGCAGATTGAAGAGAAATCACGTTCTGGAGATTTTCTGGTTGATCTTCATCCAGTTTTTGTTGTCGAGAACTCCGAGTTGCCCCGAAAACGGTTGAGTGTGTGTGTGCATGCGATCACTGTCCCAATTGGCGGCAGCTCGTATCTCCCAATTGGACTCCCCTGAGAACAGTTGTTGGTGATCACAGCTCGCCCACTGGAACCTCATCCAGCAGCACTTGTAGAGCTTCTGATAAGAGGTCAACCTGTTTCAGCTGGGCGAGTGAGCCTGTGCAGCATTTTGCTATAATTTTTTAGCCATAAATGGCCACAAACAGCAAAAGTCAATAAACCCCAGCCCACATCTCGAAATATCGGGCTATTATTTCGAACCGGGCGTTCGTAATGGCGAAAATCAATCGAAAGCAAAATTCCATAAGTGGCAGACGTACATCACAAGTATTTCTATATATTTAGATCTGCGTATATTTAGACATTCATCGCGCAGTGGGTGTGTGTGCACTGCAGGCTCTTAGAGTCCAGAAATACTCCGTGCTGCAAATATCTGGAGGCCAGTAGAGGAAGACCAGTTTGTATCGCAGCTCGTTCCCACGCACCCAGCACTTAGTTCGCCTCTCGAGGAAATCGTGTTCTCAATGTCTTTGGCGCGGATTTCGCTTTTCCACCTTCCGCATTTCCCACTGTCCACCAGTTGGCCGTAAATCATGGCCAATTAAGGTCCGCACCCTTGGCCAGTTAGTGCGTCACCACAGCCAGTTTCAGTTCCATTTCCACTTCCACTTCCATTTCCATTTCCAATTCCAATTCCAATTCCATTTCCAATTGGACACCCAATATCGACATCCCCCGAAAGTCTGGCGAGTGACCTCACGAGATGCGTCATCGTTATTAAAGCAAAGCCCAAACAAGCGAAACTGAATCAACAGAACAGAACCGATATACATATTATATATGTGGGTTGTTTTCGGGGAAATGCCCAAGCCCTCGGAAAGTGAATTTTTGTTTACCGAGGAATATGGGTTGCCTCCAACCGTCTTGTAACTAATTGGACTCATCGTTTTTAAATAATTCATAATATACGATTAGTGCCTTGATTCATTCTTGGGGAACCAAGTCCATTTGAGCTGTAAGATGTTCTGTGAAATCTGTAACAAGCCGCCTGGAACTGGAATTGGGCCAAGGCCGTTGGCTCATCAATTGGTTTACTGTTCGGAATGCCGTTCGGAATCTTTCCATCGACTTCCAATTGGGCTTGCACTTGGCATGCGAGTTTATTGAAATGTGGCCGCTCCAATTGGATGTTTAGCCAATTGGATGTTTAGCGCCTGAATAATTTCGTGATGGGTGGGAGCTTCTTTTGAATTCATGTCTCTTGAGAAGACAACCCCCCACAGAACTCCCAAGCAGCAACAATACTTCCCAAGGCGAACTATGTAGATCTGTGGCTCCGTGTGCCTCGCTTATCTGGTTACCCAGATGGAATGCAGATAAATACCCCGCGATATTTGTTCTGGCTGAGTGTTGAATGCTTTGTTTTCCGTCAGTCAACACAGATCTGGCCCACAAGCAGAAGGAAAAGCGAGAAAAGCGAGGAAAGCAGCAACCCGAGATAAGCAACCCGAAAGAGAAGAAAGCGCGCGAAGAAGAAGAAGCTCCGCCAAGATGCCCGTCTTCCACACGAAAACGATCGAGAGCATCCTAGATCCTGTCGCCCAGCAGGTAAGCATCCCGTGCAGTGGGGCTCCTTGGTTCCTTGGGGGTGGGGACATCCGATTCCGATTCAAGTAACTCTCTCTCCGCCGCATAGCTTTACATGTAACCGAGGGGCAAGGTGGCGCCCAAGAAGGTAACGTTCCCAGATTACTAAGGTCTGCTTGCCCACCGAAATGCTCGAGAAAAATGCGTGCCAGCGTGCACTGGGGAAAGTCCCATACGATCACTGATCAGTGATCATCCAATCTTCTATCTGATCGAGAGTTTAGTAAACATGCATATGTAAATGCATACAATATGCACGAGTCTTCACACTTTTCCCAGTGCAGGCTCACGTGGTAGAGGAAGCATCGAAAGCTGTGAGTTTCCACCTCCGCTTCTCCCCTTCCCCCTTACCCCTTACCCCTTTCCATTTCCATTTCCATTCGATCGTTAGCTGCCACTCGCACCTGACATCATCTCGGAATAGAGTATGCCCCTGTGCGGCATCTGTTGGTGTTATGCTAAATATACGCACCCCCTTTCCCATTTCCCCCCTCTGATAGATGCCCCTCCTCGTTCCGCTTATTTATGTGTTCCCTCCATCGCGAAAGGAAAACAAATCGGACTGGGGATCGGGGATCGGGGATCGGGGGTCGGGGATCGGCGTCTTGTTGCTCTGACGTTACTTAACGGGGCTAAAAATAGGTAAGGTGGAACACAACAGAATAGTAGAAGCGATGCTGCCGATCAGTGGCCAACCTGAGCTTCCGAGCTTCTGGGGACAGCCAGAATTTTAATTTAATAACGCAACAAATGAAAACGAGGAATCGGACCGAGTAGACGGACGGGGGCAGCAGGGGGGACTTGGCCGAGATCCAGAAATAGCGGCAAGAATACGTTTAGGAAAATCCAACAGCGGCGGCAACAACATTCGGCAACTCGGCAACTTTCGGGGGAAAAATAAAAACATTTACGACGGACAAGCCATGAAAATGAAATCACGGCAACGCCAAAAGCAAATCGGAGGTGTGCGAGTGTGGGTGTAGTGTGTGTAGGTGGGCGGTGGGCACCCACCGGATGGGTGGGATGTGCCAAAAGCAACCCCGCCGCATGAGTCATCCGCCGAGGGGAGGGAAGTGGGACGAGGGATGTGGGACGAGGGATTGGGCAAGCGAATTAAGGCGATCGCTCAGCACATCAATCAGATGTGATGTGCCCCCTGGGCACTGGGGGTTCCATCCCGACCAGCGGGCTGCTTGGCGGCCTAATTAGTCAATCAAGCAGCCCAATTGCTGGCTGGTGAGCGGTGAGCGGTAAGCGGTGAGCCGTCTAATCCCCCGCTTACGCCCGCTGAGACCAGTCTTCGAATGGTTTCGGTTTAGTGGGGCTCAGTGGCGATTAGCGACGCCGCTCGTTCGCTCTCCATAAATAGCAGCCACCTAGCCACATAGCCATATAGTGATATAGTGATATAGCCATTCAGCCAGTCAGCCATGGTCGGAATCACCTTGAGCAGGTGCTGATGTCAAGTCCGCGCCATGTGGCGTTCCGTGGTGGCGCCCACGCTCTGCGGATCTTCACCTCGGAGTGCGTGAATGGAACGAGAGTGACCCCCACACCTTAGTGGAACTGATTGATCAGTCAGCGCGCTTGAGAGGAGCGTTTGGGGGGAGTGCAGAGCAGGAGGGGATGGGTTGCTGCTCCAACGTTCCCTGAACGGAGATTAGATTCGTTGGGATGCCGAACTCGTGTTCAGCAGGGAATCGAATCGAATCGTGCACTTAGAAGCAGCAGGAGCGGACTCCCAGTTACCAGTTAGCTCACCTCTGTCTTCTCTCCGCCGGCAGGTGTCCCGCCTGGTGATCCTGCACGAGGAGGCCGAGGATGGCAACGCGATGCCCGACCTCAGCCGGCCGGTGCAGGTGGTCTCGGCGGCGGTGGCGAACCTGGTGAAGGTCGGCCGCGAGACGATCAACAGCTCCGACGACAAGGTCCTGCGGCAGGACATGCCGGCGGCGCTGCAGCGCGTGGAGGGCGCCTCGCAGCTGCTGGAGGAGGCCTCCGAGATGCTGCGCGCGGACCCGTACTCCGGCCCGGCGCGCAAGAAGCTGATCGAGGGCAGCCGCGGCATCCTGCAGGGCACCTCCGCGCTGCTGCTCTGCTTCGACGAGAGCGAGGTGCGCAAGATCGTGCAGGAGTGCAAGCGGGTGCTGGACTACCTGGCGGTGGCCGAGGTGGTCGGCTCCATGGAGCAGCTGGTGCACTTCCTCAAGGACCTCTCGCCCTGCCTGGGCAAGGTGCACCGCGAGGTGGGGGCGCGCGAGAAGGAGCTCACCCACCAGGTGCACTCCGAGACGCTCGTCCGCTGCCTGGAGCAGGTCAAGACCCTGGCCCCCATCCTCATCTGCAGCATGAAGGTCTACATCCACATCGTGGAGCAGCAGGGCCGCGGCGCCGAGGAGGCGGCCGAGAACCGCAACTACCTGGCCGCGCGGATGAGCGACGAGCTGCAGGAGATCATCCGCGTGCTGCAGCTGACCACCTACGACGAGGACACCAGCGAGCTGGACAACCTCACCGTGCTGAAGAAGCTCTCCAACGCGATCGCCACCAAGCTGCAGCTGGCCGGCGAGTGGCTCTCCAACCCCTACGCCCTGCGCGGCGGCGTCGGCGAGAAGGCGCTCCGCCAGGTGCTGGACAACGCGGCCGAGATCTCCGAGCGCTGCCTGCCCCAGGACGCCTACCCGGTGCGCAAGCTCGCCGACGAGGTCTCCGCCATGGCCGACCGCCTCTGCGAGCTGCGCCAGGAGGGCCAGGGCCAGACGCCCCAGGCGGAGGCGCTCGCCCGCGGCATCCGCGAGCGGCTCGCCGAGCTGCAGGCGCTCGTCCACCGGGCGGTGCTCGGCGTGGACAAGGCCGGCGTCCAGCAGACGGCGCACACCATCCAGGGCCGCCTGGAGCAGGCGGTCAAGTGGCTGCAGCACCCGGAGCTCAGCGACGGCGGACTGGGCGAGCGGGCGGTGGCCCTCATCGTGGAGGAGGGCCGCAAGGTGGCCGAGGGCTGCCCGGGCCACCAAAAGGCCGAGATCCAGCAGCTGTGCGACGAAGTGGAGCGGTTGAAGCGGCAGGCGGCGGGTTCGGGCCCGGCGGCCCAGCAGGCGGCCAAGCAGCTCACCCAGAAGCTGCACGAGCTGAAGGCGGCCGTCCAGAACGCACTGGTCAACCGCATCGTGCAGGACTTCATGGACGTGAGCACCCCGCTGAAGCAGTTCACCGAGGCGGTGCTCCAGCCGGAGGGCACGCCGGGGCGGGAGCAGAACTTCGGCCAGAAGGCGGCCAACCTGCAGGCGTTCAGCGACCGCGCCTCGAAGACCTCGCGCATGGTGGCCGCCGGAGGAGCTTGTGGGAACAAGAAGATCGCCGAGACGCTGCTCTCCTCGGCCGCCCAGGTGGACTCGCTCACGCCGCAGCTGGTGAGCGCGGGCCGCATCCGGATGAACTACCCGGGCAGCAAGGCGGCCGACGAGCACCTGCAGAACCTGAAGCAGCAGTACGCGGACACGGTGCTGCGCATGCGCACCCTCTGCGACCAGGCCACCGACCCGGCCGACTTCATCCGGACCTCCGAGGAGCACATGCAGGTCTATGCCAAGCTCTGCGAGGACGCCATCCACGCGCGCCAGCCCCAGAAGATGGTGGACAACACCTCGAACATTGCGCGGCTCATCAACCGCGTCCTGCTGGTCGCCAAGCAGGAGGCGGACAACTCCGAGGACCCCGTCTTCACCGAGCGGCTCAACGCGGCCGCCAACCGGCTGGAGCGCTCCCTGCCCGCCATGGTGGGCGACGCCAAGCTGGTGGCCACCAACATCGCGGACCCCGCGGCGGCCGCCGCCTGGAAGAGCTCCTTCCAGCGGCTCCTCGGCGACGTGCGCGAGGTGCGGGAGGCCATCGCCCCGCCGCAGCCGCCGCCGCTGCCCGCCTCCCTGCCGCCGCCCGTGCCCGAGCTGAGCGCCCTGCACCTGTCCAGCCAGAGCGGTGAGCTGTCCTGCTATCCTAGTATCAGTACTCATACTTACCACCCCTCCTCTCCTCCTTTGCAGCTGAAAGGGCGCCGCCAAGGCCGCCGCTGCCCAGGGAGGGACTGGCCCCGGTGCGACCGCCTCCGCCGGAGACGGACGACGAGGACGAGGGCGTCTTCCGCACGATGCCGCACGCCAACCAGCCGATCCTGGTGAGCTAACAGGGGAATCGGGAACCAAACGGGTGACTCACTCACCTTCTTTAATCTTTAATATCCCATGGACAGATCGCCGCCCGCGGACTGCACCAGGAGGTGCGGCAGTGGTCCTCGAAGGACAACGAGATCATCGCGGCCGCCAAGCGGATGGCCATCCTGATGGCGCGGCTCAGCGAGCTGGTGCTCTCGGACTCGCGCGGCAGCAAGCGGGAGCTGATCGCGACGGCCAAGAAGATCGCCGAGGCATCGGAGGACGTGACCCGGCTGGCCAAGGAGCTGGCCCGCCAGTGCACCGACCGGCGCATCCGCACCAACCTGCTGCAGGTGTGCGAGCGCATCCCCACCATCGGCACCCAGCTGAAGATCCTCTCCACGGTGAAGGCCACCATGCTGGGCGCCCAGGGATCGGACGAGGATCGCGAGGCCACCGAGATGCTGGTGGGCAACGCCCAGAACCTCATGCAGAGCGTAAGTGCTGGATAGCTCCCCTTGCTCCTCTCTTATCCTCTCTTATGCTCTCTTATTCTCCCTTATCCTGCCTTATCCTCTCTTATCTCTTATCCTCTCTTATCCTGTCTTATCCTCTCTTATTATCTCTTACCCTCTCTTATCTGATTCGCAGGTGAAGGAGACGGTGCGCGCCGCCGAGGGAGCCAGCATCAAGATCCGCTCCGACCAGACCAGCAATCGGCTGCAGTGGGTGCGCCGGCAGCCCTGGTACCAGTACTAGGTGCTCCGCAACTGATGTGGACTCCCACCGTTTCACCGCCTGCCAAGTGCCACCTGCCACCTGCCGAGTGCCAAGTGCCGCGTGCCACGTGCCTTGTGTAACATACAAAGCTAAACACTAATCTTAATGATTTCTATTCTACATGTTAATCCCCAATTGTTCCACTTGAATGCAGTTATGTAAGTGCTTGCAACTATTTATTGTGCCTCGTGACCCCGCCCCTTTGCCCTTTCCCACTCTCCCCCTCCCTTAATTTTGTTTCGGTAATTGTAAAAGTAATTGTTAAGAGTGCAATAAAAGAAGAGGAAGCAGAAGCCATAGAAAAGAAGAGATCAGAAAGCAATATGTACATACAAGCAGTCAGAATTAAGAGAGTGCAATGTATACTATATGATAAGTGACCACATGCAGTGGGTTCCCAATCCCCAATCCCCAATCCCCCTCCCCAAACCCCTCTCCTCCTCCTCCCCCTCGAATTTGTAGTGTACTAACAGAAGCATTTATCGAACCCCTCGTTTAAGTCCAGTTCGTGTTTGAATCTAACTCACTAAAACTGCGAATGCATCCAAAACCCGAAGGCGATGTGTGTCATGTTCAAGATTAAACTGAAATTAAACGGAAACAGAATAGCCACTGCCTTTTCTTTCTTACCACACAATAATGATTTTTTTCAGTGTTCACGTTGCGTATGCGTAATGCCAGTTGGCTCGCTTGGGAGTGCGATCATAAATAAATCGAAAATGAAGGGCTTGCAGTGGTTTTCATATGCGATTCCATGTATATCACTCCGCGTTGGTAAGACTTGTTTACACTTTTTTTTTTTAATTGTGTATTTATTTAGTGCAGAATCTGTAAAGCAAATTAAAGTACTTTAACAACACATGTGTCACAAATGAGAAAAGTAAACCAAACCTCAGCATTAAGATGAGGATTATATATAGAATGTTAGCCTTATTGATTCCTTATCGTCTTGGCAAAGCCTTGCCTTTTGTTTACATTGCGTATGCGTAATGTGAGTGCGCCGCAATGTATGCTATGCTTCCTGCATTGCGCATTACGTATACGCAGGGTGGACCTGAGACTGGACTAGCAGACGTAACAGAACCGAAACAGAGTGTCGATAGCTGCGGGTCTGTGGGTTGCCAATGCTAGTTTGCGTACCACTGGACTAACTGCCTCGTGTTTACATGGCGTATGTGGAATATCGGTTGGCAGAACGCGCTTAAAAGCATGCTACATGCTGCGCTCATACAAATTCTGTTTGTTTTCTTTTTCCTTATGAAATTGTACATTGGACATTGGATGTTCGCATACAAAGCTTCGTTAAGAATTCGAGAATGCTCCCCACTCCCCACTTCATTTTGAACTAAATCCGCAAACCAGCAGCGCGTTCAGTGCAGTGCGTTCAGTGGGCTGTGACCTCAGCTGGCATTTAGGGGCTGGTGCTTACATCTCGGCGGCGCACATCCGCCAGCTGTGCCTGTCCAGCAAACGGTCGGGAAATCCGAGAGCCGCGCCGCCTATAATTAGCTGGCACTCCGATGAAAGCGATAAAAGCGAGAAATCTCGGAAGATCGCGCGTTCGATCGCAGAGTTTGCGCCGCGCGCCGCTCAGTTGCGTTTCGGTTTCGGTAATCGGCGGAATCAGCGTAATCAGCGGAATCAGCGGAAACCGATCGACATGTCCGACAGCCAGCCCGATGCGGAGGAGCAACCGCGCTCCTCGCAGCAGCAGATGACGATCAGCGCCTCCACGCAGGAGCTGGCCGAGCTGATCGACATCCACCTGGGCGCGCTGCGGCCCAAAGGATCCCTCGTGGCGGGTGGCCGACTCCCCGATCTCGGGCCGCGGCATCTTCGCCACGCGCGACGTGGCCGCCGGCGAGGAGCTCTTCCGGGAGCACACGCTGCTGGTGGGCCCCACGGCGCACCGGTCGAGCAACCTGCGCACCTGCACGCTCTGCTACCGCCTGCCGCCGGGCTCCTCCGACGCGGAGGCGCTCTGCCCCGCCGGCTGCGGGCTGCCTGTGTGCCCGGAGTGCCGCGGAGGAGAGCGGCACGCGATCGAGTGCGGGCTGTTCCGCAAGTGGCGTCCGCTGGAGAGCAAAAGGATCGAGCCGCGGGCCCTGCGGATCCTCAGCGTGGTGCGCTGCTTCTTCCTGGACGAGCCGAGCAGGCGGCTGCTGTACGCGCTGCAGGCCAACATGGACCGCTACTACATGGCGGAGGTGCGCCGGGCGGCGGACTGCTTCGAGCGCTTCCCGCGCGAGCAGGACATGCTGGACTTCTTCTACCGCACCGTCTGCGCCTTCAACACGAACGCCTTCGAGAGCCGCAGCAGCGTCCAGGGGCACGAGGTGCTGGTGCGCGCCCTCTTCCCGCTGGCCGGGCTCCTCAACCACCAGTGCACGCCCAACGCGGCGCACCACTTCGAGGGCGGCGAGACGATCGTGGTCTGCGCCACGGAGCGCATCCCGGCCGGCGCCGAGGTGACCATGTCCTACGCCAAACTGCTCTGGTCGACGCTCGCGCGCAGGATCTTCCTGGGGATGACCAAGCACTTCCTGTGCAAGTGCGTCCGCTGCCAGGACCCCACGGTGAGTGGCCCACCATCTGCTCCATGGCTTCTATCCTTCTTAGGCTCCTTAGGCGTCTGTCTTCCCAGCAGCTGGGCGAGGTGTGAGCTGTGAGATGGGTGCGACGCTCGATGCAGTGCACCTCCGTGCATGAGGTGCTTCTCCTCGCGTGAGACGGTCCTCCAGTGAGTAGCCACTTCTGTTTGACCCCGGATCGCTCCGCTCCGTGCTCGAGAAAGGCTCCCAGAAGAGTGTCGAGTGGGGAGCGACACTTGTTCGAGTATCTAGCGAATGCGCATGACCACGGGAATCCTCTTTCCTGCAATCCCTGCGAACCAAAGGAAAGATCGGAGGAACTGGAATCGCTTGTGAACCATCTGAGCAATTCCCACTACTATACTACAGTTCTTCTGAACTAGTTTCGGAAACTAGTTCACCCTCTTACATTCCATTACTCATCTATTCGGATTCGGATTCAGATTCTGATTCGGATTCAGATTCTGATTCGGATTCGGGCTGTCAAAGATCGCATATCGCGGCAGTCTTTAAATACCCCTTTGACCCAGTCGCGCGTCAGTCCACATTAATTTTAGACCCTTGTTTTGCTTTCGCTTTCCCCCTCCCCCTCTCCCTCCCCCTCCCCCTCACCATTGTGTGCCCCCAAAAGAACGAGAAAACGAGTGTAAACTGCGCAGAGATTCCTCGCAGCTGAGGCGGAAGGCCCACGAAACGGCCGGACAATGAAAACATTTCAGACTCGTCGGGTATTTCGGTGCCATACTCTTTCCCCTGCGGGCAACCGCACTACGCTGCTCCCTTGGCCAACCAGCTGAGAATAGATTGTGCTTCCACCGATGGAGCGCATTCCGTGCGCACTGTGTGCCACTGCCACTTTCATCTGACTTTAGGGCTCTGAATTGCTCTTTTGGACATTCGGCATTCGGCATTCGGCAGTCGGCGTTCGAGTGTGTCTCCTCCGTTCGGCCTCCGTTCTGCCTCCGTTCGATTGGGGCCAATGAAACGGGCGAGGAGTGAAAATAGATTCCCAACGGGGGGGCGGGGCAGGCGCTTCTGCGAAGGGAGGCGCTGACTTGCGTTCGCAGCTGATTTACGTACGCCCGCCAAACTGCGCCGGAACTGGGGCGCGGCAGGACGAGTCCACTCCCCAGGATACTCAGGACACTTGGGACACCCTCCCCGACATGTGACAGTGCGTGACAGTCACGAAGGAGCACGGAACACGGAACACATCCCATCCCATCCCCATTACATCCCATCCCACTCCACTTCATGGTGGCTTCCACCTGGTCACGTGTCACGAAGCCCATTTGACTCCGCTCCGCTTGTCACTGCCGCACGCAACTCCTCGGGTGGCGGCGTCTCAATTTATGTCCCTGCCACACGCACTGCCACATGCAGTGGCAACCTGGGAGGTGGAGAGTGGGCAGTGGATGGCGGCTCATATACGAACAAACCTTCGTAATGCAAATCCGTGCCGCAGCCAACCAACTGCCGCAGCAGAGGTTGTGGCGCCTAGGAGCAGCCTTTGGTGGCATTCAGCAGGCGAGGTGCACCCATTTCTAGCAGTGGGAGTGGCAGGGGAGGCAATCACGCCCCCTTCTGGTGGCTGGTGGCTGCATCTCCGCCAGCAATCTTTCCAGCTGCTCAATTGCCTCAGTTTGGCGCCGGAACAAATCGGAATGGGAGGGGAGATGGGAACGGGTGGAGGGTGGTGGGTGGTTCTATGGCTTCGCCTCACTTTATGGCATCCATAACCAACCGCAGGCGGAGGTGGTAAGAGGGGGAAGGGGAGGGGAAGGGGAGGCATACACGCCGAGGTGTTTGGCGAACAAATTGACAGCGGGAAACGTTCTTTGATGGCTGAATGCCCGATTGCTGCATCAATGCTTTCCCCTCCCCCCCGGCGAATCCAATTGAACGCAACAATAGCAACCACACAACAACAGCAGCAGCAACAGCAACAACAACAACAGCAGCAGCAACAGCAACAACAGCAGCAACAGCTCAGGCACAAATTGAATAAGAGTCAAAAGCAAAATCCGCTTTGCGGCGTCCCAGCCAAATGTCTCTGTTGCCCAGCGGAGCACTCGAGGCGCCTCCGCGTTCCCAACTGCGGAATCTCCCACGAATCCGTATTCCCGAGAACCTAATCATAGATATCTTGCACTCCAAGCACTAACTTATCTTGATTCGGATGCATTTGAAGATGTTCAGAATGCGCAACATTAAATCACAAATATCCATGCTCCTCCATGATGATGATTTGGCTGCCAGTTAATTGATTTTCATTCCACATATTATATTATTATTATATTATACAACAGCATGTTTCATTATTAATTTTAATATTCGATTGCCTGGTTTCCCGAACTCTTTCCCTTCGCAAAAGAAAAGCCTTTTTGGCTTCCGAAAGTGGGAACTCGGCGGCACTGGCGAGTGCTGAGTGCTTTCGGTGTGCGTGTGCCTTGGAAAAATCATATTCGACTGTCGTCGTTGTCGCTGTGTCCCTCCCCCTTCCTCCTCCCCCTCCCCCTCCCCCTTGGCGGCCGCCTCTAATTTGTGTTTCTTTGGTTGTGTCTAATGCTCTCCGAGGGCGTCGGCGTGTCCACGTCATAAGCGTCGCTGCTTCGCCGGGTTTGTTCCGCCGTCAGCAGTCAGTTGTTGCTGTTGTGCCGGGTGTTGCTGTTGCTGCTGCTGCTGTTGCTGTTGCTGTTGCTGTTGCTGCTGCTGCTGCTGCTCATGTTGCTGGTGGCGCGGCTGTCGCCTTAGCCATTCCCGCACAGACCGCTCGGCTGCGCGGAGACCTCCTCTTCATCATCGCCGAGTTGCGCGCGTCGCGTCGTTGGTTCGCCGCAGTTCCCTCCGCAATCGCAACCGCAATCGCAGTTCCTCGCAGTCCGTCCGCATGTCCTCCCCAGACACTGCGAACACCCCCAAGCCGCCGAGGAGCCAAAGGGACAGCACCCTGGCCGCCCTGGGCGCCCACATGGCCCCCTGCCGGGAGACGACGCCCGAGCAGCTGGCCGCCCTGATCGACGCGCACCTGGGCGAGCTGCGCGAGGAGCGGCCCAACTGGACGATCCGCTCCTCGGCGGTGGCCGGGCGCGGGGTGTTCGCCACGCGGGACATCGCCGCCGGGGAGCTGATCTTCCAGGAGCGCGCCCTGGTCACGGGTCCGACGGCGCGGAAGGGCCAGCTGAGCAGCTGCGTCTGCTGCCACGAGCCGCTGCCCCAGGAGGGCTTCCTCTGCCGGCACCGCTGCACGCTGCCCGTCTGCTCCACCTGCGCGGACTCGGAGGCGCACCGGGCCGAGTGCGAGCACTTCCGCCGCTGGCAGCCCAAGGACGCCGACGCCGCGGAGGAGCAGGAGCAGGTGAACCCACTCTCGCTGCGCATCCTCACCGCCGTGCGCGTCTTCCACCTGGGCAAGGAGCAGCGGCGCCTGGTGGACGCGATGCAGGCCAATGCGGAGCGGGCGTACCGCCGCGAGATCATCAAGGCGGCCCAGTGCTTCCGCAACTTCCCCACCACGGACCGCGCCTTCATGGACCAGCTGTTCCGCATCGTGGGCGTGCTGAACACGAACGCCTTCGAGGCGCCCTGCCGCTCCGGCGGCCACGAGACCCTGCTGCGCGGCCTCTTCCCGCTGACGGCGATCATGAACCACGAGTGCACGCCCAACGCCAGCCACCACTTCCAGGAGGGGCGGCTGGCGGTGGTGCGGGCGGCGAGGGCCATCCCGGCGGGCGGGGAGATCACCACCACCTACACCAAGATCCTCTGGGGCAACCTCACGCGCAACATCTTCCTCAAGATGACCAAGCACTTTGCCTGCGACTGCGCCAGATGCCACGACAACACAGTGAGTAGGGCGATGGGGAGTGGATGCGACTGGTGGGGCAGCTAGATCCTGGTGGGGCAGGTGACCCAAACTGCACTGAGTAGTGATTGTGGTGCTGAAGTGCCTCGGGAGCAAGGCGAGAGCTTTGCTGGGCTCTGCCTTCGGCGATGAGTTCTAATTTTACTGAACGACGGCGCTTCTGGGAAGAGCTTTTTGGATATATTTATAAGTGCTGAAGACAGGAGAATTCTCCGCCTCTTCAAGTGTTTGGCTGTGCATTGGGAACTCCCAATCCCCTGTGTTACAAGGACTCCATCTTTCGGCTTTTATTGCTCTATCCGCTTTTGGCATATAAGCCTATCAGAACACGCACGATTCCTTTTGGCCATGAGTTTGGGTATCCATCGGATACACAAATAAAACGTGGGAGCCCCGCAATCTGTCGGCCAAGAAGAGCAATTATCGGAATCCGAAAAGCGTTCCCCTGAATCTCAACGACACTTTCTTGGCCAGCTGGGAAAGTGCGAGTGTGGCGGTGTGTTCGTGCGTCTATTTATGTGAGTGCTTTTCCGCCTCTTTGGGATGAGTTGAATAATGGCCTCGTGGCCTCATGGCCTCATGGCGGTCTTTTCAGCGCTGCCAGTGGCCGCCTGCGTTCCTAATTAAATTAGCTTATGATTTACATCCCACGGGGCTCGGCTGAAAGGGGGTCGAACTATGAACTTTGGGCGAAACACATAAAATCGTAGGGAGGAGGACTCAGACACATTGGTACATTGGCATGCAAGTCGAATGATCTCAGAACAACACAAACAGTCTATAACCCCCAAAGCACGAATGGAATGCAATCATTTTGAATCAGATCGTACTCTCATTGGGTTCGCCTGTACTTTATGGAATACGTAGTACTCCCAACCGAACCGAACCTAATGCTTCGAATGCCGGGCTACTAACACCCATTCCGATCCCCTTGAGCATGCTGATATGCCAGTTCTTCAGTTTCCAGTTGCAAGTTGCAGTTCCGTGGTGACTTGGGCAGCTTTCCCCCCACTGATCCCCACTGATTTGTAGACCCACTAACCCCCCACCGATTACTCTCCCTTTGCAGGAGAACGGAACCTTCCTGTCGGCGCTCTTCTGCCGCGAGCAGGGCTGCCGCGGCCTGGTGATCCCCGTCCAGACGCGCACCCTGCAGCCGGACTGGCGGTGCACCACCTGCGAGAACGTGTTCCCGCACACGAAGATGGCCAAGTACCAGGACTTCGCGCTGAACACCATCAACAACCGGATCAACTCGTGCAGCGTGCAGGACATGATCCACTTCATCAACGAGCTGTGCCCGCGCTTCTGCCCCGCCTCCAACTACGTGCTGATCGAGGCCAAGCTGAACGTCATCTGGCGGATGACGCGCTTCGACCGCGAGGAGTACTCCCCGGAGGAGATGGGCCACATGGACCGCTACCGCGAGGAGGTGTTGGCCATCCTCCACAAGCTGGGCGCCGGCGAGTGCACCCTCAAGAAGCTCATCACCGGCGAGATCCAGTAGTCAGTGTTCTTTTTTTTTGCCTGTTTTTATATTGTGGATGAGCTAGTGCCTCCTCCTTGTTGCTATTCTGTTCGTTATCACTTAGGAAACCAATAAATCACATCTCTTTATCGCTCTTCTCTGACGGGGCTCGGGAATAATGACCACTGCAAGTACGAGGGGCAACCAGCCACGAAGATCGCCGGCCTGCGATTGACCAACAAGTTGAAAATTGCCACGATAAAAGTTCTGGGGCATTAGTCTGGCTCTCATTCCTTTCGGGGTTGCTGGCACTCATCTTGTTGTGCCGCTGAGATCGAAATGCGTCCCTCCGCCTCGAAGAGATTTCAAATAAAAGCCGAAAAACCCAAAAATCAACATTTTTCGTGCGAGAATCAAGAGTTTCAAATTGAGACATTAATATGGTGTTTTTTTCATTATCTCCGGAAATATTCTTCCAAATGTGGAATGGCATACTTCGTTGAACTCGTGATAAAATTCTGAATCCGATGGTATAAACACCCAAAAAAGTTGAAATTTTGCCATTTTTCGCAAAAAATGACGATGTAACCCCTTATGAAAATTTGCTAAAATTGGCCAAAAATCATTTTTTTTGAATCGTCCAAAAAGTGATTGGGCTCGTTAACTGTGGTCATAAGGTGCTCAAAACAGTATTTGGTTCCGCTGTAAGTCACTTTTTTGCCTTTTTACATCCGAAAAACCACTCAAAATACATTGTTTTCTACCAAAATTGTCAACTAATCTTTCCCAAATCAGTTTTTATGAACTAACTAAAGGATCAGTTAAATAACAATTAAATTGCATTCAATTCAATTCAATTCAATAATTTTGCTTTATTTCCAGTATCATTTTCAGTTTTGCTTAAAGCTTACAAAATTTTTTACTTAGAGTTTAGACTTATTTACTATCTTTACAACTATAATATTTTGTTATTTTGTTTATTTAATATTTATTTGTTCATTTTTATTAACATTTAATAATCCAAGAAAATGGTAAAACTTGGCTCAAAGAGATTAAATTGCATTCGGTGGCATAGCTAGTTGGGCCACTTTGGTTTCCCAAAACTATACTTTGTTCGGCTGTAAGTTGTTTCTTCCCTAAACCGCTAAAAAAAGCAGCCGATTTTGCTTTCAAATCGATTTTATACACCAGGCCAACATAACTCGTAGCAGGTTGCAGCTGGTAAATCTGATCTTATTCAAATAACTGTTATTTTCATAAGATAGCTGTCCTTGTTACGCTTTCCCTCCCTGTCCCCACCAATCAGAAAGCCATCCCGCTGGAAGGTACCGTTTCTTTAAAGTAAGTATCAGACCAGAGATGCCAAACCATGTTGATTCTTTGTGCGTGTCACGAAAGTGGCACTTCGCGCACGAGTAATTAATAAATTCCCATGTGGTTGTTGTTGGCGTTACAAGAATAACTTGTCACGCGCTCAACACTAAACAAGCCAAGTTAAGCTGATCAGCTGATCGATTTGCACCTGCTAAGCGGTTATGTTGGCCTGGTGTTTGCAATTCAGTTCATGGCAATTTGCTTGCGAAAATGTACCAAAAATCATTTTTTTTAGTCTTCCAGGTTTCGATCAACGAAAGCAGCTCGTTCGCGGATTCATCGAGGAGCAGCAGAAATTATTCGCCTTGGACGAGCAAAGTGAATTTTTTTATTTTTAAATATCGAATTGGTTTAGAATTACTTGTTATAATAAAAATGAAATTAAATAAAATGTGTTTTTTTGTTGGTTTGGGGGTTTATGAGTAGCTAAACGCATAGCAGCTGAAAATCGAATTTATTGTCCCGAGGAGCATTGTCCGACTAGACAGCCAAATTGGCAATTTCTGAAAACGAAATACCAGGCGAACAGAAATACCTAGAAAGCGGCTGCAAAATTCGAAAATAAAAATCAGCAGCCCCCTAAGGTATGCAACATTTTTCATACGCAGATGCTATTAAAGATCGTGGTTCGAAACTTGACTATGTACGATCCACACAAAATACTAGATTTGTGGATTGAGCATCACTGACAATGCTGGGCTTGAAACTCGGATATCAATTTCAGAAATCTGCCAAAATCCACTTTAAGGTACCAGGCGAACATAATCCATTAGTAGGTGGAAATGGACAAAATTTTTGGAAAAGTTGCTCACTGACAGAAGCTCTATGCTACTAATTGCTTACTGACAGAAGATTTCTGCTATGATATAAGATCGCTGGAATACAATTGTTTACTGACAGAAGATCTCTGCTACTGATTGCTTACTGATGGAAGATCGCTGTTATAAAAAAATAAATTCGATATCCACCTGCTAGGCGTTTCTGTTCGCCTGGTATCTGGTTTTCAGAATCGACCAATTTGGCTGTCCAATCGATCCAATCGGGACTGGATTTGTGGTGTATCTGAAAAATAAAAATAAAAACCCTCCCCTTCCCAGAAATGAAAACACGTTGCAGTTGTTGTACAAAAGCATTCTTTAATGTCGTATAACCAGACAAACACTCGCACAGGCATACAGTCATAGTAGAGTTACAAAAATTGTTCTAGTACAAATTGCATATCGATATACATATGTACGTACGTATACATTTTTATACATTTGCATGCACCTGCAGTGGAGGTGTTTCGGGATTGGGATTGGGATTGGGATTTGGGATCTGGGCTTGAGGGGTCAGCAGGGGTGGTCGCCTAAACATAAATAATCGGATACGCTCTAGCTATGGCATACACACATGTTTGGCCTACGCCTAGGACTTAATCTAACCAGGTGTTGGGCGCATCAATACACGTCTAGAAGTATAGTTACAGTAGAAAAAAAAAAACAAAAAACAAATATAGAATTAGCAATAGCAGTAGCAGTAAGCAAAAACAAAGTGCGCACGATGGAGTGGGTGGACTAACTTAGGGCTAGGTGCTCGGCGTGGTGCTTCTGCTCCGACTTGCGGGCCTGCATTCGCTGGAGGGGCGGAATGGCGAACATAACCAGTCCGCTGATGGCGATCATCAGTCCGGCCATGAGGAAGGCAGGCGAGTACGAGTCGGTCAAGTCGTACATCCAACCTGTGGGCGAGAGTCACGCATGTAAGTAAAGTAAGTTAAAGGTTCTTTTCCCAAGTAGAAGACACCCACCTCCGATGGGCGGACCAATGAAGCTGGCGATGCCCTGGAAGAGCAGCAGCAGGCCGAAGGCGTTGGTCAGCTTGTCCAGGCCGAGCAGGTCCACCAGGATGACCGAGGTGAGGCCCACGTAGGCGCCGATCGTGAACCCGAACGCGGCGCAGTAGATGACCAGGGACTGGAAGTCGTGGCACAGCGGCACCATGGCAGTGGCTGAAAGTGGACAGAAATACAGAATTATCATTAGGTTATAGTTTCGGAACAGGCAAACCAAAATATATACTCACACACTCCGCAGGCCGTGAGGCAGACGTTGTAGACCAGCAGCCGGTTGACCCACGGCTTGTCCGATATGTAGCCCAGGATGATGCGGCCCACCGTGTTGGCCACGCCGATCGTGGCTATCAGGTGGCTGGCGTCCGTCTTGGTCAGCTTGAGGGTGTCCGCGTAGGTCGCCACGTACAGGTACGGCACGTTGAAGCCGATGCTCGTGCAGAAGTTCGACACGGAGAAGATGACGAAGATCACGTCCTTGAGCAGCGAGAAGTTCATCATCTCGGCGAACGTGTCGCGGGTCTCCTTGGAGCACGTGATGCAGCCGCAGCACTTGGTCTCCTCCTGGCAGAGAAGAAGAGAGCGTCATGAAATAAAGACATACATACAGAGATACATTCTATATTCTATACTCGATCCACCTGCTGCGACAATCAATGTCTTTAGACCCATCAAACCCAAACAAACCTTAGCTGGCCCGTGAAGGGAGGAAGGGGAGGAGTAGGGGGGAGGGGCAGGGGCAGGGGCAGGGGCAGGGGCAGGGGTCACTGCAGTGTAGACCCACCCGTTGGGGTCGCTGTAATCTGGCCGCTTCGCCATGACCCCGCGGCCGAGACCGAATTGAGCCCGAAATTAGCATGGAGCGCTCATGTTAGTCAAATCGCGTAAATGGCGTAATGAATATGCGTGGACCGCGCCGGCCGCTCGCTTAAGCCGCCTGACCGCCGCCTCGGGGCTCCAGTGCTGTGCCGTGCGGCTATCCACGATCCACGATCCACGATCCACCGCTGGATCGATCGCTGCTCAGGGAAAGGCTGCCCAATGGAGAGCTTCTTCGAGGACAGGGAGGTGTTCGTGACGGGCGGGTCGGGGGTGGTGGGCAAGGCGCTGATCGAGAAGCTGCTGCGCTCCTGCAACGTGAAGCGCATCTACGTGCTCCTGCGGCCGCGCAGGCAGCTCTCGGCGGAGCAGCGGCTCCTGCGCCTGCGCCAGGCCACCGTCTTCCACGTGCTCGTCGCCGAGAAGCCGCAGGAGCTGGACAAGGTGGTGGCGGTGCCGGGGGACGTCTCCCTGCCGGGCCTGGGCATCGACCCGGCGCAGGTGGAGCGCCTGCGGGGCGTCTCCCTGGTCTACCACTGCGCGGCCACCGTCCGCTTCGACGAGCCGCTCCGCGTGGCCCTCCGGCTGAACGTCGGCGGCACCCTGGAGGCGCTCAGGTTCGCCGAGGGGCTGCCCCTCCTGGAGGCCTTCGTCCACGTGTCCACCTTCTACAGCAACCCATACTTGACGCGGGTGGAGCCAAAGGTACTGAGCTGCTCAGCTCCTCAGTTTTAGGCTCAGATTTAGGCTAACCCTGATCCTTGCAGTACTACTCCTCGCCGATGGACTGGCGCCTCTGCCTCCGACTGCTGGACGAGGTCCCGGAGGACGGGCTGCTCGACGCCCTCACAAGGAAGTAAGTCGCGTCCGTTAATCGCCGCTCCTCTTGCAAATCGATTCTCCCTCTCTCGGCTGCCGCCACTCCATCTTGGATTCCGAACCAGGCTGATCGTGGGCTTCCCCAACACGTACACCTTCACCAAGAACCTGGCCGAGTCCCTGGTGAACGACTACCGCCACCGCCTGCCGCTGGTGGTGTACCGCCCCTCCATAGGTGAGCCTACGATCCGCCCAATTGCAGTTTCCATTCCCGATCCCGTTTCCATCCAGTTCTCTTCGCGGTGGACGACCCCTCGCCCGGATTCTCGCCCTCGCTGATGGGCGCCATGGGACTGTTCGCCCTGGTGGGCGCCGGCATCCTGAAGACCGTCTACCTGGGCAGGGACATCCGGCTGGACATCACGCCGCAGGACATCGGCATCAAGAGCATGCTGTGGTACACGAAGCGCGGCGCGGAGCTCTACCGCCAGGGGCCTCCGGCGGAGCTGCCGGTCTTCCTGTCCTCGTCCTGCACCCACGTGCCGCACACCTTCACCCAGATCGCCGAGCAGATGGACTCGCTGGACCTCTGGCGGCACTCGGCCTTCGGCAAGAACCTGATGATCCCCGGCTGCCACTACACGGACCGCCGCTGGGTCTACCAGTCGCTCGTCTTCGCTAAGCAGATCCTGCCCGCCATGGCCGTCGACCTGCTGCTCCGCGCCTGCGGCCAGCGGCCCCTGCTGATGGGCGCCGTGCGGAAGGCCTACCAGACGCTCGAGGTGATGCAGCCCTTCATGTTCAACAACTACGACAGTCCCGGGGTCACCGACTACGAGCTCCTCACCGCGGAGAACCAGGGGTGAGTGCGCAAACCAATCCAGTAATCCAGCAATCCAGCAATCCACCAATCCACTTCTGCTCCGCCTTCCCAGCACCGCCTTCGATCTGGCCGCCTTCAGGCACCCGGATATCCACGGCCTGGTGATCCAGTCCTGCGGCGAAATGCTCCTCAGCATCCGCACCCACCTGCTCCGCGAGGACCCGGCGACCCTCGGGCGCAGCAAGATCATCCTGCGAACGTGAGTACCTGCGAACTCGCGCGTTTCGGCTGTGCATCCAAATAGTACTTTCCCTTCCAGGAAGGTCTTCCTCTACCGGCTGCTCCGCCTCTTCCTGCTCTACAAGCTGCTCCGCTGGCTGTGGTCGCGCTACGGGGCCTCCCTTTCGTTTTAAGCTTTTTTTTGGTAGCCTAAGTGGAGCTGGGTTTTGGCTCAGCTCAATATACTACAGAACCTCCCTATTCAGCTAGCCCGCCTTTCTTTCTGCCCTTGTTTTTGTCAGACTTGAGCCACTCCGTCCGGGACTCTCCTCTCCAGAAGGGTTTCTGCGGAGTTCCCTTCCCGACGGAGTGGTTCCACACCATTCACCCCCTCTATTGCATGAATCGGACCGAAGGGCACCAGCAACCGTATGAACCAATAAGCGGACTCTCCAGCGGTGAGTCTTAATGCCAGCTTGTAAAAACCGAATATCATATGCCATCGGACCCCAAAGCTCACCTGACTCTGCGCCACACTGTTGCTCTGGCGGAGGGATCCGTACCGCTTGATGACCCCCGACCCGGACATGGAGCGGCTCAGGTCGTTCCGGGAGCTCACGTAGTCGGGCAGGTTGTGCAGCGAGCCCTGGAAGGAAAGACAAGTGGTTAACGTTACTCCGGAGAGTGGAGAGGGGAAACCCACCTGGTAGAGGGCGTCCGGGCGGTACATGGTGCCGCTGGCGCTCCGCTCGCGGTGGCCGTCCCGCAGGGGAGCCAGCTGCAGCTGGCTGCGGCACTTGCGGGCGATGTCGTCGTTGCTGGTGCTCTTCACCACCGCCTGCGGTGGCGTCACCAGGATCCCCGTGGGTCCCTGTCCGTTGGCGGCTCCGTTCGAGTTGTTGTTCTACGGAGCAAAGGGAGCAAAGGGGTGAGGCGTAAGTCAGCGATGGACGAGTTGATGAGGGTGCTCCCCTCCTCCTCCGGAGGACTCACCAGGTTCAGGCCGGGCTTCAGGTTGTGGCCCACGCTGTTCGAGCGGCAGAGAGCGCCGCCGGAGAGCGGCGGCAGCTGCAGGTACTGGCCCTTGTCCTTGTCGTTGTCCTTGTCCTTCTCCTCGTTGTTGACCTTGGAGAGGAGCTTGAGCGGCTCGAGCTCCGCCGGCGTGGTGTTCTGGTCGATGATGGCCGCCTTCTTGCCCAGCTGGGGCGTGCTCGGCGTGTTCGGCGGCGTCTGCGGCGGGGCCTCCAGCTCCAGCGGGCGGAACATCGCCCCGAAGATGATGCAGTTGAGCACGATCCCGCCGATGATGAGCATGGCCCCGCGCCACCCATAGCTCCCGATGAGGGCCTCCGTCAGCGGGGCGAACAGGAAGGTGCCGAACCCGGAGCCGCAGACCGCGATCCCGGTGGCCAGCGACCTCCGCGCCTCGAAGTACTGCGTCACGCTCACGATGGCCGGCAGGTAGATGAGCCCGAAGCCCAGCCCCGTCCCGAGGCCGATCGTGATGATCAGGGTGAGCACGTTCTGGGCGAACATGCTCACGATGATGCAGCTGGCGGCCAGGAGGGAGCCCGCGATGGTCACCGCCCGGCAGCCGTAGCGGTTCACGAACGACGAGCTGATCGGACCTGCAAATGGATGGATAAGCGCATTAATCAGTTTGTAAAGGATGGGGAATACCATTCAAGAGGGTATCGTTCACTCACCGGAGGAGAAGGTCACGCCCACCATTATGGAGGCGATCCAGGCCGTGTAGCCCTTGCCCTCGTTGAAGTAGTCCAGGAACTCATTGTAGAAGATGCCGAAGGAGTAGGTCATGCCATCAGCTGCGGGAGAGAGGAGATCAGATGGGGATCAGCAGCTGTGGATTCCGAATCAACCCTCCATCCCCCATCCTCCATCCTCTGCCCGCCACCCAAGTGGATTCCGTTCGATCTAACTGGTTCGACGGGCCGTAAATCAGTTTAGTTGGGCAATTAATTACGGCTCCCAATTTTATCAGCCCCCCCACCCCCGCTCCCACTTGTCCCTCGGCAATCGCCAATCACCAAACACCAATCACCAATCACCAATCGCCAATCGCCAGTCTCCAGTCGCTCTAACCCGTAACTATTTCCGTGGCACGGCAATTACAGCCGTAGCCGCGATTAGATTATCGCCCGGCCATCTGCGGACGGACTGCGGCCACTTGGCCACAATTATCACCCACTTGCTGCTTGCACGGCTCGAGTGGCGACTGTACTCCACCTCACACCTCCCACCACCCACCACCCACCTTCCGTAAAGCAGCAACGCAGTCGGACCGCCGATAAGCCCAATGAGCTCCCAAGCGGTCCGGCCGAACTCTCTGATTTTGGTGCTTGGCTATTTACGATCCCAAATCCACAACATACAACCTGTTGCCGGCTGTTCTGGTTGCCGGGTCAGTCGAAGGCCGGCGGATTTGATTTACGACAGCCGCGAAGTGCTGGAGCCATGGCCACCCACTCAGATGGCGAGCACCACTTGGCCAGGAGTCCTGCGGCGGAACCCACTGACAACCAAGTTCTAATAAGTTATGATAAGAGGATGAAATCGGGAAACTTTCAGTATCTGGCACTCATTCCTTGGGATAAACGGCTCGCTCTTCCCGCACCAGAATCAATCAATTGTAGCTTCCACCAGGATCTCGAAGTCCTATGCTTGCTGCAGCTGACACTTAAGCCCCATTCGACGACCCTTCACCCGGGTATCTCCACCACCGATTAGCAACTAAACTCCACTTACTGACTATGTGGATCATGAAGGAGCCGAAGACCACCACCCATCCCCAGCCGCCGTCCGGCGGAGTGGGCTGTCGCTCCAGGTCCATGTCGCAGGACTCGTGCTGCTGCTGCGATTTTCTGCGGGCCGGCGGTCCGTGCACCATGTTGCTGTTGCTGTTGCTGCTCCGACTTCCGGTTGAGCCTTGACCTCTGACCTCCGGTGGCACTTGCTTTGGCTGCTGCGGCTGGGGTGCACCTGCTGCTGCTACTGCTGCTGCTGGTGGATCTCCTCCTCCTCAAAGCCTGCGGCTCATGCTGCGCCAACTGAAACGAGAGCGGTGGCAATTAGAAGCTGAGTTGTGAAGTCGGGTGGCAAGAAAACCCAATTACCAATGCTGAAAACACGTGATGAAGAGGATGTGGCCGTTGGAAGTTGTTGTTGCAGCGAGTCTGCCCCGCTTATCAGCCGAGCTCAGCTGAGAAGCGTTGAACCCGCCAAAAACAACCAAACAACCGAGGCAGATGGGTCTCTTCGTATGAATTTAAATAGAACATTAAGGTTGATTGCTACTTAGAGCACACCCAAGTTATTGCTCATTAATTAATCACCCGAAATAATAGAAATAGAAATAATTTCATCTTTAACGATTTAGCGATAATTATTTCGCACTCCATTAAAAAGTTTACTATTCAAAAATATTTAAGATTGTGGCACCTATAAAGAAATGCCTCATTTCTTCGCGATGCGAACCAACTGAAAGCGGTTATCAGGCTGCCAGCGACCTCTGACCCCGTCGCCCGCCCCCTCCTCTTTGGCCAAATCGCAAACCAAATCATCACGGTTATTTGGCAGATTTCGCTTACATTTCCATTGTCCGTCGATCGAACAAGAAGCGGGGGAAATGGGAGGGGAAATGGGAGGGGGAGGGGGAGGGGCGAGGCTGATTCTAAGTATCGCTGGTACTCAGTAATTAAGTCAGCACTCGGGATGCGGCTTATCAGGCCCAGCAGCTCAGAAAAACAACCGACTTTATAGACTACTATATATAATATTTGCCATTCGGACCCCCAGCGATCTGCGTAGAAAGTCTTTCGTTTATGCGGCGAGAAGTCGCGATCGCCAAAGGGGTTTTCGATCTGGCTACCCTGAATATCTATCCTCGAGGTTGAGTGGTCATTTATTACGGATTAAAATGGTTTTATGCATGCCAAGGAAACATCAAGGAGTTCTGAATATGCTGAAATATACATCTAAATGGTGGCTCAAATGAATGTCCAAATCCCCTGATATAGCTTACAATATTTATCGTCAGATTTAAGACTCAACACACTGGCAAAGACTTTCCGCCACTTCAGAGTGTTCTAATCACTGACCCAGGTGCGAATTACTTTCGCTTTTTGTGTGGCGAGGCGTTCTTTTGTTCTCGCTCTTCGCCCGAATAGATATGGCCAGCAAGAATCGTGTACGTATAGCCTATATGCACATGTATCTCCAGAAGTGCTGCCTGCTCAATCATCGCTGTTTTTATGGCTGCGTTTTTGTGAAATGGAAACAAAGCGCAAAAGTTGCTACAATGCTGCAAGATAATTGTGACGTGATAAAGCGGATGATTCCTCCGGCGAGGGGCAATGTGGGCGGAATCGCGGGAAGCTGAAGCTGAAACTGAAACTGAACAAAACAAATGCTATTTCGCCTTTCCAAAGCCGTATCAGCAGGCAGTTGATATGCACACACATTACAACGAGAGCAGGCGTGAACAAAAGCCAAACCCAACCTAAAGTTGATTAGGCGCGAACAAGGGGGAGGGGAGTGAGGGGGAGGGGGTCACTAGTCACTATAGTGGTTTATTTACCAGAACTATAACAATAGCAACTGCACCGCGAGCATCTCCAACTTATGCGATGATTCATCCGTCGGCTTCGCTTCGATTCCTTTGTGCAATCAGAGACAATTAAAACAAAACAAATCAAATCAACGCAAATGAGGCCGACGAATGTCGTCTAAGCTTTTACCTCTGGACTGGCAAGAAATTCTACATTATCACATCGTACACCGTGGGCCAAAAATTGGCCATGACATCCGGGCGCTTCTCTCGGATGAAAGATACTCTTCTAATCGCCGACAAAGAGATTGCGCATACGCAACGTTGGCGGCAGTGACTTGAGAATGCTGAGCGTTCCGCACGGAAAACACTACTGAGGAGCCGCCCACTTGACCGCAACTCATCTGCCCCAACAAAGGAACGAGGGACTTTGGTTTCAGCTAGCTCACCAGCTTTTAAAGGAGGAAAAAAACAAGATAGAGGATGCGGGTTGCAGTTCCTTGATTTGCGTAGTTCAAAAACAATCTTGTTGGGGTTTTCTGGGAAACTACAAGTTATCTTCTCCTACCTCAGACATTCTTTAAGGGGTCGTGGATATTTGGGATCTATTTGCTCGACTTGAACCAGTACAAGTGGGCTGTGAACCGGTTGCCAACTGGATCGTAATCGACGGCTCCCCTCCCCCGATCCGTTGGTTTATCTTGCACTTTCGCCTGGCAACGACAGCAACACCAGCACGACATTCTCGCCAGGCGATAGCACTCGGACTGGATGCACTCGGCCGCCGAGTCATCGGTCGTCGGACGGAGGGCACTGCGAGGAGACTTTGCCCTTGACCCAACGAGTCACCGAGTCACCGCGTCACCGAGTGACCGCGTCACCGAGTAGTAGCCCCAAAATGTGACAAAATGTGCGCAGCAAGCAGAGTGCAGTATCAGCAGCAGAAAAAGCAGCAGAGCCAGCCAAAAAGCAGGAGCAACACGAACTGTTTGATTACGTGATGCACTGCGAACAACTTCTTGTGCTTCTTGGGAGTTCTCGAGGTGTTCTCAGGAGCAGGGCTACCTGTATGGAAGGCATGACGTGGTATTTCTGCACCGCAATGGTAATCTTATTTTCTCGGTGTTTTGCTTTTGCGCTGCTCGGAAAGAATGCAGGTGTCGTTGAACCACCAGCGGCAAAACAAACAAGTGCGACTTGCCAAAAAAAAAAAGGAGGCGACACCAGAGGCGATAGAAAACACTTGCAGGCGACATGCAATCGGGTGATTCACTTCCAGTTCTCAACAACTAAAGCGATGGCCCAGTTAAACGTTCAGCCTTTGTCTCCCCAGATTTATGTTTTGCTTATCCTTGCCCGGTTCAAACTGCATCTCAACGGAAAAAACTCTCCAGCGGTCGTTGGCACTTTGTTTATGAAATTAATTCACTTGCCTGGCACTAAGTGAGTTTCGGCTTTTGCGGTCACGGATTCTTAATTGCCCTGGCCTTGGAGATACTTTGTGCTCACCTGCCAACCGGAATCCCAATCCCAAGCCCCACCGGATCCACCTGGCCAGTCTGTCCGTCTGTTGAACCTGGTCAGGAGCACCACCACCCCACCAACTCACCGTGCGGATTAAGTTGAATTGAAATTTCAGGAGAGCCAGGAAGTCCATTCTGTTTTCTTAGTTTCCCATAGAAATATAAGTTATATTCAAACGTAAGCGTCTGTTAAATCTTCCCATATTTCCTCAATCAATCAATCCCATCAATCTGCCTCAACGATCTTGTCAACATTGCGTCGAACCCTTGGATTTAGTCAATATCAATATCGGGAGCTATCAATATAGATCACGGCCACTGTACACCGATAAAGGGGAAGGGCAACGAATGCATTTCTTTTTCCTCTCCCACGTTCTTTGTCTATAGGCACACACAAAAAAAAAGAACCGAACGAGCCGAAATAAAAAAACAAACACGTTCAAAAATAGTTTCGACGAAAAGCGCATTTTCGAAGCACCGTCACCAGGCGAATGCATTCGCTCCTTGGACAAACGGAGAGGTGATGCGATCAAATGTGGGAACTATCACTCAGGCCATAGGCCAATACCGCCTTATCCGATCGAGTCGACTTACCTTCGGGGTTATGGACTATGCGCGCCTTTTGTTGATTAATTTGCTGCTGCCTGCACTCTTTCGCTTTATTCTTTTGCGTTATTCGCTGTATTGCCAGAGTGTGCAAAACTTTTACGACTTTGTTGACAATTTGTGTTCTTCGCGTTACAGTTACAGCTGCAATTGTCCAATCGCTGAGATTATGGATTGCACGGGGCGTTGAGTGTTCAGTCAAGCCGAATGAAATCGATTCGGATCGTATCAAAAGTCGATTAGGTGCGCGGCATATGTACTACATATGTATGTTGGGGGTCCTTGCCAACTGGCCACACTCGAGATTGTCCTGGCGGCGTTCGACCGACGCTCGATCACACTCGAACAACGCGAAATAACGGATTAAGCACGGACTTCGCGCCTGGTCAGTTAACTTTGCGTTGTTTTCTGCTTTTCTAGATTCCGTTCCGTTTTCGGCGAGACGCAACCGATGTGGCCGTAAGCAGCGACCAAATAAATTCAACGCGAGCTGGGCCAGAGAAAAGCGCCGAGCAGAACGAAGAAGGAGCGCCGTCAAAGAAAAAGCGCCTACCGAAACACTCTCCTCTCCGGGCTCTCCCGCCGCTCTCTCTCTCCGCCCGCCAAGGCGCCTTATCAGTGGTCAGCCCCGCCGGAAGAGAGAGCCGATGGGGAGCAAAGCGAAGAGCGCGGGGAAAAGAGCGCCAAAGCGATCGACTCAATCCGCTTTAAATTATAGGAACCTTATCAGTTATAGTATTTTGTACAGGTTTTTTTGCGATTTTCAATTGTTGTCCGCTGGCAAATAACACGGGTTTTTGGGGGGCGGTGGACCAGGGCGGGAGGGGGCCGCTTACGGCTTTCTGGGCTAAGTGTTAAATATTAATTAACAAATTTGCTCGAGTTGAACTATGCGTAAAACGAAATCACAACGGTCATAAAACGAAAATACAATCAAAGCAAATTGTATACAGCAGAGTACATTCATATACGCATGGACCATGGGGGGCACTGTGATACTCTACACAGAACAGTTACATATGTATATCGGTGCTCTCTTTAAGTAACTGTTTTTGGAAAGCATATTTAAAAAGGTACACAGTTTTTGGAGAAGTTTAAAGCACAGTGAAGCAATCGTTACATATAGCTAGTAAATAAATAGGGCTAGTAAATATTTCTACCTCCCTGCCTACGATAACTGATTTTCTTTGGCATTTTTAGGGGCCATTTTTCGAGTCCTTTAGAACAAAACTTCAGCCGAATGCTATTCAGCTAATTCCACCTGAACCAATCAACCGAATAAAGAAATCGCCTGTCACTGCAACTTCACCTTAAAGCACTGAAGAATCAAGGCCAGCGATTAGATGAGCCCTTTGTTGGCCACAGCGAATCGCTGATGCTCTATAAACAAAAATAAGTAGAGCGGTGTGCTTAGCTTTCCCCACTCACGGGGTTCCCTGGCTCGTGGAGACCTGACTCGCGTTCGCACCGTTCGCATAATTTGCCGGGCAAACAGTGTCTTTCTGGCCAAAAATAAACCCAAGACCAGACTGAAGTCGATCGGTCACAGGTTGGCCACCCAAGATGAATTGGTCTAGCACCCGTGATCCTATAAATAGGCCTGTACGCCCCCGCCCCGCCCCCATCTGGCCCCCTGGTCATTTATGATTGTCGTAATGCGCCAATATTGATAGCCGATTATGCCGGGCCATTGATAACGCTCTATAACGGGAATGGGACGGGAACGGGAACGCACTCTGCATAGTGCGTCCGCAACTGTCGTGCCACGCCCCATTTCCGATTGATAAGATAGTGGAGTCCGGGGCACAAGAAGTGGAGCGCTTCTGCAGGCTCCGCAGGCGGCGAGGAGCGAAGTGGCGCCCGAACAGGATTGGGATTGGGTTTACTCGACAAGCGGGTTTACCCAGGCGAAGGCTGTCACTCCCCACTGTCAACCGTCTGTCAACCAGATATATTTTGTACTACTCGCAGCTGGCAGGTTTGTTTCCCCCATTGTCCTACCAAGAACTACTGAGCACAAGTTCATATCCTGCGGTCCTGCAGATTCCCAATTGGAAGCCATGGATCTCTCTCAACTGGATGACCAGTGCAAGTGGCGCCGGTCAGCGCTGGGCCTGCGGAAGGAGTACTTCGGGAAGCCGTGGAACTACTGCTTTCGAGTGCCGCGCGATCCCTGCCAGCTCTTCAAGTGGATCATCTCGCTGGACCTGCCCAGGCTGGAGGACGAGACCCCGCCCTGGAGCTTCTACTCCGACCTGCTCGAGGCCCGGACCGTCCAACTGGACCGCAGTCCGCACAGCGGGAAGCTGCTTGTGAGCCTCGGAAGCCAGACGGTGGAGCAGTCCACGTCCGCATCTGAGCTCACGACGTCATCTGCATCCGAGGCTGAGGTGCTCACAGGGTCGGTGGAAATGGAAAGGGCGGTGGAGATGGGAAGCGATCCCGACATGGAGGCCAGTGCTCCGGGAGCAACGCCGCCCGATAACCAGCAAGCGAAGAGTCCCCGACAACTTGGCTCCTTGGTGAAGAAGATGGTGCTGACGGTGTCCGTGCTGCACTCGCTCTTCGTCCTGTCCAGGATCGCCCTCGGGGGCTCCCATGCCGGCGGGTGGGGCGCCTGGCCAGGAGTCCCGCCTCCGGCGCAGATCGACGAGACCCCCTGGTGCCTGCCCGCCGGCGCCTGGCAGTACTTGGTCAGCAAGCTGGGCGCCCTGCGCAGTGCGCATCCCTAACTCCGCTCCTGGGATCTCAGCGCGGACTGCGATAGTTTCGTTCCGGCTATTTTTAAACCCATCCCGCTATATTTACGCCTCCGGGCTCAGCTGTGGCTCTTCCCCGCCCCCGCCCCCGCCGATGTCGCCGTCGCCGTCGTCCACTGTTTGCTGTTTGCTGTTCTCGTTGTTGGCGGCGAGTCGATTGCGAGCACCACGGAGAGCCCGAATTGGGGGTCGTTGTTGTTGTTGTTGTTGCGTTCCCAAGCAGCCAAGCACCCCAGCACCTATCTACCCCAGCACCTAAGCACCCAAGACAACCACAGCGACAACGATCCGGATCGGCGATAAGCCCGGAATGTACATAAGTCTCGGTCAACAGCTCGCCGATCCGATCCGATCCGTAGCCAAATAAACGCCAAGCTGAGTCCCCAGCTCTAAGCTCTCTCCCTTCTTCTGGGAGTGTGTAAAATATTCCACTGTGGCCAGCCCCCGCACCCGCTGGACTGACCGTGGCCCGTGGACAATGATCCCGGCTCCCAGCTCCCGGCTCCCGGATCACAGAGCCCGGAGCAGCCAGCGCTTATCGGTGTCAAACACCTTTGTGTTTTTGAGTTAATGGCGAACATTAATAGGTGCATTCACTTGCCTTTCCCATTCCGAAACGGAACTCGATCCCCGACTGGCGTCATCGCGAGCTTAGCTGTGCATCCCGACAGAACTAGCCGACTAATGGTTGATCCTACGGATGAAAGATGCATATCGCGTATACGCACTGTGGATACTTGCCTAGCTTGGGCGAAGGGTTTCGGTTTCGAGTGACTCTGTCAGCCTGCCCTCGGCAGTTCGTCAACTTGATTTGCTCGTTCCGCACTCTCGGGCACCCTGTTCATAACTTTCGAATCGAATATGGCCCGTTCTGCAATCAATCGCCAATCGACTGTCATATCCATTCGGAATGGAAGCCTTCTCCTGGAAGCCTTCTAGGCAGCCGGGCCACTTGCCTTGCACCAACTATTGATTTAATTGCAGCTGATGGCCAAGGAAGCGCTGGAATCTTGGCGGCACGTCAACGTCAAACAGGCGAAGCGCCGGAAAATTGGGCTGCCAGGAAAAGCGACTGGCAATGGCAATGGCATAATGTGCCTGCTCGAGAGTTCGCATGCAAATTAGCTGACAAAACGAGATTGACATTCGGCCAGGCAATAAGCGGCAAGTTGTCTGCATCGGCCGAGTTGTTATTTCACTTTTTCCACTGTTCACGAATCGTGCCGCATTGCCGTTTTCCCTGCCACGGCCCAAAAGGCAACTGCGAGGACTGGCTAAAAAGCCAAATGCCGAGAGCAAAGGCCGCGCAAGTCGGCCGGCTAACGGGAGAAGGAGGAGGGGGCAGGCGGTCCCAAGGGCCCAGGATATATAGTACGCTATGGAAGACTATCTGGGCGGGTCGTTTGCTCTGCCGCCGGCTTCTATTTAACATGCACTCGTCAAGAGCGCTGGGCCGCATTAATATTGCAACGCGGGGCAGGACGAAAGTCGATCCGTGGGGCAGGACTCGCACAGCCACCTGTTGAGTGGGGGCCACCCCCGATCCCCCCGACCCCTGGCTGCCACAATCGGATATGCACGGGCACACACCGGCAAACAGGCAGTGCAACACCCCGAGCCCAAAAGGACCTCCATTTACAGGGGGCGGGGTCAAGCCTACAGCAGAGCTCACTTAAAAAAGGACACTTATAAAGGGACACCAAACAAATCAATTAAATTCCTTTTTTGACTGGAGTTGCTGGCTGGCTGGATTGCTGGTTTCCCACAAGTCCAATCCTACTCCAATTAGAGAAGTGTTAATAATGCATTCGTAAATCCCGCGAGTGCTAGTTGTGCGACCGCAGCTGTGGCCATCCCGTGTGAGTTCTCGCTAATTATGCATAGACTTAATGAAAGGCATGCGCTCTCGGGCGAAAACAGCAGAGTTAACGCTTTTCAGGTGCGCGGGACTGTACCTGCAGACGTGCATCCAACATATAGTACGAAGGAGCGATCGGAGAGTCGGTGGCAGGTTAAAGCTGTCGAGTTGCCGCAAGTGGCGCCAGCATCCGTGAAACTCCCACGAGCTATCAACCTGGCTGTTGTCACAGTCCTTTCGCTTTCAGTTCCCCCACCTGACCCACCAGAGCCACCTGCCACATGCCGCTTCCTCCCGGGGACGCAGTGCACGTGCCGCGAGTGTGTGTGTGACAGGTGGTTATATCAGTGCGCCCGAGTCGGCCCCCGGTGTCACGTTCTCACTCGGAAACAATGTGTTGTGTGTTATGCACATGCAGAGTTGGCGATTCGGATTATGGAACGGGCATGCCCGAAAGGACTACGTTTCAAAGTATCCCCAAGGGGCGATTGCTGTGGCAACATCAGCTGTGCATCCAAGTACCCAGTTATACCACACATAAGATAGGGAGCCTAGAGGCTGAGCGACATTAAGTTGATTTACTCGAATTTTCCTAACTTCAAATTCAGTTTGGAGCCCGTTGTTTCATTTGATTTATTGCCCTGTTGCCTTGGTCCTGGCCCTTGGTTAAAAGGACCAGCGAGTAGGCCTGCAAGGCATTTCTGACCTCGCTTTTCAAATCACACTTTCAGGACAGCCAGAGAGCTTCACGATGGGTTTTCAAGGGGTATAAATGGGCCGACACTGTACCTTCACTACCATCAGTGTGCACTTGGCCACTTACCCTTGCACTTTCCCACGAACCGGCACGTGGCACGTGCTGCCACCGGTCGATCCTTGGGTCACGGACACCGATACAAAGAGGCCGATACGGACACGGACACAGATACGGACACAGATACGAATACGGATACGGATACGGACACTGAAGGAGACACCGACACCGATACGAATCAGGGCACCTCAACCACAAGGGACGCTGGCCGCAGCGGTCGAAAATCGAACTTGGCCGCGTAATTAATTGGCAGTCGCTCGGCCGTGGAATCCAGCGACCCGCAATTAGCGAACGGGCGGCCATCCACTGTCCGTTAGCCGCTTTCCGGACCGTCGAGCCAGGCTGAGCTGAGCTGAGCCGAGCCGAGCCGAACCGGACGGGATTGAGTCGCCGTTCTGGCCAGCCTGTCGCCCGAGTGCCAGCCTCAGAGCCGCGGAACCTCGGAGCAGTCTGAGCAGCCAGTCGGCCGGAGCTTTGCTTTTGGCCGTTTGAATGCAGCGCCAGTGGCGGAGCTTTGAAGCTTTGTCCGCGAGCTTTCCCCCTCTGGGGGCCAGCACATCCTCCGTTCGGGGTCGCCTGTCACGTTGCAGGCGGCTTTTCAAATGCGGCTAATAACAATAAGCCCTTGCTGAGCCATCGACGATTGCCGGTGCTCGCGAGCCACTTGTTGCATCGCCAGATGCGCCCGGTGACCAAGCTCCTTGTCAGGTGGCCCAATTAGGACCCCTATTTTCACCCATCGCCAGCTGGACGCAGCTGGAACCTAACAAATATAATATCCCACTCGAAGGGGCAGAGCAATTAAAATTTCTGCTGATAAGCGTATGATTTGTAAGTGCAATTAGTACTTTTGAGTAAACAACTATTGACCTTCGGATTGAGTTAAAGTCAAATCCAACTAATTAATAATTTCAAGGATTAAACCCAATTATAATTGAATCTAACGAAGAATAAGAGCACGTGAATCATGCGAACAGGTTGATTTACTTGGTTACGTGCACAATGTGTGATTATGGCTGCAGTCTGCAGGGGCAACCGTGGAGGGGCTCCACATGGTGCCTAGAAGCCTCCCCTGGCGCCGTCCTCTTCCTCCTCCTCCTCCCCCTCGTGGGTGCCAGCTGTGTCGGCCGTGCTGTTGGTGTCCGCATTCAGGTCCACCCAGTTGTCGTCGCTGATCTCGTCGATGGTGTCCGTGTCGTCCACCACGGCGGCCACGCTCACGTCGTCCGTGGAGCCGGAGGTGGTGGTGCCCGTGGTCGTGGTGGCAGTCACGGCGGACGAGGGCCGCAGCACCTCCTCCAGGGTGGCCAGGGTCGGTGTCGTCGAGGTTGTGTACGAGGCGGAGGAGGGCGTCTCCGACCGGTAGCCCATTCCCGTCATGTACGAGCTAGACCCGGACCCGGACCCAGATCCGGAACCCGAAACCGATCCTGAATCGGATGCAGTCTCCGTTGCGGTGGCCGTGTTGGAACTGCAACTGGCGGCGGCGGCTGCCGACGTGGAGGGTTCTTCGCCGGCCAGCTCATCCTGGGACATCCTGGGTCGCGGGAAGGCCTTCTGCTTGCGCTTCTGCCGAGCCACCTCGTAGTCCTTCAGGTCGGACAGCTTTAGGGTAATCTTCTGCAGGTCGCGCTTCAGCATCTTGGCTGCGAAATTGCGGGGCTTACACTGGTGAACAGTTATTCGGCCAGCGTTACCACAAAGTTCAGATCTCAGTTGAGGGCTACTGATCACACACTGATAGTAACGGTTTTGTATTCTAATAACTCTATTCTGCATCCCTGGCGACTTTCCTATCGTGGAAGGACTGCAACTTTCTTGATGTTTTCACTTTGGTGCAGCATATATGCAGCAGCTTTAGTTATTTTTCTTATCCAATTCTTATTCCAATTCAAAGACACCACTTAAGCTATTTGCAGGACATTTATTTTCCACTGAACGAGTCACGAAAACAAATATGTATGTATATACGTATGATAGTGCGGTGATGAGCATGAAGCGATCGAGAAAAAAAACAGTATGCAGTATGATCGTGGGCAGCCGGAGCCGGGCCTCCTAGTAGAACCCGTAGTGGCCGTGGTGGTACGGGTAGTAGCCGTGGTGTCCGCCGTAGTAGGGCGCCGCGTGGACGTATCCGTAGCCGCCGTAGTAGGGACTGCCCAGGCCGTAGCCGTAGTGGCCGTGTCCGTAGCCCCCGTATCCGCCGTAGCCGCCGTATCCGTGGCCGAACCCGTAGATGCCTCGCTTCTCCGTCTTCTTCTCGTCCACGGCGGCAGGCTCCGGTTCCAGGGCCTCGGGAGCGGGTTCCGAAACTGCCGCCCAGGAGCCCACCAAACAAATGGCCAGGACGACGAAAACGCACTGCACAGAAAACAAAAACATTTGGGCTTCATTCGGTGATTGGATAAGGTGGAGGTGGTTGGTTAATGATATCTCGAGTATCCACTGTTCCACATATGTTTGTGATTCGCGTTACACCAATACGATCTCAAATTTAAACCACTGTCACTTGAAAAAAAAGGGTTCGGACCGGCGGTAGTCCTTCGACCTGCTGCTTACCAAGAACTTCATGTTGCTGCTGGAGAGGATGTGGACGGTTGCTGCTGGATGGCTGGTTGACTTGATGGGCTGGGCGCCAGACGAGGTTTGATGATGGCAGCCAGCTGCCCGGCGCTTTTATAGCCACCCGACTGGGCTCATTGTTGCTGCTACAGTTGCAATTATGCAAACTGACAACAACAGCAGCAGCAACAGCAGCAACAGCAGCAGCAGCAGCGATTGTTGCAGCTGAATTGAATGCATGACGGGTTGAGGACTTGAAATCGAATATTGTTTATGCTGCGAGACCAAAAGGTCATCCATCCGCTCATCCGGCGGGGCGGAGTGGGCGTGGAAACTAACGATATCGGCTGTAATTGCATTCGTACTCGAAGTTCTTAGATCCCAGGCTTATTGGGCAATCAAATCAGGGCAGCCAGCCAGTCAGCCAGCCAGCCACCAACGCGATCCACATTCAACATGCAACATGCAACATGAGACCTGCCACTTGCGACTGGAGAATTGCCAGTCTGGAATGAGTTCCACAATCACCAAGGGCCTTGCCGCATATCGCATAGCACTTTCACTCGCCGATCGGGTGTCTTACAGCCCCAAAGGAGGAGCATTACCTAAGTGCGCTCAGAAGCTGGGCCGAATATTAAAATGCCACAAGCCTCGTGGGAATCGCACATGCATGCACCATTGTACTAAAATTATGAACGATTACACGTTTGTCAGCACTTTGGCATTTTTAATTAAGCTCACCAGCTCAGCTGGGATCTCTGCCAGATCATTTCCCATGCAAACTCTAATCGAAAGAATATCCAAAGTGCACGATTTTAAACGAGCCTCCAAGAAAAAGGGGTATATTGGGCAAAGGTTGTTGCCAAGTGAATAAGTAAAGTGAATATTAATAATGCAGTTGACTAGATAGTTAAAAACAAAATTCTTCAGGTTTTTCAAAATCTGATCACAACTGGAAAAAGTTATGCGCTTTGGAAAGCCTTGCCGCATCTACAAAAATTTTACAAAAATGTGAAAAATTCAAACAAAAATATATATATTTTTTTAGCATTGGATGCAGTTTATTAGATAATTGAACAACGAGGTTTTTGAGATATGCCACTTGTAAATCGGATAACATTCGGAAAAGTTATGGGCTTTGGAAAACAGGTTTAATGGAATTCTTCACAAAAGCAGTTTTTGAAAATTTGGAAAGGGGTTACATCACAAAAATGTGAGAAATTTTACCAAAAATATATTTTTTCACTTTTCTAACAGTTTATTAGATAATTGAATGACGAGGTTTTGAGGTAAGCCACTTTTAAATCGGATGACCATTGTAAAAGTTATGGGATTTGGAATGCAGCTATTGTCCTAGTTCAACAAATTAATGTTTTTTTTAATTTCGAAAAGGGTTACATTGCAGATGTGTGAAAAAATCGACCAAAAAATGTTTTTAACTCTTGATGTTTTCAATAAGATAGTTGAAATGCAAACTTTTAAAATAATGCCAATAGGAAATCAGTCTCAACTTACCCTGCATCAATCATTTCCGCCTGGCGCGGGGCCAATTACTGGGTACTCGATACCGTACCGCCGCAGCGAAGGACGACCTTGACCGCAGTGGCAATTGCAAGCCGCAACTCGCAGTTTTCGCTGCTCCGAGTTCCCAAGTCATGAATGAAGCAACGCCGGAGGCAACATTGTTGAATGAAGCATGGAAAATAGTCGAACGCAGGCACGTTTTCATTTTCCGTTTCTTTTTCCCAATCGACGACGGCGTCTCGTCATCTCTTGCCAAAAGTGGGTGGCACCGCCATTGTCTTCTCCTCCCTGCGATTGTCTTGCTTTGTGTTTGGTATTAAATCATTCGATATTAATGCTCTGCGCATCGGAGGTGAATGCACGCGAGCTGCGTTGGGCAAGCGGAAGCCGCCGCGGGGTCCGGGATTCGGGGACCCGGTCACGATCCGGAGATGACAACACTTTTGATTGCCAGCTAAATTATAATTCTTGGCTAATTCTAGTCTGCGAACGGGTCGATGTCGATGTCGATTGATTGATTCCCCATTGTGACCGGTTCGAGTTGCGGCCCCAGTCGGCAAATGGCTAATGGCGCATTGTTGGGCTTGTCTCTGATCCAGGGTCAGATATTGAATCTTAAAATCCCGCGGGGGCCCCGGGTCGCTATCCACTTTGGCCAGCTGTCTGCGGTTACACAACAACAACCGGCATTGGCTATTTCGACTGGAAATGCTAACATTTCCTTACAATTTATTGCGCTTAACAGACATTTAACAATTAAAGGGGCGGCGGCGAGGCCATCCTAGTACTTCAGCTCCTTGGCCTTGTCGTGGGCCCCTTCTTCCAGGAGCTTCAGTTCCGCCTGCTGCTTCTCCGGCCGTATGACGGTGTAGTAGTGGTAATAGCGCATCCCCAGGACGTAGGTGCCATACAGGGTGACCCCAATGCAGGCGTAGACGGCGCCGCGGTGCAGCTTGTCCAGGAGCGAGTTGGCGTTGATGGGTTTCTTCTGCATGGCGGCAATCCCTTCAAAATCCGTGAAATGTCCGGTTTTCCAAGCTTCGCAGCTGTTTCGTCAGTGATGGCAACGATATATCGATAATAAGGCATGGTACCAGTAGCGGTAGTCAGCTATATCAATGCTAGCTTTTTACCATTTATCACTTAGAAGAAAATCAAAATATCTGTAGAGTTAATCCAACAATTCACAGCACAGCACCCCAAATCCTTTCTTGGGATTGTAGTAAGTTATAGTTATAGACCAGCCACAATTACAGATTAATTTTTCCGATCACTGCAAACGATGTCCCTTTATCGATTACTTTTACTCGCACGTGTTTACAAATTTGTGTAGAAGCACTTGGAATTTAACGTCGCTGCAACGCCATTGTGAATTTAGAAAAGCAGAGAGGCCTCCAAAGGATTGATGGATCACGAATACGCTGGCGTTAACGCTATGGGCGTTGGGGAGGCCAAGGTTGAGGCCCCTAACGCGGTTATCCTGTGCTGCGAGTGCGGAGTGGCCATCCAGCCGAACCCAGCCAACATGTGCGTCACCTGCCTCCGCAACCATGTCGACATTACGGAGAACATTCCGAAGCAGGCGGTGCTCCACTTCTGCCGCAACTGCGAGCGCTACCTGCAGCCGCCGAACGAGTGGATCCAGGCCTCCCTGGAGTCCCGCGAGCTCCTGGCCGTCTGCCTCAAAAAGCTGAAGGGCCTTAAGGACGTGAAGCTGGTGGACGCGGGCTTCATATGGACGGAACAGCACTCGAAGCGCATCAAGGTAAAGTTGACCGTGCACGGCGAGATTACCGGAGGGACGGTTCTGCAGCAGGTCTTCGTTGTGGAGTTCACGGTGCAGAATCAGATGTGCAACGACTGCCACCGCACCGAGGCCAAGGACTTTTGGCGCTGCCTGGTGCAGGTGCGTCAGCGGGCGGAGAACAAAAAGACCTTCTACTACCTGGAGCAGCTGATCCTTAAGCACAAGGCCCACGAGAACACTCTGGGCATCAAGCCCGAACACGGCGGTCTGGACTTCTTCTACGCCAGCGATAACCATGCGCGCCGAATGGTGGACTTTCTGCTGACAATGGTGCCCGGCAAGGTGACCACCTCGAAGCGTCTCATCTCGCACGATATCCACAGCAACAACTATAACTACAAGTACAACTGGTCGGTGGAGATAGCTCCGGTTTCGAAGGACAGTGCAGTTTGCCTGTCCAAGAAGCTGCGCCACCAGCTGGGTAATCTCTCGCCGTTGGTCCTGGTCAACCGGGTGTCCAGCAGCATTCACCTGATCGACCCAATGACAGCACAGATTGCAGAGCTCACATCGCAGGTGTACTTCAGGTGGGAATCCTCGCATGCTGGTATTTCCTTGAAACAAGCTAATTGGTCCGTCTTTTTCAGAGCTCCTTTTGAGGCCATTTGTAATCCCAAGCAGCTGGTTGAGTATGTCGTCATGGACATCGATGTGATCATGGAGAAGGACCGTAAGACTTATCCCGGCCAGGGGCAGGTCTCCTTCAAGCACGCCCTCTGCGACATCTGGGTGGTGCGTGCCTCAGAACTGGGCATCAACGATAACCCCATCCACACACGCTCCCACTTGGGACACCTGCTCAAGGTTGGCGATTCTGTGATGGGCTACAACACCGGCGAGGCCAACATCAACGACCAGGAGTTCGAGAAGCTGTCGCCAGAGCAAATTCCAGATGTGATCCTGGTGCGCAAGCACTACGATCGCCAGACCAGGCTTAGCCAGCGCGTGTGGAAGATCAAGCATCTGGCGGCGGAGGCCACCGATGAGCGCAGCAAGTACGACTACCACGAGTTCCTCGACGATCTTGAGGAGAACGAGGACATCCGCGGCCAGGTAAACATCTACCGGGACAGCAACAAGACGATACCGATCGAGGCGCAGGCCGCTGGCGGGGACGTGCCCCAGATTACGCTGGAGGAGATGTTGGAGGACATGACGCTCGAGTGCGCTGACGACGAAATGGGCGAAGGGGAAGGGGCCGAAGAGGCCGAGCCACAGTTGTAGTTTTTTTTATTTATACCACGCTTTTTTTTACTCATGTATGCCTTGTACATATTCGCTTGATTCACGTAAACAACTAGGAAACTAGAGGAAACCTAATTTAATTTCTTTGTTACAATGGTGGCAATACTGAATTTCTTTCAATATCTCTTTTGGATCAACATTGGTCTCGTGGGAATTCACTAAAATTCTAGCTAAGTCTTGTATAAGCTGCTTGTTCGGTTCGGCACCGGCTTAAGAGAGTCCCAGCTGCGGTTTTTCCTTAAAGAAGTAAACCTCGTCGCAATCACACCCACGCTCCGCCTCCCATTCGAGCAGCGCCCGCTTCACGATGGGAAGGATGTGCTTTCTGGTGGCCTGGACATTGTGCTGGCGCAGAAAGCAGCCGCCCATGAAGCGGGTATCCACCTCATGCGGTCGGAGATCCAGCTTCGGATCGTTGGACTCCACCAGTGCGTGCCGAACGCGTTCCACCACCTGACTCTGGCCGGAGAGTGAGATCAAGGCCAGATCGCGCTGCACTGCGCCGTCGACGGGCGAGACGTACATGCCCAGCATCACCAGTAGATTGCTCTCTACGCCAAACTCGCGCACGGCCTTCTCCGCGCCGCTCTTCTCGACGAAGTCCCTGACAAGAATTGGCATTCCAGCTAGAGGGACCACTTGGCGGTCGGTCTGCAGGATCTTCATGTCCTTGCGTAGCACTTCAGTGAGGGTAAGCTTACTAATATCCGCCCTTGCGGCCACTAGCTCATCAAAAAGTCCGGTCCTCTGATCCTTCCCGTATTTCAACTCCCTTTCAAGCTGCTCCACCATAGCCAGATCTTTGACACCAAAGCGCTTGGCCTTGGGGGCAAAGTTGATCGTGTCCAGCACGATAGTGGCATGCAGCAACTGGGCCACTCCAGCGCTTCGGGGCTGCTCCTCAGCCAGATATCGCTGGGCCACCAGAGTAGCGCAGGAACCTACCGTGGCATCGATGTCCAACTCACAACCGGTTGGCAAGTCCTTAAAAAATTGACTACTCTCGTCTATGGGCCTATGGTCCAAAATCTCAGTCACATTGGGCGCCAAGGGGCTAACATGGTGGTCCACAAGGATAACGTTCACGTCAGTTCCCATTTCCCTAGGAATATCGTCGCGGAAGAGCAGCACAGGCTCTGCAATGCCACACTTGAAGAACAAATGGCCTACCTCGGTTTTTAGGGGATAATCCCGGCGTGGAATGTTCAGGACGGGCACATAATCGTGCTCCCGATGACGCTGGGCGTACACGAAAGCCAGAGTGACGGCTGAAACGGCGGAGTCCAGGTCGCATGACTCGTTTCCCATCACCAGGTGCAGTTTTCTGCCGGAGTCAACTGGAGCAGCTGCCCAGGCAACGGGAGACGCCTCCGTCAGATGCTGCGGGAGAAGGGAAACCCTATTAGTGCACGGTTCTACGCAGCCCAAGGACTATAGTGGAAACTCACCCGTACCAAAATCCCTCGGGCTTGAGCCAGGAAACGTAGGAAACACATTTTCCCGAGACAAAATCAAGGAAAACAGTGAGAAGGTGGAAAACCAAAAGGTTCCATGTATTTCAACAGTTGCGCGAATCGATTTGAGGTCCCATTTATCGATTGGCAATCGTAAAAATGCTGAAAGGGCCAGATGTTCGTAGATTGTTGTTATAAACAATATATTTGAGCCGACTGTGACGCACAAAGGTGTTCTTTTTAGTGGCTGGGCTTATCAGCTGCTATCAGTTGCATCTATTTTGCATGCCAGCAATTTTTTAATTACCACTACTAGGTCAAATGCCTTGTTTTGGAAAAACTCTTTTGATAACATTAAATAAATATGTATAGTATTATATATATGGTATTTCTAATACATACAATGTTTTTAAAAATGAGCAAATCAGATGTCTACTCATCGCTACGCCTGCTGATTGCTCTTCCTGTTATCGATAACTTTATTTTGTATCAATTTTAACTGGATTGGCGCCAGCTGTTTGTAAGATCTCTTCTATTCTAAAATCACAAAATATCAACACAGCCGGGGTCGTAGCGCTAAATTAACTCCGCTCCTCGATCGCAGCACAATCTTGATAGAGGGCTCCACGTCGGCGCCCATTGGAAGCAGCTGAAAGTGTCGCATCAGCTTGATCACCATGGTTTTCATCTCAAGGAGCGCGAATTTCTGGCCGATGCAGTTTCTCGGACCAGCGGAAAAGGGTATGTAGCTGTAGGCTCCCAGCCTTGAGGACTCCTCCCCGAGATGTCTTTCCGGCTGGAACAGAAGGGGATCGGAAAAGAGAGCTTCATCTCGAAGGAGCTGCCAGAGGAGTATGACGACGTTGGTTCCCGCTGGAATAAGGCCACCATCTGCCGGAGATTGGTGCAGAAGGATTGTCTAGTGCGTATTATATGCCCAGTTCTTCCACTTACCGATGGCCAAATCTTTTTCCAGACAGCGGGCCACTGCCGGGATTGGCGGAAACAGTCGCAGCGACTCCTTAACCACGCAGTTTAGGTAAGGAAGCGCTGCAAAATCTGCGAGGACCACGCCCCTCTCCAAATCCTGGCCATAGTGTTTTCTCAGCTCATCTAAGAGCCTTTGCTGCACTGCCTCGTGGCGGGAAAGCATGTACAAACAGAAGGACACAGCCGAGGTCGTGGTATCGTGACCCTCGAAGATGAAGGTGTTCACCTCGTCGCGGATTTGCTTGTCCGTCAGCGGTTGTCCATCCAGAGTGGCCCGCAGCAGGGTGTCCAGCAAGGCGTGGCGCTTCTCCGGCTGATCTGCGTGGACCTCCCTGGCCAGCAGGCTGCGGCGCTGTTCTATGATCCTATTGGTAAACTGGTGCAGGCACTGGACGCCTGCTTGTTGCTTCTTGAAGCCACTGGGCCAGCACAACCGAAAGAGCTGGGGAAATAGAAGATGCGGTCTCATGAACCTGGTGGCCAGGATGTTTGTCAAACTGAATGTAAGACGGATGGTTGGTTATTCAAAAGCATAAATAAGAAATCTACCGCCTACTCTTTTACAGCGTGAACCACCTCGGAATCCTCGTCTCCTTGGGCGCGCACACTAACCCCCATCGCGGTTTCGGTTATAATGTCCAGCGCAGCCAAACCCACATAGGGATAGATGTCTACGGCCTGCTGGCCCCGCGACAGGGGCTGCAATCGCTCAACCAACCTGCTACTCTGCCTGTCAAAGACCTCGACAAACTGTTCCAGGATGCTGAAGTGGAATGTGGGCGTGATGATCTTTCGCATGGTGTGCCACTCCTCTCCGCGGCTCAGGAGCAGTCCGTTGCCCAGCCAACCACGCAGAGCCAGGTACATGGTGCCCTTCCTCAGCTGCTGGGGACTGTGCAGCAGTGCATCCAAATGTCGCGGCTCGGCTGTAACCACAATCACGTGACCCATGACGGAGCCCATAAAGCTGCGACCGAAGCGCTGGACATACTCGGCGAATTTCTCGTGGAGATCTGCAAATTACCATTCGAAACTGGGAAGCTTTGACCACTTGTGCCACAACTCACTGTCTGGTCGGAAACTGCGCATCTGCCAGGCGGACCCCACGAGGGGAATCCTCGAAACACTGGGCACCACACTGCGCAAAGGGTGCCGCAGCTCCTTCAGCGCCAAGCGGAAGAGCCAGGCCACCAAGCGGGCTACCAGAAAGGTAGCCAGAAGTGCGACTAACATGTTATAACCCCTGCGACGCGACGTGGAGAACTGGGGAGCTCTCGAGCAGCCGGCAATCTTATCTGAAGCACCGCAAATGGATTACCTATTTATACATCTGGTGCACTCCACATTTTAAACTTTTATATAAGTGAACCAATTTGAGTGGTGCGCCTCTGGCAAGGGAGAGGCAGGGCGGTAAAGCACCAAGCTGAGCGAGACGGAAAACCACTGGCCAGCTGTTTTTCCACAACAGCTGATGAAAAACCACTCCACAGAAAACTATCACTTTTACCTAGAGTGTTCACATTTAATTAATAAACGTAATGACCGACGGGAGGAAGCAATTGTATCAGGCTGCGCGAGGCTTCAGGCCCAAATGGACTCCGTTGGCGGAACGCAGCACGATGTTCATCGAGTGGCGGGGATCAGGACCCAGGGGCAGCAGCTCGAAGTGGCGGAGCATCTTGCTGATGGTGCTCTTCATCTCCAGCAAGGCGAACTTCTGGCCAATGCAATTCCTCGGTCCGGCGGAGAAGGGGATGTAGGCATACGGATGAGTCTGCGGGACATCCGCGTCGAACCTATCCGGTCGGAACTCGTCGGGATTCTCGAAGTACTCCGGGTCGCGCAGCAGGACGTAAATGCCCAGGGTGAAGTTGGTGCCCGCAGGAATGCGCTGGCCGCCTAAAAGGGGACGAGTCGGGTTGGTTGACGGACCAGGAGGTTCTTAACACCACTCACGTATTTCCACATCCTCGGAGAACCAGCGCCCGATCATGGGCACTGGCGGATGCAGACGCAGAGACTCCTTAATCACGTTTTCCAGGTACTTCAGATTACCAAGATCACGCAGGGTGACGGGCCTCTTTCGATCCTCGCCCAAAACCTCAAGGATCTCCTGCAGCAGGCGCTGCTGCACCTCCGGATGCCTGGAGATTTCGTACAAGCAGAAGGAAATGGCCGAGGTGGTCGTGTCGTGGCCCTCGAACATGAAGGTATCCACCTCCTCACGGATGTCCTCGTCGCTCAGCGGCGCTCCGTCGATGGTGGACTGCAGCAGCACATCCAGCAGGGCCATGCGGCGCTTCTGGCCGAGATCATCTACCTGCTCGACCTGCTCTGCTGCTCTGTCCTGGGAACTACTGACCAGCGCTTGCCGCCGCTCTCGGATGATGCTCTCGGTGAAGTCGTGCATAACCTTGATGGCCGCATCCTGGCGTTTGGCCTCCGCGGGCTTGGTCAGTCGGAATATCCAGTCCACGCGCTGCCAGGCGTTGATGAATCGATGGATCATGATGTTGGTAACACTATCACGGAGAAGGAATCACAGGAAGTCAGACGAAACCCCGAATCCACCAGCACCAACCACACTCACTCATTGACAGCCTGGACGTAGGGCAGATTGGGGTTCATCTGGGCATTGATCTTGCTGCCCATCGCAGTTTCTATGGGCGAGGGGAAGACGTATTGAAATAAGAGGAGAAATCCCTCCAAGCGTTATGCCATCAACTGGTTTACAGACCTGCAATTATATCCAGCGCAGTGAGACACACCACGGGGAAGATGTTGAGGGGCGTCTGGCCATCGGCCTTCGGCAGGAGTTGCTCCACCATCACGGCGCTCTGCTGGTCGAAGATCTCGACGAACTGCTCCAGGATGGTGAAGTGGAACGCGGGCGTGATGATCTTGCGGCGACCATGCCACTTCCTGCCCGTGCTCATCAGCAACCCCTCGCCCAGCCAGCCGTGGAGCAGCTTGTACAGGTTGTTCTTCGTGATGTGCTGTTGGCTGCTCAGGACGAACTCGATGTCCCGCGGATCCGTCGAGAACACCGCCAGCTGGTGGATGACCCACACCCTGTATAGGCGGCCGTACTTGCGCTGGTTCTTGGCCACAAAGTCCATGATTTCTACAGATTACGAGGGGAGATTACTTTGCAGCAGGATTTACCACACTATCACTGATACACTGTTTTTGCAATGGTAATGATTGTTATCAGGAAAATGCTTCTAATAAACTTATCTCATAAAATATATTCACAGAATGACTTCTCTCCAAGTGGGGTGAGAACTTACGCTCGGCGTTGAGCCCGCGGTACATGAGCAGGTTTCCCAGCAGGGGCAGTGGGCGTGGTCCGGGCATGTAGTGCAGCATATCGTTGCGCCGCTTCCGCCAGAAGTAGTCCCACACGAGAAGGGTGGCGAACGCCACCAGGAGGAGCAGACCAGCAGCACCCAGCATTGTGCAACGGCCGACGAACGGTTCAGTAATAGAACTAAACTAACAAACCGGGCTCTTTATCTCCCGCATACTTCGTGGACTCTTAATCTGTAATCCGCCTCCAGTCCCACATCCGTAAGAGCGAACTAAGAGAACGCAATCTACTTATTTGGTGGTGCAGTTCGGATCGGAAAACCTGTATGATGTTAAATCATAGTCACGGTGATGGCTTGTATTTTTGAGGAGAGGTACAAATTATTATAAAATTAGGTGTAATTGAGATTGAGATATATTTTAAAACAGCTATTATATTTTATCTGAAATATTAATAGGTTTTAAATGCGTATAACATAGAAACACCTCTAAGAATCAGAGTGGTGGCTATATCTTATTTTTTAAATAATCATCGTGACTTGTTGATATGCCAATCCAGTCATCGTGAGAGCAGCAAGTTTTTTATCAACTGCCGTATTTCTCATTGAGCAGCTATACCTTCTTATCAGCAAATTAATTTGGTTAACCCTAACAATTACTAACAGTTATCGAGCTCCTATGGATTTGTAGATTTACACATCTCGAGAACTTTTAACTAAGTTGAATGAATGCACTTAAAGTAAGTTCATCTTCATGGTCCAGCGAATCCAGTTAAATATTAAGTCTAAAGTTTGATGGGCGTGATAATAAAGATATTCTCAGACTTACCCCGTTAAAAAAAAAAATTGTAATGATTCAGGTCTTATGATCGAAAGATATTATTTGGACCGTGATTAATGGCATTAAAAAATCATCAATTGACGATCGAATTGCTCTCAAAGTTTAGGCATAAGGTTGAAAAGAAATGTAATATTACGGATAGGTACACCTGTTATAGTCCAGCCTCTAAGCGGTTTCTCTCTGATCTGTGATCGGATCTTACAAATTTAAGAGTCTCGGGCTTAAAGAGAGCATTATGTGTCATATACTTAGTTGCATAGTTTTCCGCTTAGAAAAAATAGATCCAAGTTAAAAAATTGTTCTTATAACAACATGGGCATCGCATATGTCAACACAACATCTGATAATATTTTGATATTTTTTCAAGATCCACTATTCATGGATTTATTTATATTCAAGCCCTGCATTTGATCTTATCAGGAGAAGTGTAGGCAGATAGATAACCCACCGTAGTTGCATGGGACTTTTCCCAGGCTTTCGTTATCCAAGGGGGCGGAACCGCGCCGTATCAGTTTGAACTTTCAGTCTCCTGATAGTAACGTCGCCTTGAGTCACGGTGAAGGTGCACCTTCTGGTTAATTCATCTGATGGGCGATCCCTTCGTGATCCTTGCCGTGTAAGAGCTCCATATCCCATGACAGCAAGCGAACCGATATGAAAAATGCGGGAGGGGCGCCTCTAGGTTGTCGGTTAGTTTGACCCCAGTCGTAATTTTCGGCCTTCGCCTTGGTTTTCGGCTCCAGTCCACTGATTGTGGCAGCCTTATCGCAATCCGCGTCGGCTACAAAACAGCCCAACCGCCGAGCAGAACCAACCAGTCGATGGCAAACGGTGCCAGCGTCAGATAGATTCAATCTCATTGCCATCACCGTCACAGAAGAGCCAATAGTTCGGCCATGTATCTGGAGCTCGTCGTGGTTGTCCTGACGACCGTCCTCGTCTGGGATTACCTGCGGAACAGACGGCACAACCGGATGTTCGCCGCTGCTGGGATCCGGGGACCCAGGCGCTATCCTCTGGTGGGCAACGCACCCATGATGATCAACGAGTCACCCAAAAGTAGGTCATGATCGTTAGAAGCACTGGGGCACCAAAACCGTTTCGCATGACCAAGTTCTGGCATTCCTAATCAATAGTTTTTGAACGCCTCTTGCAGTTGGGGGTATTTTTGTTTAAAGAGAATTATCAGAAAGAAAAAAAGACAATACCTGAAGATGCTGGCTTAACCAACAAATGCAAGAACACAAAAATGTTTTCATCGAAATAATTCCTGCACATGACACTTAAGTTTGGAAACTAGGTTGATCACTTACAAACCATTTTCCCCTGCAGCTGTCTTCGATCTGCAATTCCGAATGATCAAAGAGTTCGGCAAAAATATCCAAATCCAAATGCTGATGGAGCGCGGCTTCATGACCGCCGATCCCAAGATGATCGAGGCGATCATGAGCAGCCAGCAGACCATCCAGAAGAACAATCTGTACGGACTGCTGGTCAACTGGCTGGGCGACGGACTGCTCATCAGCAACGGGAAGAAGTGGTTCCGCCGCAGGAAGACCATCACACCGGCATTCCACTTCAAGATCCTGGAGGACTTCGTGGAGGTCTTCGACCAGCAGAGCGCCGTGATGGTCCAGCAGCTGTACGACAGGGCGGACGGCAAAACGGTGATCAACATGTTTCCGGTGGCCTGCCTGTGCGCCATGGACATCATTGCGGAAACGGCCATGGGCGTGAGGATTAATGCGCAGCTGCAGCCGCAGTTTTCCTACGTCCAGTCGGTGACAACGTGAGTACACTACTGCCACAGCACTTCGCCCTGCCGCTTTGAGCTTCACACGTCCTTCTCTCCTCAGTGCCTCGAGCATGTTGGCCGAGCGCTTCATGAATCCCCTGCAGCGCACTGACGGGAGCATGAAGCTCATCTACCCCAAGCTGTTTGCCAAGCTGAACGACTCCGTGAAGAACATGCACGACTTCACCAACTCGGTAATCAAGGAGCGACGCGACCTCCTCCAGAAGTCCATTGCCAAGGAAGGAGGTGCTGATGAGGCCCTCCTGAACGATGTGGGTCAGAAGCGCCGCATGGCATTGCTGGACGTGCTCCTTCGGTCCACTATCGACGGAGCCCCCTTGAGCAACGAGGACATCCGCGAGGAGGTGGACACCTTCATGTTTGAGGGCCACGACACCACGACGAGCAGCATCGCCTTCACCTGCTACCTGCTCGCCCGGCATCCGGAGGTCCAGGCCCGCGTCTTCCAGGAGGTGCGGGATGTCATTGGCGACGACAAGTCCGCTCCAGTCACCATGCAGCTCCTGGGCGAACTGAAGTACTTGGAGTGCGTGATCAAGGAGTCGCTGCGACTGTTTCCCTCGGTGCCGCTCATCGGACGCCACATCACCCAGGACACTGTGCTGGATGGCAAGCTCATACCCGCCAACTCCGATGTACTTATTATGATCTACCACGCCCAGCGTGACCCGGACTACTTTCCCGAGCCCGAGAAGTTCCTGCCAGAACGATTCAGCATGGAGCGCAAGGGCGAGATCAATCCCTTTGCCTACACGCCCTTCTCCGCGGGTCCAAGGAACTGCATCGGCCAGAAGTTCGCCATGCTGGAGATGAAGAGCACGATCAGCAAGATGGTGCGGCACTTTGAACTGCTGCCGCTCGGCGAGGATGTCCAGCCCGTGCTGAACCTCATCCTGCGCTCCACAACGGGTATTAACTGTGGGCTCAAGCCACGCGTCTATTAAGGGTGTCCGTCCTGTAAGGTTCGATCTTTTTCTTTAACTAATTTTAAGTCCTGAACTGTATAAATATTTCCATAAACTACTTGAACACAGTTATATCCAGTGATGGATTTTGTTTTGTCTTCGCGTCAATGCAATTGTCTTGGATTATGGAAACGAATGCACGAATTTCGAACGCATCAAATGGTCAATGGACCCCGACATTTCTTTAACAGAACTCGTAAAGGGCACAAAAGATTAATTAATCTTGACAATATTCTAACCATCCGTCACTGAACACAAACTGCATGCACTTCTTCGTCGATTTGAATAGATTCTATATTAGCTTTAACCGGCGCGATCTACAACTCAAACAAAAGGCCAATTCCTGTGGTGCGGTGGACGCCTAATCCCAGGAGTAGACCTTGCCCGGAGTGGGCAGCTGAGAGGATGTGGTCTTTGCCGCTCCGCCGGCCTCCGCTTCCAGTTGCTTCTGCTGCTCCACCAAGTCGATGGGTGGGAAGACTTCGCGACGGCCATCCCGCTGGCAGTAGTAGTTCGCGGAGTGCAGATGCGACGGTCCCTCTGGGATCTCCGGCTGGGGCTGGGTGCGATCGGCTAGCCCGTCCTCGAAGCGCAGCGCCAGGTTGTGCTCCCGCTGCAAAACAATCTGGATTAGTCGGGGATTCTTCTTACATAACAGGAAGGCGCCTTATCCGCGGCAGTTCCTCGGAAATCTGGATACTTACGCCCAAGAGGAAGGCCCGGATGCGCTGGAAAAAAGGCGACACGTCACGGCGCAGGGCAGACATCCTGGTTTTCGATCAAGTTAACGTTTGAATTCCACAAAAATATCTTAGCACCTTTTGTTTTTTGAGATGACCAACTTGCGATAGGCCTATCGATAGAACTAACATTGGTCGCCGATGACGATATTTGATCGATCCCTTTACCGCCACAATATTTGAATTCAAAAAAAATTTATGTTTAAATATACATAAATATAAATATAAATATATGTTTAATATATATACGATATGGGATTGAGATAGTATAGTAACGTATTTCAGTCTGTTATTGATTTGCAAAACAAATCTCAAAGTACAATATCGAAAAACTAAAGATGGTTAGTTTTTTTTAATTCTCCTCTTAATTTTAGTTTAAGAATTGCAAAATTCTGTAACCAGAAAAACACCAACGAATTTTACTGTGCCTAGTGTTTATTTTATTAATATTATATCGCTTTGCACTTTTCCAACTTTTGTTTGTGGAAAACTTGAGTTAATTTCCATAGAAATATGGTTAAAAAATAAAGGAAACTAGCTCCTTTGGGCCGTTAATGAAATACATAAAAATAAATAGTCGCTCTCGATATTCTGTCTTCAGTGTTGTGTTCTCTAACCGTAAATTAAACTAAGTACGCCGTAAACTAAACTACTGCAATTTAAAGCTGCCGCTTTAGTAGTTGCGAGAGTTCCTTTAAAACGATTCTAGGAGGGGTCTTTCCTCCCTAGCTCCCAAGCTCCCTAGCTCCCCGGCTTATGCGGGCGTGGGCTCTGGCTGGGACTCGTCTGGCGAGGATTGAGTGGCCGTCTCGGGACTGGGCGCCAGCTGCTCCACGCTGATGGTGCGCACGAACTCGGCACTGGCTTCAATTACAATGGTGGGCAAGTCGTCGACGGCTGGAGCTGGTAAAACGGAAGCAGTTGGCTCCTCCACTCCCGACTCACTGGCCGCTGGTGTTGCTTTTTCTGCGGGCGATGCTTCCGAGACTACCACAGCCACGGGCGCGGGCTGAGGAGCGGGCACTTCTGGCGCCACTGGCTTAGTCTCAACGGGAGCAGGAACCGTAGCCGGAGCAGAAGCCTGCACAGGAGTCGGCTCTGCAGCAGGAGCAGAAGTGGCTTCGGCCTGTGGAGCAGGCTGTGCCTCAGGAACGGGCTCTGCGGCAGGAGGAGATTCCACAGCAGGAGCCACAGCAGCTGCACCAGCAGGAGCCACAGCAGCTGCACCAGCAGGAGCAGCAGCAGGAGCAGCAGCAGCCGCAGCAGCAGGAGCAGCAGTCGCAGCTGCAGGAGCAGCAGTCGCAGCAGCCTTAGCCGCCGGCGCAGGTGATGCGGACTTTGCCTTGGAGGACTTGCCCACGGCCGGCGAGGGAGTCCTCGACTTGAGGTTCTGCTCGTGGGCACTGCGGTCCAAGAGCACCGAGGTGGACTGCGGCGGCACCGGACTGGCCGCCCGCTTGATGTCCTCGATCTTGGCCTCCATCTCGGCGCGAATCTCCTTGATGGGCTTCAGCAGGAAGACGGGCACGTTGTCGTCCCGCCGCTGGTAGAGCATCTCGCCCTCGAAGTCCACCAGCTTGTGCTTGCGGGCGCGCAGCAGGATGCCCACCACCTTGTCGGAGATGTAGTTGTAGATCTGCAAGCAAGTGGCCGGATTAGAGGAGCAGGAAGAAGAAGGGATGCCGGAGGAACTCACGTTGAACAGCTCGCCGAAGGGGATCACGCGCATGGTGGGCTCGTCCTTGACGTCGTAGCCCTCCGAGTTGATGATCTGGCACAGCTCCAGCATCTCCTTCATCACGTGGATGTTGGCCTTCTGGCCGCGCATCTCCGTGAGGCTGCCGGCCAGCGGCTTTCCGTACTGGTCCTTCGAGAAGGTGGGCTTGGGCGAGGAGGCACGTCCGTCCTGGGAGAAGGGGTTCAGCAGCTGCGACTGCTTGTGCTGCGTCGCCTGGTTGTTGAACATGGCCACCTTGGAGGACAGCGGCGAGTCCTGGATGGGAGTGGGAAGGATGGGAAGCGCATTAGAGAGCTTTCTATGTCTGGAGGGGAGGCTGAGCTCTGGGGGATTATCCCCCCGCCCCCACGCCCAATTGATGTCTTACAAGTCGCGCAACTAGCGAGGAAGAGGAAGAGGTTCTTGCGGTTGCGGGAAAATTAATTAGCGGCAATTAAATAACAGCGGTCCAACATTTTGTGTAATTTTTCATCTAATAAGTGCAAGATGCCCGCGCCATGAGCCACAGCACCGAAGGAATGCGCAAATGTCGTGGTCATAAATAAGAGCCTCTGCGGAATAGGGGGCGGGCGAGCGGCGGGCTACGTGTGGGCGGGGCAGTGGTCGTTGACGAGCAGCCGAAACAACCGAAACAACGGAAACAACTGAAACATCCGCAGATCCCACTGTATGTGTGTACATACATATATACATACATACATATATACATACATACATATATACATACATACATATATACATACATATATAGTATACTCTTCCGAGATAGATAGCGACCCGCAAGAGCCAAGAAGAAAACAGGAACGACCTTCACGGCCTTCAGGTTCCTGTTCTCGGTCTTAGCTGGTGGTTGTTCCACCTGATTATAGTTAATGGGAGCCCAATCGAGTTGCCCATGAGCGAGAGGGACGAGGTGGCCAAGGTGGACCCCTCGCCGGTGCTTATATAACCCCACTTGCCACTCTGCCACTCTGCCACTTCGTCACTTCGCCACTCTGCCATTTTGGCACCGGCCGCAATGACGCTCTGAATTTGTCTCTTTGATCAATATCCAAAAATTCGTCAATCAGCGAATTTCATTCATATCACACTGGCAAAGGCGTTTAAAAATAAACCCAACGATGAATGAAAAGCGGCCAGAACTTGTCAACTTGGGTTTTCAGCTCTTCAGCTCCTCAGCTCCTCAGCTTTTCCGGCGCTGGGGAGAGTTTCGCCCCGGGGAGAAAGTCTGGGAAGACACGGCATAAATTTGTCCAGGGAAACAAGCATTGAAGTTGTTCATTGGTGGGAAGCCGCTCCTCCATTTGGGGTCGCTGAAAGCGAAATGCACACCCATTGTAAGCAGGGTCCGCGGATCCCCAAGAGCAATGGAAATGCACTGCCATCGACCCCAGGAAAGCAACAATTCTGGGAGGCTTTCGTTGGAGTTTCCCACTCAACTAGTTCATGGGTAAAAAATGTTCATTTAAATGGCATTTCAAAGGGAATTAGATTGAGACACTCTGCTCTTCGGCGTCGCAATTCCAGTTAAAGTTCGGTAAATAGTGGATACTGCACAATGGTATGCGGTCCTTCGTCTCATGGATCCCATGGATCCCATGGATCCCATGAATCCCATGGGATTATGGTTATTTATGGTGACAAATAAATTATATATGTACATAGAGGCCGAAACCGCAAACGGAATGTTCGCCTTTTGGGCAACATCTTCAGCTGCAGCTGGCCGGGTCCGGCGCGAATCGGTTACGTAGCCCCTGTTTTACGGATCTATTTGTCGGCGCCGTTGTCACTCTCGCGAAGTCTGCGCATTCTATATCTATAGCCTCTATATAATGTGGCGGTGTGGGGTTGTGGGGTGCTGTGCACATTCAGCATTGCTATTCCGATGGTCATTGCCAAGAATTTTTCCGTGTTTTGATCTTTGCTGTGCTGTGCTGTGCTGTGCGAAAACCCCTTTCTGTGTGTTTGTCTTTTTAGCTGATGGCTGATGGGTGGTGGGTGATGGGTGGGCGGGCAGGGGGGCGTGTACGAGTATATTTTGGCAATTCATGTGGCGACAAATTAAAACAAATACACCAGCGAATTTCAACAAAAAGAGAATTGTCCCCGCTTCGTTGTTGTTGGTTGTTGTTGGTTTTTGTTGGTTTTTGTTGGTCTTCCCACTGTTTGTTTGCAGCCCCAATGGCCATTCTGTTCTTTGTATCGTTTCGCGATCCTAATGATTTTTAATCATGGTCTTGGAAGCTGTCCAGACATTTTTCTCGCGGCTTTCGGCTGACATTTATTGTGGCCATTTGCATTATTGTTTTCCTGCCACTTTTTCCCCATTTTCCCAAGCTCTATTCTGGCCCTCACGCATCTCTTGCGCCTTCTGCGCATAAATAATTTTCGGAATTCGGGAATTTGTCGCACGAGATGTGCGAGCGGAAAAAACAAAACACAATACAATGTCGTCGAGACGCCGCGATCTTTTTATAGTTTTTATAGAACCGCGGCATTCCAAGCATTTCTTCCTCGGATCGCAGTCGAAGTCCCTTTTACTTTCTGGCCCTGTTTTCCTCATATTCTCGTACGTTTAGTGACCTGCCCTGCCCCAAAGATTCGACTCGGTGAACAGGTGCAACACACACACACACTGGACTCCGCATTTTAGCATTTTGCAGCACACACTGGACTCCGCATTTTAGCATTTTGCAGCACTGATGGGTCGGTTAGCCACAAAGCTGGGTGCATTATGTCTGGTTAGCGGATCAACTACTCACCACCACGAAGCGCAGGGCGCCCAGTTCGTGCGATACGTCCGTCATGATTCCGCCGGGCTTGGCTCTACTGGGCTCCGGGTTCTGGCCGGGATCTTGCAGGTTGCTGAATGGGTGCGGATCGGACTGGTCGCTGCTTTCTTGCCGGCTCGCCTCGAGGCCACTTGTCGCCGTCGTCGAATTCGCAACACTTCTGCCTCCGCCTGCAACCGAAAGAAGAAAGGGAAGAGAGTTGGAGACAAAGGCCCGCCGACGGGAAAGAAAGCAATTAAATTTGGCAACAAACAACAAATAGCAAACAACATTGGTAACAATGGAACTGAAATGTGTGTGAACTGCGGACATTGTGGACGGGTTTCGTCTGTGGTGTCTGTGGCGTTTCTCTGCTCTTGCCCGATTACCATTTCCTTTGTGACCCAGACCCAGACCCAGACCTCTATGGCTCCCGGTTTCCACCAGCCAACCAACCAACCAAGCAACCAACCCGAACCAAACTGCGCAAGATGATGAGCAGCGGTGAAAACACAAACACAGACACACAAATAGACACAGAAACAGAAACAGAAAGCTGGAAATGAGAAGAATGGGAACGGGGAACGGGGTACGGGTAATGGGGAACGGGGAATGGGGAACGGGGTACGGGGTACGGGGAATGGGGAATGGGGAATGGGGAACGGGGAATGGGGAAACAAAAACAGAAACAGAGGCTGAAGCGTAGCAAAACAGAGCTAAAGAAGACCGTTAGGCCTGAACTCTTGAGCGCCCCTCGCGTTTATAGACTCGTATGGTCGTATGGTCGCTATGGCCGTCGACCGACCCCGAAAGATGAACCGGGATTCGGTTTCGTGCCCATTTGCCGTTTTTCCCACTTGGAGTTAACTGGAAACTGCTGTGCATTAACCCCCTGGTTTCCGATTTCCGAATCACAATTTTCTATTTCCGAGTTCCGACTTGCAGGTGGCTCTGGCCACCAACAACCTGCTCTGTTTGCACGGGCTTCTGGATCGGATTGGGACCGATCACTCGAGGGATAGGTTATCAGGGAGCTCCAGAAATATTCTTAGATTAGCAATAAGTGGTATCTTGGGAGGTGTTTGGCGTTTGAAAAGAAGGTTTCCTAAAAGGCTTCCCCTTTCTCTAATCTCTAATCTAAACTCATCGAATACTGTAATAATAATGATAGTCCGTTTTAAAAGTCCCTCCCAAGAACAAGAGGCCTGCTGGAACACTTAGTCCACACAAATGATGTGAAAATATCCAGGGGCTTCGCGAACTTTTAGCTTCCACTCGCACTTTTCCACTTTCAGTTGCATCGACGCTTGTTTTTCTTTAGCCAGGGATTTTCCCGTGCCTCACACTCACTTTTCTGGGGGATTGTAGGAGTAGCTCCTCGTATTCTCGGCTTTTCTCGGCTAGCTGGAATTCCTCGGTGTGTCGGGCTTCCAGTTCTCCCTGCGATTCGATCCACTCACAATGCAAATGCACACGTTTCGAAAACGTTCTTCTTCTTTTTGATTGAACAACGAAAAAAAAACAAGAAAAATTTCTTCCCACCGCGAGTGCCTGCGTTCCGGGATGTTTTTTGTATAGAATTGATTTTGATTTGGATTTGGGTTTGGATTCGGACTCGAATCTGATCGCCTCTGGTGAGTATGTCTATAATATCTTGTGGGTACACGCCGTTTGGTTGCTGAGACCAAAAGTGAGCGCCGAAAGCGATCGCGCTTGCTTTTTATAGTCGCGCTGGCACACACACTGCGCCACTCACACACACACTCGCTACGGGGCACGCACACCAGCGCAGGGCAGCTGCTTTTCCGATGTTCCGATTTTCTGATTTTCAGCTTTTCAGCATTTATGCTTTTCAGCTCTGCTGTTTACTGCCTGCTTAACTGCGCTGTTGCTGTTTTCCCGCTCTCCGAGGCGCTCGCTCTCTGCACTTTCCTTCCCTCAGACTTCAGACCGCTCTGCCATCGCTCTTCCGTTGCAGAACGGATAACTCCTAGAAGTTGGGAGTTCGTGACGAGTTCAAGGAGCAGCAGCGGAGCTCCACGCCCGATGGGTGCACATGCACGCAGTCCCAGTCGACGGGGGTCACTCTCCAATCATCACCAGCTTACGCGCTCCGCTGATCCAGGGGCTGCCTTCTGGCATCTGGGGTTTGGGGTTTGTGGTCTGTGATCCGGGGTTCCGAGTTGCAAGTTGGAGTTGCGAGTTCGACCGCAGAGCAAACCGCGATTCCGTTGGCCTGCAAAAGTCGCAAAGAGCAGGGTGCACTGAGGGAAAAGCACAAGAGGTTTTACAACAACAAACTATTACGATCTGGTTATGCTTATATAATTTTTGATTTCACACTCATCCCAAGGGTTTTAACTATCGAAAGCTCGGAGGTAACTCCTAAAAGAAATCCCAGCTTCTTTGGGCCACGTTTTTTTGCGCGGTGTAGCGGCCTGTGGGAACTAAAGAGCGGTGGAAAGCGAGTCGGCGGTGCAGCGCTCGTGCCGCTCGTAACGCTCTTGGGAAAAACCGGAAGCGGTCGCCCGCCCCGCCCCCTCGGTCCCGCCCCTCGCCCTTGGGCAACCCGTGTACGTGTGCGAGTACATAGTCATGGATATAGATGCAGATATAGACCCGAAATAGACCGAACACCTAACGGTATGCCGACGGTCGGGTCTCGTTTCGATCGGGGGTTCATGTGACACGTAACGCGCTGCAAGGAATTTGGATGCCATTCAAGAATCGCGATCGCCCGCAGGCGGGAAACGCATCTTGGGTCGTCCCTCGGGTCCAAGAGCCCCAGGAGCCTAGGAGCCCAGAGCCGCGGAACCGCGGAACCCAGAGTCACCGGCGCTGTGCGCGTGCCCAGCTGCCTTGGCTTGTCAGCCTGCATTCGGACCTGGTCCACCCGGCCCGCCAATCTCGAGTATACGATTCTATTCCGCTAATTAAACAAATTCGACTGCATTGTTCGCATACAATGCTGGCTGTTGGGGCGTCGAGTGGCATCCTGGGTATCTTGGGATCCGCTCCGATCTCCTGGCATCCAAACCCAAGCCCGATTCCAACCGGCACTTCGCCGCATTGGAGGAATGCACTTTCCCGGGAAGAGCGTTGTTTGCACTCCGGAATAGAAGAGGCACCTCCCCATCCTCTGGATGGGTGGATGGGTCCCCAGGCCACAGGTGATTCACTGGGTATCAGCGCGGTTCAGTACTTCGGCACCTTGGACTCGTGCCCCTGCCGCACAAGCACCCGCTCGTTATTGTTGCATGTTTGGCTGACAGCCACAAGTGCATGGCGAATCTGAATCTCGGTGGCAATTATATGTATATTATGTTCACCACCGCCACACGTGTTTCCCTGTGTGTGTGTGTGTGAGTGAGTGTGGGAGGGGAAGGGGGAACGGGAGAGGTACCTTCTTGGCTATGTACTGCAGTATGCAGCGTATGCAGCCCGCCAGCGAGATCGGTTCGCCTGGTTTGGCAGCGGCCAGCACATAAATAAAATCAACTCATGAATGAAAATGCGTTCGCCTGAGCAATTTCCTGCCGCAGCGCAGACCAATAATCGCCGAATGGTCAGCACAATTTATTTGATAGATCTGCCAGAGGCTGTCGTCGCTGCAGTAAAGAGTCAACTTGGTAACAGCAGTTTCGAGCTGTGAGGTGTTAGGTTCCATCACTCAATCCCCTGGCCACAGGCTCTTCCTCAGAACGAACCGAAGGAGTGGACTCGGACTCGGGTTCCTTACAATGTTGTAGTGGTAGCATATATATCGGCGCAGTAACCCTCGATGTCTGTCACCAAGTGCCCGAAGGAAGAGCCGTCAGAGAACGGGTCAGCTTGAGTTGTTTGCCGTGGCAGTTGAGATTCCCCCAGCTGGGAACTCGTCAGCAGAGCGAAATAATGAGTGCTTCAAACAATTAGTCGTATTTGTTTGTGACAATTGCCAAGTGGCAGCGTCAAAACGGGCAACTATACTCAGGATCGGAGGTGATTCATCCCGAACTTCTTCGCCAACGACAATAAAGAGAAACAGATTTGCCAGTGGCCAATTGCTGGGCGGCTGGCTGAGTTAAGTAATGGCGTTGGGGAGCGGAAATCGCCTTATTTGGCCAGCGATTGCTGCTTGTTGGCTGTTTTCGACCACTTATATCGGCCAAGGCAACGTGGCGTATACGTAACTCGGGGCAGCGGGAAAATTGCGCATACGCGCCGTCTGCTTAATCATATGTTTTATTATTGTTAATAAAACTTAGATCATCCTTAGATCTATATATAAACAGGCACTTGGCCCGCATTGTGCCGAACAAGCACAGCAGGGGGCGCACCAATAGCAGCTCAGCGATATTCATTGCGTAAAAACGAACAAAAGCGTAAACACACGTTTTCTCTTCTCCGCTTTTTTCTGAAATCGTGAAATCGTGGTTAGTTGGACCGAACTCATCATACATCTGTGCGGATCGGCTATATGGCTATGTGGTGTGCGACATATGCGAGTACTAGATGCCATACAGGCGAGAGCCGTTGACGCAAATTGCTCGCCGCCGCCAACTTGCCATTATTTTTATTGTTATGATCTAGTGCTCTCCAGAGCTGAGTTCCCGAGCGGGAGCCGTCTCCCTCAACCCAACTTCGGGGTACTGGAGCAATTGCCTGGAAGGATCATAGATAAGGCAGGAGCCACGACCCCTTGGCCACCACAGTGAGCATTGAGCTGTCGACGATGCGCAATGTGCGGCGAACAAAATTGGAAACAACTCGAAAAACGGAATGCCAATGAAATTCCAACGCACATCGAGATCCCCGGCCCCCACAGCTATACGGCTATATGGCTATATCCGACATCGAGAAATGGCCAGCACTTGTAAGACATGTGTAAATATTTACGTTCCGCCTTTTTTCTAGATGCTGTGGGCAGAGGAACAGGGGGATCTCGGAGATAAAGTGACGTCGATGTCGACGACCGACGAGCGGCGACGCAAGAATTTTGGAATTTGGCATGGTCGAAGGACGCCTGTTGTTGCCATTGTTGTAGCCCCGACAAATATACACGACTATATCTGGTACGCAGTGGGCGATGTGTTTTCCAATGGGGATGGCGATGGCGATGGCGATGGGGATGTGGATGGGGATGCGGGATACGAGATGCGGGATGCGAAATGCGGCCTCTGATGCGGGTTCCGATGTAGATTCCGATTCGGATGTGGCTGGTGTGGCGGAATGACTCAACGGGGCTGCCAAATGGGAATTTCTAATTTGTGCTCGTGTGCGCCGCAGCTTTTCGTACTCGCATGCAGCTGCATAAACATCTGCATTTTAAAGGCCATAAAGGTCAGAAGTGCCGAGAGATATGCGAAAAGTGCGCCCAAAATAGGATTTTGCGTAGTCTTACGGGGCAGTAATTAAGTTGCTCACTCGACCTGGAAATGCATTTACCCAAGTCCGGCGTATCTTAAAAGTCATTGATGACGAAACCAATGGAAATTGTTTACTAAATTTCGAATTTTGCGGGGAAAACTCATTCAATCAAGTTCGCGACCTCGTCATCGTTGTTTGTCCGCCTCGCTGGGATGTGAGTGGGATGGTCTAAATATAGAGCACCGGCCCGAAATAGACGCCTTCGGCCATGTGGCCAACGTGACGTCATTGTGGCTTGGAGCAGGATGAGTTGCGGTCAGGTGCCCGCGCCGCCGAATGTAAACAATCTGACTATCGCTGGACTGGAATGGAATGCCACTGCGGCGGGGCTTTGTCAACTTTATCTCCCCGAAAAGTCGAGCAGAGCAGCTGCCGATCTGCCAACCCGAAGTAGTGACCCCTCTCGGGGTTTTTGTGCCGTCTCAGGATGACTCGGGAATCTCGAAATGGACTCTGCCGTCTCAGGATGACTCGGGAATCGCGAAACGGACTGTGCCCTCTTCGGAGTTGGGTGCGTGGTCCAAACTGTGTGCCAAACTGCCAGTGTGCCAAAGTGCCAGAGAGCCAAAGTGTCAAAGTGCCAGTGTGCTAAAGAGCCCAAGTGCCTGCGGTTCAAAGGCAAGGCTCTACAATCCAGGGTTCAAGCAAAGCCACGAAAATGCGGAAACGAGAATGTTGAGAGCAAGAAGAAGAAATCTTGATTTCAGCCTGTACTTCTATATAGCACTATACACGAACTATTCGTGTGTTTGGAGAAGGAAATGGGAGCAGCTCTGAGCTGATAACGCCAGACTGTCATCACTACTCAAAGGCGCTGATAGGGGCAGCATCCCGGGTTATCAGGTGTTGAGCTGGTCGCGGACTGAAGACTGGAGCGGACAGTTGACAGCCTCGCCTTCGGCGCGCCGGTCTGTCTGTCTGTCCCGAAGATGTGGCTCCTGCTCGCGCTCGTCCTGCTCCTGGTGGTCCTCGGCCACGAGATGCGCCGGTTCGTGAGGAACATGCGCACCGTGCCGGCGCCCCTGCCCCTGCCCCTCCTGGGCAATGCCCACCTCTTCTTCGGGCTCTCTCCGGCGGAGGCCTGCCTCCGGATCGGGGAGCTGGCGGAGAAGTACGGCGATACGTTCGGCCTCTTCCTGGGGCCCTCCTACAGCGTCATGCTCTTCAACCCGCGCGACGTGGAGCGGGTCCTCAGCACCAGCCAGTGGCTGACCAAGTCGCAGGAGTACTCCTTCCTGGGCCGCTGGCTGAACGAGGGGCTGCTGGTCAGCAGCGGCCGCAAGTGGCACCGCCGGCGCAAGATCATCACGCCCGCCTTCCACTTCAAGATCCTGGAGGCCTACGTCGAGGTCTTCGACCGCCAGTCCCTGCGGCTCGTCGAGGAGTTGGGCTCACGCAGGAGCGGAGGCCAGGATACAAACCCACCGATCAACCTGGGCGAGGCAATCCACCTCTGCACGCTGGACGCCATCTGCGGTGAGTTCGAGGGCCAGTGCCTGGTTTGGTCCACTTTTGAGTTCGACTTTAGGTTTCCGCACCCAAGCCTACTGATCCGCGGGGGGATATCTGTTCTCAACACTATGCCAAGGTCCAAACCGAAGTCACCGCCATAAAACACTGAGTACGGCTACCGAAGCGATAAGATATCGGCGATCCGGGAATTGTTTGGCGCACTATTTTGGTAGAAAGCTAGCCGTTCGAGAGCTAGTGATAAGATAATCCGGGGCGATTAGCACCACAGCACCACGGTGCACTCAGCCAAACTGGGAGGAGGCGAGCGAAGGTGTTTAATCACCGGAGGGAGCATTGGTTCCCCATTGTTTGCTAACAACGCAGTGTGGCTATGCTGTACTTGAGCTCCACAACCTCCCCTTGGGCTTTGAAGCCTGTCCAGCTCATGTGTAGTTTGCAGTGTAGCGTCGAGTGGGCAATGTAATCAGTTGTTTTGGCCAACTACGTGGGGTTATCGTGCATAGGGACGGGTTGTTAACGGATCAGTAGCTCCCTTGCAGCCAGTGTGCGGGGTTCATTGCGGAAGCCACTAGCTCCAGAATCTAGAATCATGTTCCTGGTCATAGGCGCAGTCCTGGCCAGCGCAGTCCTGGTGGGCGTGCTGATCTACCAGCTGAAGTTTAAGCGGGTGATAGAACTCATCAGCTACATGCCGGGTCCGCCGGTCCTGCCGCTCGTGGGCCACGGCCACCACTTCATCGGGAAGCCGCCGCACGAGTTGGTGAAGACGATAACCGGGTTCATGGAGACGTACTCCAAGGACCAGGTGCTCAAGGTCTGGCTCGGACCGGAGCTGAACGTGCTCATGGCCAATCCCAAGGACGTGGAGGCGGTGCTGGGCACCCTGCGGTTCAACGACAAGGCGGGCGAGTACAAGGCCCTGGAGCCCTGGCTGAAGGAGGGTCTGCTGGTCAGCCGGGGCCGCAAGTGGCACAAGCGGCGCAAGATCATCACGCCCGCCTTCCACTTCAAGATCCTCGACCAGTTCGTCGAGGTCTTCGAGAAGGGATCGCGGGAGATGCTCGTGAACCTGGAGCGGGACCGCCTCAAGCACGGAGACTCCGGCTTCAGCCTCTACGACTGGATCAACCTCTGCACCATGGACACGATCTGCGGTAGGAATTCGCTCGTCCTCTGCCGGATAAACCTTCGGTGCACCCGCGGACCAGGGCTCAGGTTTCCTCAGTTTTTGCTGGCAAACACTTCGTGTCGATTAAGCTATTAAGCTCTGCTCGTTGCCTTTCTTTCTAGAAACCGCCATGGGCGTGTCCATCAACGCACAGTCCAATGCCGACTCCGAGTACGTGCAGGCGGTGAAGACCATCTCGATGGTGCTGCACAAGCGCATGTTCAACATCCTCTACCGCTTCGACCTCACCTACATGCTGACCCCCCTGGCGAGGGCCGAGAAGAAGGCCCTGAACGTGCTCCACCAGTTCACGGAGAAGATCATCGTGCAGCGGCGGGAGGAGATCATCCGCGGCGGGAGCAGCCAGGAGAATCGTACGGAGCACGCGGACGCGGACGTGGGCGCCAAGCGCAAGATGGCCTTCCTCGACATCCTCCTGCAGTCGACCGTTGACGAGCGGCCACTGAGCAACCTGGACATCCGCGAGGAGGTCGACACCTTCATGTTCGAGGGCCACGACACCACCTCCTCCGCGCTCATGTTCTTCTTCTACAACATAGCCACCCATCCGGAGGCGCAGAGCAAGTGCTTCGAGGAAGTCCGCTCCGTGGTGGGCCAGGACAAGAGCACGCCCGTCACCTACGACCTGCTGAACCAGCTGCACTACGTCGACCTGTGCGTCAAGGAGACCCTCCGCATGTACCCCTCGGTTCCGCTGCTGGGCCGCAAGGTCCTGGAGGACTGCGAGATAAGTGAGTACAGCAGGACACAAAAATAGGCGCTAATCTTTAGTTCCCATTCGAGGTGGTACACCTAAACAAATGTTGAATCGATTCGTTTCCAAATATCCGAAACTTGCGTTTTCACTTCCTGCACTTCAACACGCAGAACATTTTTAATTTTTGGTCGACTTCGAAGTGGCATACATTAACATTAACATTTTTGTCTCGATTCAGATGGAAAACTTATTCCTGCGGGCACGAACATCGGCATCTCACCGCTTTATTTGGGCAGACAAGAGGAACTCTTCAGCGAGCCCAACAGTTTCAAGCCGGAGCGATTTGATGTGGTGACCAGCGCCGAGAAGCTCAATCCCTACGCTTACATCCCCTTCTCAGCAGGACCGCGCAACTGCATTGGCCAGAAGTTCGCCATGCTGGAGATCAAGGCCATTGTTGCCAATGTCCTGAGGCACTACCAGGTTGACTTTGTGGGCGACTCTTCAGAGCCGCCAGTCCTGATCGCCGAACTGATCCTGCGCACAAAGGACCCGTTGATGTTCAAGTTGCGGGAGCGAGTCTATTGAATTCCTAGCTTACATTCTATTATTCCCTTTGTAAATAAACTACACAACAATATAGCGAACGGGAAGGTGTTGGATTCATATGGATTCATATTCTAAAGTTCTTATTTATGTGGGTGGTGTACCATGTTTGGACCTTGGTTTGGGTCTTAGCTTTGTTTTTTTTTTTTTTCTGGAAGGACAAGGAGCAGGGGTGTGACTTTACCTTATTTAACATCAATATTTAAGTTATTGCCTACAATGTCCTATAACCGCTTAAGCCCTTGTTCCTTTTTTCGGTAATGTAATCTTGAGCATTGTTTAATAAGTGCGGCAGAATAGCCGGCTGATGGATTTGCTTAGCAACTTTTGTGCGCGTCTTTCCCACTTCTTCGATCTTTGTTATCGCATTTGTTCTATCGATAACCGACGAGGTGCACGCCGATATACTTGTCTTACTGTCTATATCGATATATCGCAGTCAAGTTCTTAATGTGTGTATCGATAATATCGCGAGTAGTTAGTCCAGCTCTAAAATCGTGTTTCTCTCGTAGAAAAACAGAGAAAAAAAACTTTTTCGTGCATTTGGCCCGTGCAAAAACCGAGAATCGCCCCTGCGTTTGTTCCGTACGGCGATAACATTAAACGCGCGCAATAAGTAAGCGCGTTTTAGCGGCCAACTAATCGCGAAATCAAAAATATATTTCCAGCAAGAAGAAGAACGAACGGCAGTAGTAGCTATAATTGTCGCCGTTGTTGTTGTTGTTTGCATTAGTGTTGGTGGTGTGCGTGTGTGTTGTTGTTCTTGCTTTTGGGATGATGCTGTGCTGTAAAGTAAAGTGAAGTTAAAGTGGTGGCAAAACCAAAAAGTGTGTGCAACGCAAAATAAACGCTGCAATTCGCGGATAGGCGTAGATTCGTATAAAAGATGGTGGTAATAAGCCTCAAAAAGTCGTGAAATTTTTTAACTGTGTTTCGTGCAAAAAATTGCGCCAATAAGCAAAAGCAAACGCAAACATCGTTTGTTTTATTGCATTCCCTGCACACACACACACACAAACACACGCACGCAGTCGCATACATATGCGCTGCAGCAGCAACAGAGATTTTGACCACACTACTCACTCACACCCACATGCATCCACGCAGCAAGCGGTGCTCAACAACAACAAAAACAAAGAGCAGTTAAATGTTTCACTTAAGGTAAGTTTCGTTACTGTAGATTTAAGGAGGAATTTCAACAGCAAGGGCGGTAAATTGTTTGTTTTTAGCATTTGGCTTCGGAAATAGAACTTGATTTGGTTTCGATGCGTGCGTGTGTATGAAAATTGGAAATCGCTGGCTTGCGCGTGTGTGTGTGTGCGCACTATCGTGTGCTCTCGCTCGCACCCACGCACTTCTTAGGGGCGCGCGTTTGTTGTGTTTTGCTGTTGCTGCACTTCTCTCTTTGCCTCAACCAAACAAATCGCTCATTTTAGTAAAATTCAATAACTGTCCGCGGTGCAAAAACATGAATTAATAGTTAATGATGCTGGAGAACGGGATATGTTGTGGCCTAAATCCTGTAAAAGTTCTGCCTACTTAACTTTTGGCACTGCAGCAGAAGGATAATTCGAGTAGCAGTGAATGGTCAACGTTAAATTGGTATTTGGCAGAAAACTTGGTTTTCTATTTATTTATGCATTTTGTATCTTGTAGGGGTAACCACACAGAAACATTTGGTTTAATTGTCTATAACAGTGGTAAAATCCCAATAGTCAATCAGAAAATGTCATAATATTAAATATGTTAAATCGATACATTCGAAATTGTAAATATGATATCCTCAATGGTGTTTTCCTGCATTTGTTATTATGTTTTCAAATGATGTCAACATATCTCGAATGACAAACAAACCCAGTTTCTTTTGTTTACCCAAATGTGAGAAGGGCTTGTAACTGAGTTAAACTGTCGAAGCTGGCCACTTACATATGTGTTCTTCAATTTCAGTGATCTGGTTACCAAGGAGTAGAGCCACCAACCAGGAGGAAGAGGAATCGCCAAGCCGGAGCCCAGGAACGCCACCGAAAATGTCGCGGTGGGGCAAAAACATCGTCGTCCCGCTGGACTCGCTTTGCAAGGAGAAGGAGAACACCAACAGGCCGACTGTCGCCCGCTCCGTGGGCACCGTTGGCAAATGGGGCAAGATGGGCTTCACCTCGACGCGCACATACACGCTATCCGCCCTTCATCCAATGGCTGCGGCAGCAGCGGCGGCCGCGGCGGCAGCAAGTCCTTCCCAGAGTCCCGCCTCCACGCAAGACCACGATCCCAGCGATCTGTCCGTTTCGGTGCCGGAGCCGCCAAAGCCTAAGAAGTTCTTCAAATCGAGGAACGCAGCTCCGCCGGAGGTGATTGCCCAGATTATCCAGCAGTTGCCGCATTGCGGGGCTGGTGCGTCGCCCATGCGGGACCAGTACTCGGCGGGAGCGGGCGTTGGTGGGGCCACGCCCACTTCCGGTGCCCAGGAGGCGGGCGGACAAAAGCTGAAGCCGGGCAAGGGTGGTAGTTCCGCAGAGCGGAAGCGCAAATCGCCCAAGAAGAAGGTGGCTGCCACGACGCCGTCAACATCAGCCGCCGCGACCACGCCCTCGACGCCTGGTGCGTTCTACGGCGCCTCTGACCGGGATGGCGAGGGGCTAAGCGATCCCGCCTCGGAGCAGCCGGAGTCGTCCAGTGCAGCGGGCAAGCAGAGGCAGAAGAAACCGAAGGAGGAAAAGAAGCTGAAACCAGAGGCACCACCCTCGCGCGTTCTGGGTCGCGCCCGCAAGGCGGTCAACTACTGTGAGGTGGACGAAGACGAGCGCTATCCCACGCCCACCAAGGATCTGGTCATTCCCAAGGCGGCGCGCCAACCTGGGGAAGTGGCGGCCACCGCGGCCTCCGCGTCTGAAGCCTTCATCAGCTCCACGTTTGGCAGCCCGGGATCAGAACCTTCGCTTCCCCCGCCCACGTCTGCGCCCAGTGCTCCCACGCCTACGGCTACACAGCTTCCCTCCGCATCAGGCGTTCCGTCGAATCCTTCGAGCGCCTCCCGCACTCCAGAACATCCTCCGATTGTGCTGCGCATCTCCAAGGTGAGTACCAAAGTCCACAGCAACAAATGTTTGATTTGCAAATGCTTTTGGCTAGTTTTTCTTAGCTCGGCTTACTGTTAAATAAGTCATTGAATATTGTTGAATCACAGAATAAGACTATTATTTACGAGTAAGCAAAGCTACTTGCTTTGCATTGACTTGGATTCCACATACAGTTTAAGCAAGGATAAATCGTTTAAACAAAAAAACCAATTGGATTCAATACTCCTATACTATACCTCGTTCAAACTCCTGGAAGTCATTTTCGATAAATTTCTTCAAAAAAAAAATTGTCGAGTACCCCGAATGCGATCGCTCTCTCCACCTCTCACTCTCTTTCAGCCGCTCTCTCCTAGCTGCTCCAACTTTCTCTCTCTCCCCGCATGGTTCCCCGTGTGCAGAAAAGGGAGAGAAGCGCAGCGCGCGAAGCAGTGTTAAATTACGCGCGCTTTTACAAGCAAAGCAACGGAATTGGAGTCTCAGCTTCGCTCTCTCCGTGCCAAGTTGTTGGTGTTTTGTTTTATTCACTGGTGGCGCTCTTTTTGTTCCGCATTTATCGGTGGCTTCTTGCTTAGTTTGGTTCACTTCAAGTGCTAATTTTCGGACAGCTCAGCAGTCCCCTTTCTATTTCTACTAGCCGCATCTACCAGAAGTAGGCTCACCCCAAGACACACATTCCCAGCTAATCTGTCGCATTTCTCCCTTCCAGGGCACTTCCCGCTTGGTCAGCACGGACAGCGAGGAGCCGCCGAGCAGCTCGCCCGCTCACCAGAACCCACAGAGCCTGCTCCCCGTCGCGGAGGAGGAGCCAGCGGAGCGGACCGGAGACGAAACAGTTCCTGCAAGCACGCCAAAAATTACTGTGAAGCCACTGAGGCCACCGCCAGCGGAATCGGCGGAAGGATCATCGGCGGCAGGGGGAGCGACGGACAACTCCTTCGAGGAGCGCAAGCCGTCCGACGGCAACGAGGAAGAGGAGGACGAGGAAGAGGAGGAGGACGAGGAGGAGGAACCGCCGGAGATCAACTACTGCACGGTGAAGATATCGCCGGACAAGCCGCCCAAGGAAAGGCTCAAGCTGATCATCAAGACGGACGTGATCCGCAACGCCATCGCCAAAGCGGCCGCAGCAGCAGAGTCTCGCAGCGAGAAGAAGTCGAAGAGCAAGAAGCACAAGCACAAACAGCTGCTGGCCGCGGGAGCTGCAGCCGCTCCTCCGTCATCTGCAGCCAACCCCAGGGAGCCCACCTCGGAGTTCAAGACGCCCTCACCTCACCTGGCCTTCAGCGAGGTCAACAGTCACCAAACGCAACATCCGCCTTCGTCACAGCACCCGCAGCGAGGATCCTCGGTCATATCGCCCACCACCCGCTCCGATCACGACTTCGACTCGCAGTCCTCGGTCCTGGGCAGCATCTCCTCCAAGGGCAACAGCACGCCGCAGCTGCTGGCGCAGGCCGTGCAGGAGGACAGCTGTGTGATCCGCAGCCGGGGCTCCAGTGTGATCACCAGCGACCTGGAAACGAGCCAGCACTCCTCGCTGGTGGCCCCGCCCTCGGACATCGAGTCCCGCCTGGCGTCCATGATGATGACCAACGACGGCGTCGTCTCGGGGACGGCCACCGTGTTGCCGGAGACTCCGCTGCAGGAGGACATACTCGCCGTGCTGCGGGGAGAAGTGCCTCGGCTAAACGGCAGCACGGCAACGGACCCTGACCCAGCTCCTCCGGAGGAGGGGGAGGACCAACAGCAGCAGCAGCCGAAGAGGGCCACGCGGGGCAGGGGCAAGAAGGCGAACAACACCGCGGAAGCCCCTGCTCCGGCCACGGAGACCAGAACCCGCGGCAGGGCCAAGGGAGCCGACACTGCCGTCGGTTCGCCTCCGGCGCCCAAGAGAAGCACACGGGGCACCCGAAACTACAAGAAGGCCGAGCCGGAAGTCGACATGGAAGTGGACGAGCCGGCGGCGGCGGCGGCAGCACCAGCACCGGCGAGCGAAGGGCAACTGGAGCAGGCCACTCCGCCGCCGCGAAGAGGACGCAACGCGACCACTCGGGCGAACAACAACAACTCGGCCAGCGTGAACAACAACATCAACAAGATAGCGGCCAGTCTGTGCGCCAAGGCCGAGGCCAGTCGCCTTGTGGAGGGCGGAGCGGCGGGAGCAGCACCGCGCAGCTACGGCCGGAAGCGGAAGAACCAGCAGGTGACCCAGGTGCTGCAGCAGGAGCAGGCGCCCGAGGAGGAGGAGCCCCCCGAGGCTGACGCGGAGCAGCCCACGCCTGCGAAGATCCCGCACACGGAGCACAGGGAACCCTCGCCGGACCACGACCCGGACCCCGATCCCGACGAGCTCTCGAACAACTCGAACACTTCGTCGCTACAGCACGACGGATCCTCCTCGTCGCCCCCGCCGCGTGACTTCAAGTTCAAGGACAAGTTCAAACGAACTCTGACCCTGGACGCGCAGGGCGCCTCCAATGCGGGAGCGGGAGGAGCTGCCGGAGCCGCGGCTGGAGGGGCAGCGGAGTCCGCTGGCGGCGAGCAGCGTGGCGCCGTCAAGCTGGTCATCTCCAAGAAGAAGGGCAGCATCTTCAAGAGCCGCGCTCTGGTGCCGTCCGACCAGGCGGAGCAGGCGACGGTGGCCAAGCGGCATCTGTACAAGCACAGCTGGGACGCGGCGCTGGAGGCGAATGGCGCGGGCACCGGCAGCGACGCCAGCAACGCCTCGGCATCGGGAGCGGGCGTGGCCGGAGCCAAGGACCACCTGCTGCACCATTTGGCGGCGGGGAAGTCCGATGGCGACTTCGGCGACAGTCCCTCGTCGAACAACAACGGCTCTTCCAGTGCGTGCAGCAGCGCGTCCACGTTGCGCGGCGACAGCCCGGCGCTCGGAAAGACCTCGCGGCTGGCGGGGAAGCAGGGAGCGCCCACCACCTCCACCAACGTCGATGCCTTCGACTTGGACCTGGAGCCGATCGCCGGCGATCTCGACTTGGAACGCGGTGCGGCGGGAACGGCTTCCAGCGGAGCGGGAGGAGCAGCTGGCGGCGGCGGCGGAGCGACTGGCGGCAGCGGCGGAGGACCCATTCGCGTCGACCGCAAGACCAAGGACTACTACACGGTGGTGCGAAACGTGAAGACGGCCCACCAGATCCAGGAGATCGGAGAGTACCAGGAGATGGACGACGACGTCGAGTACATCCTGGATGCGCTTCAGCCGCACAATCCGCCGGCGACGCGCTGCCTCTCCGCCCTGCAGCTGGCCGCCAAGTGCATGATGCCCGCCTTCCGGATGCATGTGCGTGCGCACGGCGTGGTCACCAAGTTCTTCAAGGTAAGTCCGCCCCATAAGACCCTATCAAATACCCTTGGTAGGCCTTTATTTTCCGCAACTCACTCGATATGCTGGGTTCTCCGGGATTACTTGTTTATCCATATTGCAGCTGAAACAGCTCCACTTGTGGTCGTATGGTTAGCAATACCCAGAAGCGCGACTTTTGTTTTGAAAGATTGCATCGATTGCAGCGGGGTATCCAATTGCTGGACAAACACTAAACAATACCAAGAACCTTACACATAAGAGTTAAAGCCATCCCTTCTGGGTGGGCAATGTAGTCACTTACTTTAGAATGAATACTGTGGAACCACTACTAATCGAATCACTACACTCACCATCCCAGGCACTGTCCGACGCCAACAAGGACCTCAGCCTGGGCCTGTGCACCTCGGCCATCATGTACATCCTCTCGCAGGAGGGTCTCAACATGGACCTGGACCGCGACTCGCTGGAGCTGATGATCAACCTCCTGGAGGCGGACGGCGTCGGCGGCGGCACGGAGAGCGGGCACCCGGACAGGGCGGGCTACGACCGCAACAAGCAGAAGGTGCGCGAGCTGTGCGAGGAGATCAAGGCGCAGGGCAAGGGCACCCATCTGAACGTCGACTCCCTGACCGTGGGCACGCTGGCGATGGAGACGCTGCTCTCGCTGACGTCCAAGCGGGCGGGCGAGTGGTTCAAGGAGGACCTGCGCAAGCTGGGCGGCCTGGAGCACATCATAAAGACCATCTCGGACTTCTGCAGACCGGTGATCGCCAGCGAGGCGGAGATTCACTGGCAGCCGACGCTGCTGGACAACATGCAGACGGTGGCGCGCTGCCTGCGCGTCCTCGAGAACGTGACGCAGCACAACGAGGCGAACCAGCGCTACATGCTCACCTTCGGCCAGGGGAAGGCTGTGGAGACGCTCTGCCAGCTGTACCGGCTCTGCAGCCAGCAGCTCACGCTGCACCCCTCGGTGGACTGCGCCGGCAGCAACAAGGAGCACCCGGGCGTGGCCATGCGCGAGCTGCTGGTGCCGGTGCTCAAGGTGATGATCAACCTGACGCACACGTTCAACGAGGCGCAGCCCTCGCTGGGCGCCGAGCTGCTTGGCCAGCGGGGCGATGTGGTGGAGACGAGCTTCCGGCTGCTGCTGCTCTCGGCGAACTACATTCCCGACCAATGTGTCTTCGAGCTTAGCATACTGGTGAGTGTCCAAGCCTAAGGCCTCCGGTCTAAGTCCTTTTCTCACGTCTGTCTTCCCTGTCCTCTAGGTACTGACCCTGCTCATCAACCTGTGCATGCACACGCCGCCCAACCGGACGGCGCTTATGCAGGCCGCAGCTCCGGCGGAGTACGTGGCGGACAATCCACCGGCCCAGGGAACTGTGAGTGCGCTGCAAGCCCTGCTGGAGTACTTCTACAAGTGCGAGGAACTGGCAAGGTGAGCCCAAACGATATGCTATTTGTCCCTGTGTGTCCACTGATTACCGATTTCCCATTACCAGGTTGGTGGAGAAGAACACCGACGCCTTCCTCGAGAGCAACGAGAAGGGCAAGAAGAAACAGGAGGAAGTGGAGGAGACCGTCAACAATCGTAAGTACACATTTACGGCGTTGTGCTGTGCTGAACACCGCTAATCCTCGGGTGGCTTTATCCCACAGTTTTGCAACGCGCTGGTCACCACATGGAGCACACTCTGAAAGGAAGTTACGCGGCCATTCTGGTGGGGAACTTGATCGCGGACAACGAGCTGTACGAGTCCCTGGTGCGGCGTCAGCTGCGGGGGAACAGCTTCAAGGAGATTATCGGCGTGCTGGAGAAGTACCACACCTTCATGAACCTGACGTCCAGCGTGAGTTCTGCTCTGGTTCCTCATATTCTAATTTGCCTTGTCAACCACTGTAAACCTATTCTAACTTGGCATTACTCTCCCCTTTTTTGATTCGACCAGTTGGAGGCGGCCTTTGTGGCGCACATGAAGTCCACGAAGCGGATCATCGACAACTTCAAAAAGCGCGACTACATCTACGAGCACTCTGACGAGCACGACAACACCCTGCCCCTAAATCTGGAGACGACGACCCAAGTTCTGGCCGTGGGAGCGGCGGACTCGTCGCATGCGGCTGCTGCCTCGTCTTCATCCACATCCACGTCCGTATCCGCATCCGCTTCCTCGTCCACATCGCCCACCGGATCGACGACGAGGGTGACACGAGTGTACAAGACGTACAGCAGCCACAGATAATCGGACTTGGAAACGGAAACGGAAATGGAAATGGAAACGGAGAGCCATCGCCGTTGTCGTTAGACACACCGAAAGCCTGCCACCAAAATAAATTCTGTTGTTTGTGATTATGTAATTTGTTTATGTGCTGATATAGCAACCACAATATCTATGTGTATAGTCTGTAATGCACCTAGTTTCAGTCAGCTGTACCCCACGTATATATACATATATATGAATCGAAAGTATGTAGCCAAGAGCGATAGGATAGGGATACGATGCGATCTGATCCGATCCGATCCGAACCGTTTATGCGTACGTATTAACCCAAAGTGATAGCGAATTCTCGAGCATGGTCTGCGTTTTAACTACGGCAAATGATAAGGATTAGTGAAACGAATCGTGAAGGCAGCACCACGGCGACAACACAAAGATCCAAATCCCCTACTGATATGTGTACGTTATATAGTCATAAGCAATATTAGCAGCTAAATGTCGACTTACCCTCACAAACACACCCATGTAAATATTGTTTATTAAGCGATTTTATCGGACGCGTCTTAGGTTTATTTCGAATGTGTTTTTTACCTATTCTTACCTTAAACATAATATTTTTTTTATTCGTCAACTGAATAGAGACGTTCTTAGCAAACACAATGCAGGAAAAAGAGCGAGAAGTAGACAGAAGTGTAAAGAGAGAAGTGGGGGAGAGCAAACTAGAGTCGATGAAGAAAATAAAGTTATTTTATTGCCTAAACTTAAGCTAAAGAAACTCTACTTATAAATCTAAAACTGATCAATAAATATATATATGTATATGGATATATGTGTATGTTTACAACCACAAAAATGTCATATTTAGGCTACAAAAATCAGATTTAAAGCGCGTGCGAGAGAGAAACAATTTCGGGAACAAAATATATATTTATTTTTTGTTTTCAACGAGTACATAATTTATTGTTCTTGCAAAAAAAAACAAAACAAAAATAAAACTAAAATTGAAAAACCAAGCATGTTTTTAATATTTGGGCAGAGGGTTTTTATAATTATTTTTTTTGGGTGTTTCAAACTATAATATATTGATCTTGCAAAAACTTTCCAATCTATTTAAAAATTGTTTTTAGATTTGTATCCCCTGCTTGGGTGCAAAATACAATCGCAAGGAAAAGTAAATTATCAAATTCCCAGTTTAAAAAACCCGCGCAAGTGAAAACACTTTGATAAGCGAAAGTATTTTTACATGGAATTGAGTTATTATTTTGAGATGTAAATATTGTTTTAAACAAATTACTGATACACAGCTAGCCAGACCTATCTGGCTTAACAAACTTTATTAATATTAAGGTAGAAGAACGAAATAAACTTGTATTTAACAGCGTAAAACTCTGGCACTCACGCACGTGACAAGAAAAATACCGCAATCAGCTGTTTCCTTTTATAATTAATTTTTTTGGGTGTTTTAAACTATAATATATTGATCTTGCAATAAGTTTCTGATCTATTTAAAAATTGTTTTTAGATTTGTATCCCTTGATTGGGTGCAAAATACAATCGCAAGCAAAAGTAAGTTATCAAATTCCCAGTTCAAATAACCCGCGCAAGTGAAAACACTTTGATAAGCGAAAGTATTTTTACATGGAATTGAGTTATTATTTTGAGATGTAAATATGTATTGTTTTAAACAAATTACTGATACACAGCTAGCCAGACCTATCTGGCTTAACAAACTTTATTAATATTAAGGTAGAAGAACGAAATAAACTTGTATTTAACAGCGTAAAACTCTGGCACTCACGCACGTGACAAGAAAAATACCGCAATCAGCTGTTTCTGGTATTCTGGCGGCGGGTAAGCCAGTATTTTCCCGCTTTCCGCATGTAATTCTTTATGTCATCAGGCGGTCCAATTGGCAACGCAACAACCCCCTGAAAAGGCCGTGTCGCAACCAGGGTCAACAACAAAACACCGGCCCCACCACTCTTCACATAAAAGGCACTCAAATCTCCGGGAAACCCGCCTGCTCTGCTCCATTCGGTCACTATCAGGATGTCGACGCGTCGCCAGGCGATCTCATTGTACAGGAATCTCCTGCGCGAATCGGAGAAGCTGCCCTCCTACAACTTCAGGTAAAAGTTGTGAAATAAACAGAGCAACGAGTGTCTATTATTTCTCGACTTTCCAGGATGTACGCTGTCCGCAAAATTAGGGACACATTCCGTGCGAACAGGAGCATCCGGGACTTCGGGGAGATTGATCGGCAAATGGCCGCGGGGCAGCAGAATCTGGAGCTGATTCGTCGCCAGGTGAGTGGCTCTATCTTGGGTTTCACCTGGCTTTATCAGCAGTCTTGGGTGACCACACGTACAGCTAGTTAGTTAGCTAGTTAGACCCGATATCATGTTAGGCCCTTTGATCATTTGTCTCTAAAAAGAGTCGTCGCTTTTGAAGATAACAGAATAAACATATATTTATACAGATATATATTTGTAGATGTCGAGTAGCTCCTTACCTATTGGTTTTTCTCCTAACGCACTTGCCGTATTTTGTTTTTGACTTATATTTCCCAAGTGTTGTGACCTCAACTCTATCACATATATGTACTTATTTATAAGTGTTATCATATCATAGATCGCAATGGAGAGAAGGGAACTCATCCCCATTACCTTGCCCCAGCTGGCTGGCTAAGGTGGTGAATAAACACCTAGGCAATTAGAAAGCGAAAGTCACCATTCGGCCCCTTTTGCTTATCAGTGGTCAAGTTTATTAACCCCATTGAATGCCGGCAGGTGATCATCGGCCACCTGTACAGCGCTGACAAGCTGGTCATAGAGAACAAGAAGACCCTGAAGCCCTCGGACGACTGAGGGAATGCGAGCGAGGAGCGAGAAGCGATAAGCGGTAGCTGAGGACAGTACAATAGCAGGGAAGGATCGGAAGCAGGCGCAGGAGGAGGAGGAGGCACCTTCACGCAAAGACACAACTCGAAAGACTCGACCCACACACAAAACACCACATACTTAGTTGATTCTATACACCCGCTGCACTTTGCATCCATCAAAACCAACGAACCGAAATCATTTGCTAGCAAGAACACCAATTTAATGTTATGTTTAACAACAAATATGAAATTATATATACGTACATATATATTAATGTTATGATTAGGTACTAAGTACTCAGGAAAAAAAAAAATCTAAGACACCGGCGCCTCTGACATGGAATGTGGGCGGAAGAGCGGAGTGGACAGGGGACAGAAGATAGAAGACAGGGGAAGTGGGAAGTGGGCCACCTACGCCTGGTAGGTGCTGGCGGACACGTTGCCGCCGGTGCCCGTCCAGTTTGTGTGGTGGAACTGGCCCTCCTGGCCGAGCAGCTCGTAGGTGTGGGCCCCGAAGTAGTCCCGCTGGGCCTGCAGCAGGTTGGCGGGCAGCTTGGCCGTCCGGTAGCCGTCGTAGAAGCTGAGCGCGGTGGACAGGGCCGGCACGGGGATGCCCCAGCGGAAGGCGTTGGCCACCACCTCGCGCCACGAGTCCTGGCCGCGCTCGATGGCCTGCCTGAAGAAGTCGTCGAGCAGCAGGTTCGAGAGCTGCGGCTGCGCGGTGTACGCGTCCTTGATGTTGCCCAGGAAGACGCTGCGGATGATGCAGCCGCCGCGCCACATCAGCGCGATGCCGCCGTAGTTGAGCCGCCACTTGTTCTCGCTGGCCGCCTCGCGCATCAGCATGAAGCCCTGGGCGTAGGACACGATCTTGGCGCAGTACAGGGCGTGCTTGATGTCGTCGAGGAACTTGGTCAGGTTGGCCACCTGCGCCTTGGTCGACGGTCCCTTTAGCGAGCCGCTGGCTCGGACGCGCTCGTCCTTGAGGGCGGACAGGCAGCGCGAGAAGACAGCCTCGCCGATCAGCGTGACGGGCACTCCGTACTGCAGGGCGGCGATGGCAGTCCACTTGCCGGTGCCCTTCTGGCCGGCGGTGTCGCGGATCCGCTCCAGCAGGTGCCCCTTCGCGTCCTTGTACTTGAGGATGTCGCGCGTGATCTCGATGAGGAAGGAGTCCAGCTCGGCGGCGTTCCACTTGCCGAACTCGGCGGCCATCTGGTCGGCGGTCAGGCCCAGGCTCTGCATGATGTGGTAGGCCTCGCAGATCAGCTGCATGTCGCCGTACTCGATGCCGTTGTGCACCATCTTGACGAAGTGGCCGGCGCCCCCGTCGCCCACCCACTCGCAGCAGGGCTCGCCGTCGGCCTTGGCGCAGATCGCCTGGAAGATGGGTCGGATGAGGGGCCAGGCCGCCTCGTGGCCCCCGGGCATCAGCGAGGGTCCGTGGCGGGCGCCCTCCTCGCCGCCACTCACGCCGGAGCCGACGTAGAGCAGGCCCAGCTTGGCCAGCTCGTCGCAGCGGCGGGACGTGTCCTGGTACTCGGAGTTGCCGCCATCGATGATCACGTCGCCGGCGGACAGCAGTGGCACCAGCTGCTGGATGAAGTCGTCCACAGCACTACCGGCTGCAATTGGGGAAGGGGAGATCTTGTTTAGAGGGTAGGTGAAAACAGTCTGGGAATATCTTGTAGTGCGCTATTTCTGCCTTGGGATGCCTATCAAAATGTTTTCTGCTTAAATTATAACACCATTATCAATGTTTTCCAGTAGTAAAACACAGCCAGATGCAGTAATTACCCGAAGAAATCAGCGATTTAGTCAGAAAGTAGAGCGTGCCAATAGACAAGGTCGATTGCTTCTGGTTGCTTTTGGAAAGTCACTGTGTTTTGCTTTGGAGGTCACCGTGAGGCGTCCTTTGTGCCGGTAAGTACTTCTCCACCGCAGTGGAGCCCGATAAGGCCAACGAGCAGCGGCGATAATGGCATTGATCTATCTATCTAGCGGTCGCACACCAGCGGCCAAAAGTGAAAGGTAATCCGAGGGTTTAGTAAGTAATAGTAATAAATTGAAATAAACAAATTCTACACAGCCACTTTACAATTAGTACATAAGGTGGTATCCTTGCTTTCAATAAACCTTCTGAAAGTTCACGCGACTTTCCACGCAACTTTTGAGTTTGAATTTTAACACGAAAGAACTTAGATCTAGAATCTAGATTGTAGCTACGCATATGCCCCGCACTGTGTATAAGGCGATCCGCAGACGGATGAATGAATCACTGGCTTGGCAACTTGAAGGGAAGGTCACCGGGACAAATGATCATGTGGACAGAAGAGTGGATTTCGGCTAGGCCAATCCGAGGAAATTCCCTTGAAAATCGGGCCATTCTGTATGACCTATAATGAATGTCATAGATTTCTCTCTCTCTCTCTCTCTCAAACAAAAACACAACAACACGCTACGTATGTAGGTAGGAAGGTACGAGATAAGCCGGGAACGCCAACTAGAGGTGAGTGGAATTTCGAACGCGTCTGGGTGATGAAACGGTGGGTGGCGTGGAAAGCACCGCAAATGTGCGAACATAAAGTCGATAATGATCTTTCGTAAGTTTAACTTTAACCTTTGACCGAAAAAAAACCATCTTTCTTTTACGTTCTAATTTAGAATATATAGATTCTCCCCGTTTTGAATACTGCTCCAGTGAAGCACGCTTTTCTCTCGTGTTCCTCCTTTGCTTATAACAACCGCCCAAAAAAAACTGTCATCTCTAACTTCGTGTCAAGAACAACAACAAAGCCAAGCTTTGAATTCGAGTTGCGAATGAGTGATCTTACTGTTGTTCTCGCCTTTCACCTGTTAATCCTCTCTTCTCCTTTTGCACCTTGCAATGGAGACCGCAATAATCGTCTGAATTGATGACATTGCTTTGACTTCCACTTGCACTCACACTCGACACACATGTAAAGCCGACTGACTAACACCGATAAACGGGAGCGCGATCGCTTACAACAGCAGGTTTTAGGTTTTTTTCGTGTATATTCGGGTTTTTGGAATTTGCAACTCACCCTTGACCAGCAGCATGACCTTGCGGGGGGTTTTCAGCTTGGAGACCATGTCCTTGAGCGAGTCGGCGCCAATCACGTTTGTTCCTTTGGCCTCGTTGGCCAAAAACTCCTTGACCTTGGCCACCGTGCGGTTATAGGCACACACCACGAACCCCTTCTCATCCATGTTGAGGATCAGGTTCTGGCCCATGACGGCCAGTCCGATGAGTGCAATGTCCGCTTGTCTATAACAGTTTTTTGTTAGCCATTAGAAAACACGAAAACCAAAAGCAAAGGTCCTTTTCCTTTAACTCACCCGCTCATGGTTTGTATGCTTGTTGTGCTAGAGTCTGTCTCCGTTTGCCGCGATTGGCACTCCATTCCGATGGGGAAATTTGTTTCCGAAATGCTCTAGCCCCAACCGCGAAGTCACACTAAAAAATCCAGCTCTGGCCCCAAAACCTGCTCTTCAACCTAGCGGAGCATTGGTTGGGGCCCTAGATTGATATTGGGCTCGCCGATCGATGGTTTCAGCGAAGAAGTGTTGATAACTGCTAAAAGCCACTGAGCTTTTTGTCGCGCTGCTCCCTCAACCAGTGGGGCCCTGCCTTTGTGCTTTCCTATTCCGAGTGCTTTGGCTTAAGCATAGTATACCACTAGGCAACGGAACGAGATGAAAGCTTAGACAGGGTGTTCTACGATCCTGAGGAGTCCACAATTCACTGAGAATTCTTTGCAGTTTGGTTATAAAAAGTGAATCCTACTCTGTTTAGAGTTTTAAACTAGATCTGATGCACTTTATTACTGACACACATATGGAAATTACAAAAAAAATCTCAATCGTAAAACTAGCGATTATTAGAGCCCGGACTTCAGTTGAGCACCTTGTAGGGATTGAGGATGCCGTTGGGGTCCAGCAGCTTCTTCATGTCGCGCATGTAGCCGATGGCCACCGGGTCCTTGGAGTAGTGCAGGTAGTCCTTCTTGAGGAACCCGATCCCGTGCTCGGCGCTGATGCTGCCCCTCAGCTTGGAGGTGTACTCGTAGACGAAGGGCTCCACCCGCTTGTGGATCTCGTCGGTGAACTGCTCGCAGGAGACGTTCAGGTGCAGGTTGGAGTCGCCCAGGTGGCCGTAGCCGCAGACCACCGTCGCCAGGGGGCCGCAGCGCTCCCGCATCACGTCCACGATGCCGTAGAAGTCGCGCAGCGGCAGCGAGATGTCGTACTTGAAGCAGAAGCTCTTCTCGATCAGCCCCAGGGGGACCATCTCGCGGATCTTCCAGATCTCCTGCACCTTGCCGGGGTCCCCGGTGACGGTGCCGTCCTGGATCTCGCCGCGCTCCATGCCGTCGCCGATGAACTGGTTGATCTTCTCCTCGTCGTGATCGCCGTTGCTGCCCGACGTCTCGATCAGCATGTAGAAGGGGAAGCCCGAGATGGGGGAGCTGTTGGGATGGATGGAGGATGGATGCATGAGATGGGGTTAGCTGTTCCCAGGACCCAGGACTCCCTTACTTGAGGAACTTGAACTGCTCGAGGGCGGTGTTCAGAGCGCGCTCGTCAATCAGCTCGCAGGAGCTGAGGATCTCGCCCAGGTTGCGCTTGGCACTGACGAAGGTCTTCAGCACGTCGTCGAAGGAGTTCAGCCCGATGAAGGCCACGTTGACCGCCCGCGAGGAGTGCGGGCAGAGCATCGAGAGCTTGGTGACCACGCCCAGCGTGCCCTCGGACCCGATGAACAAGTGCTTCATGTGGTAGCCGGTGTTGTCCTTCTTGAAGTTGGACATCAGGTCCAGGACCTGGCCCGTGCCCAGCACCGCCTCCACGCCCAGCACGGAGCCGTGCAGGTTGCCGTAGCGCACCACGCGCACGCCGCCCGCGTTGGTGGACACGTTGCCCCCGATGTGGCAGCTCGCCTTGGCGCCCAGGTCCAGGGGCACCGTCAGGCCCGCCTCCCTGGCCCGCTGGTCGAAGTTCTCGAGGATGCAGCCCGCCTCCACGACGGCGATGCCGGTCACCTCGTCCACGGAGAGCACCTTGTTGAGCCGCGCCAGCGAGAGCACGATCTCGTCGCAGATGGGCACGGAGCCGCCCACCAGGCCCGTGTTGCCTCCCTGGGGCACCACCGCCAGCCTGCGCTCGTTGCAGTACTTCAGGACGGCGGCCACCTCGGCGGTGCTGCCGGGCTTCAGGACCAGCTTGCTGTTGCCTGCAGGTGAGTCAAGTGGAGTTGGTACAACTTTGCGACCGATTGGAGGAGAGGGAGATCCTCTCCACAAAAAGGAGCTCTGAAGCTACTATGGTTAACCCACCGCGAATCCTCTTGAGGAAGCAGATGTTGTACCCCTCCAGGTCCTCGGTGAGGACGAAGTTCTTGCCCAGGAGCTGCTCGAAGTGGGCCACGTCCTTGTCGGTCAAAGTGGCGTAGTTGCCGCGCTGCACATTGTCCGTGATCTGAATTGGGGGATCAGATGGGAGGTTGCCAAGTTAGGGTCTGCTCTCAGGATAGGAGTCGCCAACTCACCTCGGTGAGTTCCGGAATCGCCGCCCCACTGCCCGCCATCGTGCGCACAGTGAGCATGGTGGACAGGATGTGTGAGGTGCCCCCGGAGGGGTGGGCTGCCAGCGAGGAGGGGGTGGCTCGCCGCATCCAGGTGGTGGTGGTGGCCCCGGCGCTGGCCAATCTGCGCACTTGCAGCAGCTGCTGGAATCTCATCGTGGAGGGTGTTTGCTAAGGGTCGATCAGGCTGTTATACGTATGACAGTCTGGAGCAGAGACAGAGAGGCACAAGAGAGTTTATAATTGAAGCTGCTTGATAAATAACTGTAAATAATTCAAGGTGGACTTTAGTGAGCGTTTAATTGGGTCTTTTTCGATCGCTGCCCCCGATTAAAAGGAACCCCAGACCGCAGACCGCAGACCGCCGGACTTCCCCGGGAACTGGGATGCCTATCGAGTTATCACGCCACTAACCATCCACTCCACTCAACAATCTTCTCCTCGTCGCGGACCGTATCGCACTGATAGCAGAGCCCCCAGGAAACCGAACTTTTCCACTAGACCTCTCGGAGCTCCAAATCTGTACCGTCATATACGCCATACATGCGGCCTTATCAGCCGATTCCCATCCATTGCGCGTGCATAGAAAATTAGCATACTCATTTAGGACCACGCACACACAGAAACCGAAACCGAAACAGAAACCGTAGTCCGGATTTGAGCTGGTTTGGGAAGTGCAATCCACAACCCGCGAAGTCAAGATCTTTATGAGGCCTTACGGCTTATCGCCGGCAGGTAAATCTCACCATAAAACCATTTGGTCGGGATGGGCAGGCAGTATGGACGGCTCTACCTGGAGCATCCGCAACGCTGGGCATGGATAGGTGGATTAGCCGCTGGGACAGGAATGGTGCAGCGGAATTGGGAAATTTCTGAAGGGGATCCGTTAGAATAGGGGAAGAATTTAAATGTTTCCATTCAACCCATCCCTGGAGAGCTTAAAACCGTTGCTGACTTGCTCTCTCCGCCGACTCTTTCTCTAGTTATTACGTCAAACGCGTGTTGTTTATGCACAACCAAAGATAATAAACAACATATGTAAGCATGTGCATACAGTTAACAGGTAGCTGATAAGCGCGAAGCGCTGTCGTACAAATGTAAGCCCCTGTGTAAAATTAATGTCATCGGGCGTTCGTCAATGTCGTCGTAAGTTAATCAAACGCTGAACGAGGATTCTTTATTTGCATATCCCCAAAAACAGCAGCCACAGTTTTGTTGCCCACACATCTATAAACACATTCACACGCGAGAGCCGCACGCGCCACTTTCTCACTCTCGAAACTATGGAAACCGAAAAGAGAAAATAAACCAAACCACTCACAGTTTTTACTGTTGTTTTTACTGATGCTAGCCAGCTGAGGATATCGCTTTTACCTATAGACACTCCTTTCAAGAAACTTTTGCTCAGAACAGAGTGTAAATAGCAACCACAACAAACCGCGACTAAAATGCGAAACGCAAAAAGGGGGCAAACTATTTAGCTGAGAGATAAGATGAGCCCCACACCATATGATCGTTGAGCGAAAGCTCCCCTACAGAAAAGAGCAAACGAGCTTTACGGTTTAACGATAGAAGAGAGCAAAATGTAAAAAACATGTATGTATTTATTGAAGCACGACTTTTTTTACATAACAAGTATTTATCTACAATATTGATAGCTGAAATCTCTTTTATCAAATAGTATAAGCTTGGTAAAGAAGGAACCAAAAATAAAAGAAAACACTTTATTTTTTATGGGTTTAGAAAGAAAAATATTTTTTGTAAGTGTGCAAATCTATATTTAAAGTAAAAAATGTTATAGTATAATGCAAATAAATGGTTAGGATAGATATTCTCTAGTTTATACAGTCTAGTTTTTGAAATTCTTAACTAGTTAATAGTTTGCTAACAAATTATAAAAAAATATGTACCATTTTGTTTTTCCATAACGACTGTTATACTGCCACTCATATTCACCACACATTCACACAGGCCAAGCCCACTCAAATTGCCCCCACCCTTGCCACGCAGAATACAATTGTCCCTTTCTCCCTTGCTGTGTGAACAATAGTGCTATCCCTGTTGCACTCACAAGTCTATTAAAAAACAACAACAACTTATTTTGGTGGTGCGCCCATTGTTTACTCATTTCGATCTTCCGTCGGCATTTTGTATTGTCATTTAGCAGAGACTGACTTCTCGGTACCCGTTTCTATAGGCATTATGTTTGTTGTTGAACCCGGGGCAAAATGGAGAACATAGAATTGAAACTAAAGTAGAGAAAAAAACGGGAAAATTAGAAATGCTTGGATGTACAACTCATGAATGCTTGATTCTTTGGTATATTTGTAGTTTACACAAGCATTAACAGTTTTTTATATTGGTCACTAAATGGTATAGATAATTTTTACTGCCGTTTAAAGTCAAAATAAATATAGAACTAAAACTGAAAAAATCAATTTTAAATGGCAAAGACGAGTTATAAGTTTAAAAATGGCAAAATGGATGTGAACTTTGGTTTTCATCATAAAATCAATGATCAGCAAAATCGAAACGTTTGCTGTCTGTTTTTACCTGCATTTAAAATATTAACCAGTAAAAAAAATAGTTTTTGTTTTATTTCGACAATTATAATAGTGTCTATTAAGGTATTAAATTTAAAATTAATTTTTTTCAAAATAGAAAATAAAAATTGCTAAATTATTTGTACAAATTTATGTTTTTCTCAGAGTTATAAATAAAGTGGTATTGTTTATAATAATATTATTATAGTGTTCAAATTTGACATTATTTTGTTGGGCTCATTAAGACATTTTAATAATAAAATCTAACACATTTTTAAAAATTGTCCTTCAAAATTCAAGATCCTTGTATGTTTTTTTCTCTGTACTTAAAACTAGGACTAGCCAAAAAGTATTTCATTGTTTGAACATTTTACCAATTTAACCTAAAAACAATTTAACAATCAAAACAAGTTTCTTAGAAAAATATGGCAGATAAGCAGCGAATAACGTGTTAAAATGATGTTGTGGATGTGTTTAGTGATAAAAGGCATTGATAGATTGAGAAGGGAGTACTATGGGTAGTACTGACCACCTAAAACTTCTGAAGGTGGGTGGTTACCCACCTGGAAAAAGAGATAAAAACCTTGAAGTGAGCTCAAAAACTCACGGAACATGTGAAAACTTATCACAAATGAAAACAAATTGGAGTTAGTTTGGGGAAATATGAAAAGTTCGGTGAAAAATTACTTGAGATCAGCCTTGGATTATTCATTTCTTTCTAGAGGAAACGGATAAGCTTGATTTCAGTGGCGGATACACTTCTGAAAAAAGGTGCTTCACTTGAATGCGTCCGACTCCTTAGAAAACGCGTGAACGGAGTGAGCTGGCGTGAAACCTGCGTGTTACAGCGTGTCGCCAGTCCTTCCTTGCCCCACTTCTTCCCTTGTCTATCGCTTCTCCTATCTCTTCGCCCAAATTTGTGTTTCTAACTGTAAATGCATTCCAATGGCAACAATGCAATGAGAGAAACGAAAAAATAGAAGACAAAATGGAATTCCCCATTTAGATTAAAATTAATTAATTTATTTGTACAGTGTGTTTTGAATAAAACTGCGTATAATTTTTGATTATTTGCCACCTGCTACTTGCATTATTTAAAAAAAAAATTATGATGATAATAATAATTCATTTACTTCCTGCTACCTTTTTTGATATGTGGTCAGAATATACACTGTGAGTCTTTAACGACCAAAAGGACGCCCAATACATATTATCCAACTACAAACTCCGAGCACAATAAGTTGACAGGTCAATTAGGTACACCGAAAGGACAATGGCAAAAACAACGCACAGGGGTTAAGAAAAAATAATGAAGTTGTTTCGATAATAAAGGAACTAGGGGAACTAGAAACTGAGGAGCAAAAACACCAGGGGTTTAATGGGGGTTTACTCTATAGTTCTCCAATAGAATGTTAAATGTCCATTCAAGTGAAGGGTTAAGCCAGCACTGAAAATATATTTTACTATCTCGTTGGATTAACTCTTATCATGTCAGGTTTGAAATATTGGTTCCAGTTGTAAATACCAATTTTACATTTAATATGCTCATATTCTGATATTATGATTTTTTAAGGATGATCTGTTTAGCGATCCATTATCATTTTTGGCCACGCCTTTAAACAATAAAACGCTGCCGACGTCGCTGCATTTGTTAGGGCATGCATTGCGTTTGCAATGAAAACAACCTTACCCCCGCATATTCAGATTCACCCAATTTAACAAAAATGGAGAAAAATTCTGACAATTGCCCAACAGGAAAGACATATGTACACATATGTATATGTAAGCGTGTGTCTATTACAAGGAGGGAGGGAGAGGCACACACATACAAACATTTATACAATTGTTAATGCTCCAGAGCGAGAGGCAACATTAGGGAAAAGCACGCGCAAAGCAATTTACGCTCATTAAGCATTTCTTATTTTTGAATTGCAAGAACACACATACAGTCTCACAACTACCTATTTCGCTCGCTCACATCCCATTCGCCCCAACAACAAGAAGGCAATAAGTGGGGGGCAATTAATTGAAGCGGAGACGACGGCAAGAAGAAGAGCGCATGCTCGACTTGTGGTACAGTCGAGCGTGCAAAGAAGAGACGAACAAAAGTAACGGCAAAGGAGGAGGGCCTCAACTAAAATGAAAAAAGTTAACCAAAAAACGAAAAATACAAATACCAAATTGAACCCACACACACCAGAAGAGAAAAAAACAAGGGCAACAGTGAGAGATAAAGCACTGTAATGAGCATAAAAATAATATGGCGGCAGGAAAAAAAAGAAACGAGACAAAACGAAATATTGTCGAACGCAAAACAACAACAACAACGACAATCGGAATGATGGCATTTGTGGGGCTCTGTTGGTGGAGGAGACGTAGGGGAAGAGAGTAAGGCGACAAGAGCCCGAAGCAACACACCCATACCGACACAGGGAGGTACAAAATGAAAAATGAAACGGCAGCGAGGCACAGTGGGACAAGAGTTGGCGAATACTGCAAATAATTTGAGCAGTATATTTACATAGTACATACTTAAATATTTCAATAGATTTTTGAATTAATCATTAATTTTGTTATCTTTATTGGCTGAACAGTTTTGTTAATAACATTCTTTAAAAAACACTTCCGAAAAATAAACTCACTTAGCTTAGTAAGCTAAAAACTATACCCAGACAGTATTATGCCACTGTTCCCACGCTTAACACAGCAATATCAAAAAAATATGGATAACATGCCACTGTTTCGCAAAGTGAATGAAAAAAGCATTTCGATCTGCCTCTGCGCATACGCTACGCCTCCCCTTTCTTCCCCTTCCTCTTTGGCCGTCTGTTTCCGACAAGCACAACTAATAATAAAGAAAAGCCGATCCGATCCGACCCTATGCAAAAAAGAAGGAAGGGAGAAAAGAGAAAGAATGTAGAGAAGGCCCAGGTAGGCCGGCGCTGCGGTGGTTGAACGAAAAAAAGAAGATGAAGTATAGCAACAATCGGGCGGTAGACATTCGAGTGTACAGACACAGAAAACTGGATTCGGTCGCGTTTATTTCTCAAGGGAAGGGGACAAAGTCGGGGTGGTTGAGACCCACACGCACACACATGCCCGCCAGCTGTACCCTCGATTTCTGTTTTTTTTTTCTCGTTTAGCTGTGTCCGCTGACTGCTGTCGTTTCATTCCAACCCCAAGCAAAGATAGGGCGTCCCACTCGCACGCGCTCTCCGGCACGGGCCGCCATTAGTGCCATTGCACTCGCACCCATCCATTTCGGTATAGAGAAAAGTTATTAGTCGGAGAAACGGGTTCGTTCATGCCCAGCTGCCTCACACACACACTCACACACTCCCGACACATGCGCACTTCATTTTGTTTCCGACTGCGGCCGTAGAGTTGCCGCTGGGGCGCGCGGTTCATTTCGAAAATAAACTTGGCGGCGTGCGGTTCTTGCGCTCTGCGTTCGCGTTCGTGTCGTGCATGTGTAATTCATAGAGAAAAGTCTTGCGCCGACGCGATACACACACTTGATACCGTGTATTGTTTTGTTTTTTTTTTTAAGTGCTTAGGGCACCGTTAATTAGTTGATGCAGATGCTCATGAAATAATAAAGTGATGCCGCGTCACAGTAAAAACCCTTGTAGGCGAACTGTCGCTGGCGACGTAAGCAGTGGAAAGAAAACGAAAACAAGCGTCTAGAGTTGTCGTTACGCCTTTTTTTATGTAAGATCGCGTGCACAGGTGCTTAATCCCTACACTGAAAAAAGTGATTGCAGCTGCGGGGAGAGAGTGGAAGTGACTGTGAGTGGAGTTTATACTAATTACTACTGGCCGTGCACAAAACACTAATTTACACGCAAGCACATACACATACACATACACACTGAGACTTTCGTCGGATTCGTATTCGTTTTTGTGTACATTTTGTTGTCTTGCGTTCCACGTATATATTTGTTGTTGCCTGTATGTTTAAACTCATTGCCTCTACATATGTGTGTGTTTTGTGTTTTTTAATGTACACTACATCAAAAGGAAAACAAGCATAGTCTAAAAAGAAAGCGCGATGCCAATAAAAACGACAACAAGTATTTTCGCCGCCGCTGAAAACAGAACACCACCGCCGACGCATGCATACCTTTAATTTATTACACATATTGTTTTTATTTTAAATAATGGATCGTCGTGCATTGAAGTTTATGCAAAAAAGGTATTTTTTGTTTGGTTTCGTTTAATTTATGTTTTTTTTTGTTTTTTTGTATTGCTGACATGTGTTTTGCCTGCAATTGCACTCGCGATTTTTGTGTTCTCTTGTTGGGTCATGAATATCGATTGTTTATTTCCCGGACCGAGACACTTTAATCAGTATTATCATAAAACTGCAGTGGAAAATATTCTCTGTTCTGGTGGCTTCATAAAACGCCTTCGACTGTCGGCCAAACATACAAAAAAGAGAAGATAAAATTCACAAGACCCAAAACGAGTTTCCCCCTTACCAGCCCTGCCTCGCTCCGCTCTTCCGACACACGCCCCCTGTAGTGCGGTGTTGTAGCATTGTTGACAACGAATTTTGCAATACATGCCTTTGTCCGTGTGTTTATGCGTCGGCTGGTAGTGGATGATTTCCCCCCTTCTCTGGATCCTACAAACTCCCCGGGCAACATTGAAAGAAACAAAAGTAGTGTGCTAAAAGGTAACAGTTTTTGTTGCTATTAAAAAATGCATGCGGCAACCCTGGTCGCTCTCTTATTCTAGTTCTCTCTCTGTGACTGCAAAAATAAACAACGATTTTGTTTAAAACAGGGCTGCCGACTTCCGTAAAAAAACAAATTAAACATGTTTGTGTAAAAAATCATATATAAAGTAATTACGCTTGACGGAGAGAAGATATTTTTTTCCATTTATAGCAGAAAGTAAAACTTGCCGATTAAGGAATTATAAATTCGAACAATAAACTTATGTTAGAAATAATGATTTTAGTGTTGGAGTATGACAGCAGAGAATATGTTAATTTCATGCATTTACGTTTAACTTTAAAAAACATTTTTGTTGACAATTGACAACTCTGCCTACACCTACGCTACACGAAGTGTGTGAGATTTTGAACGTGTATGTTGAGTTGCCATCATTTTATTTCATTTACTCGCATTTGTTTTTTTTTATTGCAAAACCCGTTTGTATATCAATCAATATGCTGACTTGCCAATGCCACCCTCCTACTCGCTCCCTCGCATTTTGCACGCCTGATTCCAGTGGAACTGAGGTTTGATTTGAATTCCAGCTCCACTTCGCCCCTCTCATTTGAGCGCATGCTCTCCGTCTGAGTGTGTGCTTGTTTCCCCCGCATTGTTTTCATTTCTGCTGCTACCGCCTTCCCCCTGGTTGCAACCAAACTGTTGTAATAGGCTCTCACACACAAACTCACGAACGTTAAGTTAAAAACCAGTCTTTCTTTTTCTCAAGAGGTTTATCACCACGGGTAGCTGGGATCTTAACTTGCACACTGACAGACGCACACTCACCACCCTGTGGCGAGAAATCCACCCCTATATACCACCCACCATCCCTTTCCTTCTTTTTTGACCTTTTCTGTTTGAGGGTAGCAGCGAGCAGCGATATGAGGGCTACCCCAAAATGCTTTTACCGGCTTTTATATCCCATTTCAGTTGTTCTCCTGCTCTTGTTATCCCTTCTCCCTTTTATGCTCTTGCATTTTATGGGTCTCGCGGGCTTTTTTGCTGAAACAAGAAGGGGTAGGGGGACTTCAGACTGTTCGGGGCATCACAGCTGAGTTCAAAAGAATAGGGAACAAGTCGTGTTGTTATTTCTAAACAAGGATCGCTTAAGGTTCTACAAAAAATACTTTTCCTATTCATTTTTACAATTATAAATTGAAATATGTATATATTCTGTTTAGTTCAACTATTAAGTTAACTTTTCGCACGCACTTAAAATATGTGACAGTTAAAATGCATCTTATATATCTAAAAAGTAAGCCTCTGCAAAAAATATTAGTATTTATTTTTGTTATAACCTTTTTTCTGGTAATCCTACTTTTTCGACCGCAGTTGTGTGAAACACTAACCATTTTAAGTTACTCCCAACTGTCAGCATTTTTAGCATTTCGGTGGAAAGGTCCATGAACTTTGCCTGTAATTCGCAACGGCATTATTTTCTTTTTTCAATAATACCAATCGCTGCCATCTGCGTGGCTGCATTAGTTTCCCTGTTTGTTGTCAAAAAGAAAAAAGAAAAACAAATACGGCTGCGATACTTCACATGGAAATTTTGAAACCCATAGATAAAGATCGATGTGATGGCTGTCCGTCCGCTCCTTTATTTTCCTTCAATGCGATACAGATGCGAGAGACCTTTCCGCATTTTCATTGCCGTACTCAAAGGGCGGGTACGGAAAGGCATACAAAAGTAGAAGAAAACCTTCGTATATCTACCTAAAAGTAAACCATCGAAAAATGTTTCCCACAACTTTTTGGCGAGATTATTTTGAGGGGAAACGGTTAAAAATTTAAAATTTTGGGACTGTAAAATCAAATTAATAAGTAATTAAGAAATGTGTTGCTTTTGTGTGAGTGTATGTATAAAACATATTTAATCTGCAAGATCCGTACCATTTTGGTTTGTTTGCTTTCCCGCGTTTATTTCTGCCACTCTCAAGCCGTCACATCGTTAATATTTGCCTTGTAAATATGTTTATTAAATAAGAGCCTTCTTATTTGCTAGATCCAGCCTTACACATTTTCGAATAACTAAGCACAGGTTGTAGTATTTGCAGAGTAGCCAGAGAGGTTTAGTTTAAAACAAATATAATACCTTATGTATGTCTTGATTTTACTTTTCTGTGTCGTGTTTTAAACCTCATTGTTTTAAGTCCTTGCAAAGCCTGTATGTAGTGAAGTAGTTTAAGGTAATGAGCCACCTTCCCAGCCTGATTTTGTATTAGCTTAAAATGTGATATGCGACAACCTGTTTGCACTGGCTTGTTGTTGTTTGCCTCGAGGACAAGAGAGGACCATTAGGAACACGGCTCTCCTAGCTTGTTTGTGTGTGGTCCAAGTTGCTTCACCAGGAGTGTTTTTCTTTTTTTTTGGTTTCCTTTTTTTTAAGCAAATGTTTACCGATCTCTGAACTCCTCTTTGTTGATCCCGCAGAGCGGAAACTGAAAGAGACACCACCACACCATTGAGCACCACAGCCACCCAGGGGATACCAGCATCGGGCATTGCAACAAGCGGCACTCTTCCCCTGAAGGACAACTCCAACATCCGCGAGAAGCCGCTGCATCACAGCCACAACCACAACAACAACAACAACAACAGCTCCCAGCAGCATCCTCACCAGCAGCAACCACAGCAGCAGGCCGGCGGCAAGCAGCTCGAGCGGCCACTGAAGTGCCTGGAAACGCTCGCCCAGAAGGCGGGCATCACCTTCGACGAGAAATACGATGTGGCCAGTCCCCCCCATCCCGGCATTACTCAGCAGCAGGCGACTCCAGGCTCAGGAACGGGATCAGGAACGGGATCAGGAACGGGATCGGGATCAGGCACAGTCACACCCACAAGCCACCGCCACGGAACTCCGCCCACTGCTCGCAGGAACACCCCATCCACCCCGTGCAGGCCAAGTGCACCTAGCACCCCCAGCACACCGAACTCCTCGAACCCAAACCCAATCCCAAGCCAGAACTCCATCTCCAACGTCCTCGCCCGCCACACCAGCCTCACGCTGGAGAAGGCGCAGAATCCCGGCCAGCAGGTGGCGGCCACCGCCACGGTGCCGCTGCAGATCTCCCAGGAGCAGCTGCAGCAGTTCTACGCCAGTCCGTACGGCATCCAGGTGAAACAGGAGTTCCCCACGCACACGGCTGCCGGAGGAGGAGCCGAGCTAAAGCATGCCACCAACCTCCTGGATGTGCAGCAGCAGCTGCAGCTGCAACAGCAGCTATCCGAGGCGAGTGGCGGAGGCGCAGCCCCGGGCGCCTCCGGCGGAGCACCTAGTCCGGCCAACTCGCAGCAGAGCCAGCAGCAGCAGCACTCCACCGCCATCAGCACCATGTCGCCAATGCAGTTGGCGGCGGCCACCAGCGGAGTGGGCGGGGACTGGACGCAGGGCAGGACGGTGCAGCTGATGCAGCCGTCGGCCGGCTTCTTGTACCCGCAGATGATCGTGTCGGGCAACCTGCTGCACCCAGGCGGCCTGGGCCAGCCGCCCATCCAGGTGATCACAGCCGGCAAGCCCTTCCAGGGCAATGGCCCCCAGATGCTCACCACCACGACGCAGAACGCCAAGCAGATGATCGGGAGCCAGGCGGGGTTCGCCAGCGGCAACTACACAACCTGCATTCCGTCTAACCAACACCAGTCGCCCCAGACACTGCTCATCTCGCCGGTGAACGTCATCTCGCACTCGCCGCAGCAGCAGCAGAACCTGCTGCAGTCGATGGCCGCCGCCGCCCAGCAGCAGCAGCTGACCCAGCAGCAACAGCAGCAGCTCACGCAGCAGCAGCAGCAGCTCACTCAGCAGCAACAGCAGCAGCAGCAGCAGCTGACAGCTGCGCTGGCGAAGGTGGGGGTGGACGCGCAGGGCAAGCTGGCCCAGAAAGTGGTCCAGAAGGTGACCACCACCAGCAGCACTGTGCAGGCGGCCTCGGGACCAGGATCCGCTGGGGCGGCTCAGGCCCAGCAGGTGCAGCAGGTCCAGCAGCAGCAGCAGCAGACCACCCAGACCACTCAGCAATGTGTCCAGGTCTCGCAGTCGACGTTGCCAGTGGGAGCAGTGGGAGTGGGCGCCCAGTCCGTCCAAACGGCCCAGCTCCTGAATGCCGGACAGGCGCAGCAAATGCAGATCCCCTGGTTCTGGCAGAACGCAGGTGGCCTCCAGCCCTTCGGCTCGAACCAGATCATCCTGCGCAACCAGCCGGACGGGACACAGGGCATGTTCATCCAACAGCAGCCAACCACGCAGACCCTGCAGACGCAGCAAAATCGTAAGAAACCCCATAAATTATCTATCATTACAAGGGAAGTAATTTGAATTTGAATGTTCCGACACAGAGATCATCCAGTGCAATGTGACCCAAACGCCCACCAAGGCCCGCACCCAACTGGATGCACTGGCTCCCAAGCAGCAACAGCAGCAGCCGCAGCAGACGGGGAGCACCAACCAGACGCAGCAGCAGCAGCAACAGCAGCAACAGCTGGCCGTGGCCACCGCCCAGTTGCAGCAGCAACAGCTCACGGCAGCAGCTCTGCAGCGACCAGGAGCCCCGATGATGCCCCACAACGGCACCCAGGTGCGTCCGGCCAGCTCCGTGTCCACACAGACGGCCCAGAACCAGAGTCTGCTCAAGGCCAAGATGCGCAACAAGCAGCAGCCGGTGCGCCCCGCTCTGCCAACCCTGAAAACCGAGAATGGCCAGGTGGCGGGTCAGAACAAGGTAGTGGGTCACCTGACCACAGTGCAGCAGCAGCAGCAGGCGACGAATCTCCAGCAGGTGGTCAATGCGGCGGGCAACAAGTGAGTGCATTCCATGTAATTCTGGTGATTAAACTAACTATTTACTGACCTCCGCAGAATGGTTGTGATGAGCACGACGGGCACGCCCATCACCCTCCAGAACGGGCAGACCCTCCATGCGGCGGGAGTGGATAAACAGCAGCAGCAGCTGCAGCTGATCCAGAAGCAGCAAATCCTACAGCAACAAATGTTCCAGCAGCAGATTGCTGCCATCCAGATGCAGCAGCAGGCGGCAGCCCAGGCCCAACAGCAGCAGCAGCAGCAAGTGACCCAGCAGCAGCAGCAGCAAGTGAACGCCCAGCAGCAGCAACAGGCGCAACAACAGCAACAGCAAAGGGAGCAGCAGCAGCAGCAACAGCAAGTAGCCCAGGCGCAAGTGCAGCACCAGCAGCAGCAGCAGGCGCTGGCCAACGCCACTCAGCAGATCCTGCAGGGGGCGCCCAACCCCTTCATCACGTCCCACCAGCAGCAGCAGCAGCAGCTCCAGCACCAGCTGATCCAGCAGCAGCTGCAACAACAGGCGCAGGCGCAGGTGCAAGCCCAGGTCCAGGCGCAGGCGCAGCAGCAGCAACAGCAGCGCGAGCAGCAGCAGAACATCATCCAGCAGATTGTGGTGCAGTCGGGCGGGACGACCGCCCAGCAGCAGCAGGCTCAGCAGCAATCCGGACAGCTGCAGCTGAGTAGCGTGCCATTTTCGGTGTCTTCGGTGTCCACGACGACGCCAGCCGGGATAGCCACTTCCAGTGCCCTGCAGGCTGCCCTCTCTGCCTCCGGCACCCTCTTCCAGACCCCCAAGTCCGCCAGCTCCTGCAGCTCCTCCCTGCCTACCAGCGGAGTGGTCACAATTACGAACCAGAGCAGCACTCCGCTGGTCACCAGCAGCACTGTGGCCACTCTGCAGCAGGCGCAGGCACAGGCCCAAGCTCAGCTGCATCAGCAGCAGCAGCAGCAGCTGATCACCGCCACCTTAGCCGCCGCCACTCAACAGCAGCAGCAGCAGGGGCCACCTTCACTCACCCCGACCACGCCCTCGCCCTCCACCAATCCCATCCTGGCCATGACCTCGATGATGAACGCCACGGTGGGTCACCTGGCCACTGCTCCGCCCGTGACTGTGTCTGTGACCAGCACCGCAGTCACTCCGTCGCCGGGTCAGCTGGTCACGCTCAGCAGTGCCAGCAGCGTAGGAGGAGGAGGAGGAGTGGGAGTGGGAGGCTTCCCTGCCACGCCCTCCAAGGAAACACCTCCGAAGGGGCCGACTGCCACCCTGGTGCCCATTGACTCGCCCATGACGCCAGTAGCAGCACACGACTCCTGCAGCACGGCCAAGTCCTCCACTCCCGCCACCGCCAGTGCGTCCAGCAGCTCAGTGGAGGCCAGCAGCTCCACGAGCGATGCTCTGCCCAACGGAGAGGCGACGGACCGGGCCTCCACGCCCTCGAAGGTCGCCGTCACTCCGACGAGCAAGCAGAGCAGCGCGGTGCAGCCGACCAGCAGCACCAACAGCACTCCCAACAGTGCTGCTGGCAAGGAGGAGCCCAAGGGTCTCCAGTCAGTCTCCGCCAGTTGCACGTCCGCAGCAGCGACGCCAACCACGACAACGGTTAGCGGGATCAACGGGATTGGCCAAGGGATTGGGACCAAGACGACAGCGAGCACCACCGTAACGACCGGCACCACCGCTAACACGACTACCGCGACCTGCAGCAGCACTTCGTCCACGACCAGCAGCATCACGACCACCAGCACCACCACTACGACGACGAGCAACAACGGGGCCAAGGATCTGCCCAAGGCGATGATCAAGCCGAATGTCCTCACCCACGTCATAGACGGCTTCATCATCCAGGAGGCCAACGAGCCTTTCCCCGTCACCAGGCAGCGATATGCGGACAAGGACAGCGATGAGCCGCCGAGTGAGTATTCATGCCACGCCCACTACGAAGTGATCTTATCCTCGCATTGCTCTTTTGCAGAGAAAAAGGCGGCCATGCAGATGCAGGAGGACCTCAAGCCGGGTGGAATGGCGTCGGCTCCAGCCTCGGACATGGTTGCGTGCGACCAGTGCGGGAAACTGGAGCACAAGGCGAAGCTCAAGAGGAAGCGCTACTGCTCGCCGGCTTGTGCCAGGCAGGCGAAGAACGGAATCGGAGGGGAAGCAGGGGAGACCAACGGCCTGGGGACGGGCGGAATCGTTGGCGTGGACGCCATGGCGCTGGTGGACAAGCTGGACGAAGCCATGGCCGAGGAGAAGATGCAGACGGAAGCCCTGCAGGCGATGTCCGAAGGAAATGCCACTCCCGCTCAGCTGGCACCCACTGAGGTGGCTCCCATGCCACTGCCTGTGCTGGCGGCCATTCCAGTCGCTCCGTGTGCGCTGCCTCTGGCATTGCCGCTTCCGATCTCCGCGATCTCTGGGATCCCTGCCCCTGCAGCTGCTGCTCCTGCGGTGGCGGCCACGTCCTCGAGTGTCAACGGAACAGACCGTCCGCCCATCAGCGGCTGGAGTGTGGAGGAGGTCAGCAACTTCATCCGGGAGCTGCCTGGGTGCCAGGACTACGTGGACGACTTCGTCCAGCAGGAGATCGACGGCCAGGCGCTGCTGCTGCTCAAGGAGAACCACCTGGTGAACGCCATGGGCATGAAGTTGGGCCCAGCCCTCAAGATCGTGGCCAAGGTGGAGTCCATGAAGGAGGTTCCGCCGCCCGGAGAGCCCAAGGACGCCGGAGCGCAGTAGCAGCAGCTGGAGCGCGAAGAGCCGCAGAAGATGATCTCCTAACCGATCACTGGACCTGGTCCAACCACGGCCACCACGCCGGGGGAATCTGATTCAATCGGGTTCAGTTGTAAAGCCGCCATCCGCACCAGGCCAGTGGAGTGTACATACTTTCAGATAGTTCGCTTTTAAGCACCCAAACAAAGATTTAATTGGAAATAAGAAGCCCCAAAGTCAGATGCGAGTGGAGTTAGTACGGCTGCAATGTTTTAATTGGGCTGCCAGCGAATGTTATAAACGGAAAGATACAGTTAGGCTAAGTTTAGAGTGTAACTAGTATTTTAAAACTCTTACATAATAAATAGTTTTAGCCAGTATTTGCCAATAAGAATACGCAGTAAATTATAACTTTTTCTAACAATTTTTGTAGTGCCAGACTTAAGCTTATTTTTTCAAAATTTTTTTTTGCTATTGCTAAACATTCAAAATTCAATGTTTAGTGTTTAATAAAAGTGGAAACAAAGATTGGTGGTTTTATTTACAAGTTGGGGGCTTCGAGTTACTAAAACAGTAATTTTATACTCGAAACATGAACTAAATTCCAGCATTGACATAAATCGATCTGTGTCCATCGGGAAACCCGTCGTTAATTCCACACGTTAAGAGCCTCAAGTGGAATTTGTGATAAATAATAAAATAAAGAAATGAAATATTTGTTGTATTCGCTGCGCCATTTTTAGTCATCCGAGGGCTATGATTTTTTTTACCTCCTGCTTTTTGTCTTAGTTTAAGGGTTCTAGAATCATGTTAGCTATATTAATGAGGTCGATATAAACTTTTTCAAAATCACGCTAGTTTAGCTGCAAAGTCGTCAATAATGGTACAGAAACCAATTATATCTCTTTAAAATTATTATTATTATTATTATTTCGAATGTTCTGACGACATTTTTCTAAGGAAACAGTTTCGTTCTTGCTGCGATTTTGGAGCAAAATGCTGTGATCCTATAAAAAAGTTGGTTTTTGACGTCGAAAGGAGTTTTTAGCGACGTGAGTTTTATATCAAAAATTAAGAAATCTTAGAAGAACAGCAAATCAAAATAAGAAATGCAACTAGCATACTCGTATTCATACGAGAAGTATGATCGATTGTCGAGTTTTTTAATCTCATTTTTAAGCGATAAATAGATAAAGAAAAAGAAAGAAAGCCATCCCTGTTAGGAAACCTTGCAATACCATTTTTCGAGGGAAAAAGCCAGGTGCCGTTGAGCCAAATCGAAATAATAGCCAAGAATATGGAGACGTACATTCCACCAAGAAAAAACCTTTTCTAAAAATTTAATAACCGTCACTTAGAGTCCAACAAGTGCCGTCGAATATTTGTGCCTAACGATTCAAAGATTTAAACTTAGATCTAAACCTTAAAACAAGATAGGAGGCCGCTCACAACAGTGTTTGGTTCATAAAAATTAAAGTTAATAACATAATTATTTACTTCTAATCGATGTACTCACTGCGAAAAACCTTGGTGCACTGCAATCTTTCGCCTTCTCGAAGTAAGATAATTACTGGAACCACTTTATCCGAAAATTTACACTTTACACTCACCCTGAAATTAAATAAAAAACAAAAAATAAAGTAAGTAATTTGTCATAAATAGTAACAGTCATTATTAATTTGTTAGTAAAAAAGATATTTACCTCTTGGGTTTTTGATTCACTGCATCTTGAAGTTCACTCCAAGTAGGAAGGTAAAGTCATCAGCTGTAATGAAAAGAAGGATTTCAAAGTATTAGTTAAATTACTTAATACAAATTGATTATTTAAGAAATACATACCCCAATGAGTTGATGCACTGCACCCTGGAGTGGAGTTCAATGAGATAATAACTGCAACTACTTTATCCGCAACACTTACACCTTACCCTGAAATTAAATAAGAAACAAAAAATAAAGTAAGTAATTTGTTAAATAATAATATTTAGAATTAATTTGTTAGTACCTCTGGGGTTTTGATACACTGCATCTTGAATTTCACTCCAAGTGGAAAGGTGTAGTCATCACCTGCAATTAAAAGAAGGATTTCAAAGCATTAATTAAACTATTTAATACAAATCAATTACTCCAAAAAATACATACAAGTCAATCAGTTGATGCACTGCATCCTGGAGTGGAGTTCAATAGAAGATCTCGCCATTAATCCTTCATTTTGCAGTCTGTTCTCCAGTCCATTTTGGTGGTATCAGCATACTATACATATATCTCCGGTAGCCGCATTCTTACAACTATTCTTAATATATATATTACTATAATATGTTCCTAGTTGTTTTAAATAAGTAATTCTGTTTGATTTTCGTGTACTTCAAGTTCATCATTTGATAAAATTCACCTTTTCAATATCTTTCTTATGTTCTTGAAAAATGTCAGATCTCTTGATTGATCTTAAAATTAATAACTTAATTATTTACTGTCTAATTGATGTACTCACTGCGAAAAAACCTGGTGCACTGCATCCTAATGTCCAACTCCAAGTTACAAGTAAGATGGTGTCGCCAATTATTTTCTGCAACCAGCCAAATACACAACCAAAAACCTGAAATAAAATAAAATAATATTTTGTTAAATAATTGCATTACATTTACAAAAGTCCACGTCATCACTTAATTAAAATAAAATAATATTTTATTAAATAATTGCATAACATTTACAAAAAGCCACGTCATCACTTAATTAAAAAAAAAATGGCTACCCACCTCTTCGGGTTTTGATGCACTGCATCCTGGAGTCCACTCCATGCAGGAAGGTATCGGGCACCTTTATGTTCATGCCAAGTCAGGTCATGATACACTGCATCCGGGAGTGGCCTCCAGTAGGAGGAGTCGACCCATGACGCACTGCATCCGGGAGTGGACTCCAGTAGGAGGAGTCGACCCATGGTGCACTGCATCCGGGAGTGGCCTCCAGTAGGAGGAGTCAACCCATGATGCACTGCATCCGGACGTGGACTCCACTTGGAGGAGTCGACCCATGATGCACTGCATCCGGGAGTGGACTCCACTTGGAGGGGTCGTCCGGATTCTCTGGAACCACTTTACCATCACACACGCACACACACACTTCCAGAGACCGGAATGAGTTTCTCAGAGAAACTGCCGGTCATCCCGGAGAACTTGAGAAATTGACCAAAATCCACTGGTACCCCACTAAGAAACAGCCAGAACCAGTTGGGAATTATAGAAAACGTTAAAAATTTGAAATTATTATTGTCGCTGACGTGGCCATATTAATTTAATTAACATTAAGTTAACATTACATTTACATCATATTAAATTAACATTAAATTAACATTATACGTACATTATAATTAACATTTCACACTTTTAAAATTCTTTAACTGACTGCATCATTAGAATATTTTTTTTTGCCCGATTTTTTCAATTTTTATTACAACTCCTTTTGAAATTTACAAAAAATGGGTTTGCATCATTAGAAAATTTTTAATTTTTTACTGGACTAATTCCAAGTCCATTACATTTCTAATTTTAATCTGATTTTGAAGTGGCATAGCTCTAAGAGTTTGTATTTAAATTGTCTAACAAACTGCATCATTAGAGTTTTTTATTTAATTTTTATGATACAACCCCTTTTAAAATTGTGGTTGTTCTTTTATTAAAATTGTTTTTTTTTACATACTGCGATCAATAACTACACAACTTTTGGGAAAATGTCAGCAAGATAAACAGGCGTACAGACCAGTGGCGTAGATAGGGGGGGGGGATAAGGGGGATCAATCCCCCCTTGGGTCTCAGAATTATAAGATGATAAAATCGAATTTTTTCCAGGCATGTGTTTTAATGTAAGCATAACATTTTTTAAGCGCCAATATTTATTTTGTCTCAATGTGCAATACGGCAATTAATGGTAAAACTCTCAAAATTGAAAAAGAAACACATATTCTGAGTCATATCCCCCCCCCCATATCAAAAAGCTATCTACGCCACTGGTACAGACATATTTCGATTCAGATCAAGAACATATATAATTTATGGGGTCTGAGGATTCTCCTTTACTGATTTGCAAACTTCTGAATTATAATAGCCTCTTACCCTTGCAGAGGGTAGACGTAGGAAAGGCATGGTACACTTATCTAAAGTAACTTTAGATAAGAATGACTCATTTGCCATTCAATTCACAAGACACAAATTAATGTATGTATTTACGCTGATATCAATTTACAAACAAGTGCAAGGCAAACCATTTTAAAAGTTGAACTGTTATACTACAAACTCACCACTCGGCTGGGCCACACCCACAAAAAGAAGGAGAAAGACTATAAGTATGCTATTGTTGTCCTTGTCTTGCCTGTGTCCACCCTTTTGCATTGCTCACTTTCATCATCCCTCTACCTAACCACAAGAAACGAAATCGTCCCCATTTTTTTAAAATTAACCTTTCCGTCGGCATTTTGTTATTGGACGATTCGCACCGTTGCCCGTAATTAAGCAGCGACGCCGGCAGAGACAGAACGGCGACTTCGTCCGGATCGTTGGATCTACCTTTGAGATTGGTGTTGTTCTTGTAGTTGGTCGCAAATCAAAATGGAGAACGCTCATTACCCTGTTAACACAAGCTTAAAGTAGTAGTATTCAACAAAATAAGCTCTCGAAGTCCTGCTTGGATCCTTCTTCCGCAAAACCATCGAGTGAGTATGGGTCAAAAAGTTGAACACCGATAAAAAAACGTACTAGAGATAACTCAGTAAATAAAGACTCGGACTAGCGGTAAAAAAAAACATTTTCAATGCAGACTGTTTAGAAATGTGTTACAATTCTTTAGTGGTGAGCCGCTTTAAAATCGGGCTCCAAAAGCGATTATTCGAATCACCTTTCCGCCAAACGCAAAGATTTAAAATATTTTGTATGTTGTAACATTAATTACATGGTCAACCATTAAGATGATTTAAAAAGATGTTTTTTTTTTTTTTGAGTCAAAAGAAGGCATAATTCTATACATATGCTGAGTTCGATAATAGAAAACCAAAAAGTCAAGCAAAACTTTTTTAATATAAGAAATGGGCCCTCCCAGTGGCGTAGATAGGGGGGGGGATCAGGGGGATCAATCCCCCCCTTGGGTCTGAGAATTATAAGATGATAAAATCGAATTTTTTCCAGGCATGTGTTTTAATGTAAGCATAACATTTTTGAAGCGCCAATATTTATTTTGTCTCAATGTGCAATACGGCAAACTCGGTAAAACTACGGTAAAACTCTCAAAATTGAAAAAGAAACACATATTCTGAGTCATATCACCCCCCATATCAAAAAAGCTATCTACGCCACTGGGCCCTCCTATTGGATCCAAGTTGAGTGTACATATTTGGAGTAGTTTCGCATGAACATGCACAGTACATTACTTCTGTTCTTTGGGATTCCGCTGATTAATCCTTCTGCGAACCCAGCTTCTCACCCTTTATAACAAGCTTAGGGGTTGAATTTACTATCTATCCCTTTTCAATACCAAATATATCTTTTGAGGGTAATAGTAGCTGTATTGTTTGGAAATCCTTTGCAACGCGGCGCCTAAAATGGTGGCCAAAGCCTCACTGGGGTCGTCGGGATCGCAAGTGTCAGGGGTCAACCCTCTTTCGCATTTCGGTTTGATTTCTGCCAGAGGCCCTTTATCCCACCCCCTTTCTCTTGAAGGGCAGGTACAGCCTCCCGTGGTTGATCAATAACAATTAAGGATCATATTAATTAGACAATGTCATGGAAATTATTTATACATATACATATTGTTAACGCAATTACATCTATCGAAACTATAGGATACAATATGAAAATTAGAGCAACAAGTAACCAATAACGGGCTCTTTACTTGTCCTAAAACCCAAAAACAGATTAACTTAAAAGCGATCTGAATCAGATCATCTTATCAGGGGCGGACGCAATTCCTGGGACCCCCAGGACCACCCATCTGCGCCCTCCCCTGGATCTGATGTATGTACTTCCTGTGTACACAAGAAGCCAAAGATCAGTGCAGAGGAGAAGGGCCATCAAAGAAGCCAATAACATAAAAAGGGGGTGATTTAGTATAAACATGATTCACTACAGCACTACAGTAAATATCTGACCCCAAAGGGTATGAAAAAAATTAACAGCACAGTGCTTCAGTTTGTTAAGCAATTTTTACTTCACTTGTGCTGAATAAATTGGCTAGCGATCCTGGAAATTATATATGTATTTTTACCGATAGCCACGCCTTATGGCAATAAAACCTTTGCTACGCCGATAGAATCTAGCAACAACTTCAAAGTGTAAGGGGAGCTTCGGTTATTGCTAACACCACCATGTCAATGGAAGAAGCGATGTGGTTGTATTTGCATACATATGCACATACGCATATATGTAATGATATTTTAAAGGTTTCGTCCTTTCTAAAATGGTGAAGGAAATTTTGACAATTGCCCAACAGCAACAATAACACAAAAGGAATGTACATAAATACATACATATACATGTACGTGGGCATGTTTCTATAACAGTGAACAAGGGGGAGGCACTCGTTAGCAAAATACGCCAGAGCGAGAGGCAACATATAGAAAAGCAGGCGCAAAGAAACTTATGCTCATTAAGCATTTGTCATTTAAACCATATGCAAATACACACACACACTTGCACGACTATTCTGCTTGCTCACATCCCATTCGTCTCAACAACATGACCGAAATAAGTTGGGGACAATTAATTAAATCGGAGGCGGTAGCAAGAAGAAGAGCGCATGCTCCACTTCTTGTACAGTTAAGTGTGCAAAGAAGAAGCGAACAGGGGAAAAGCAGCGGAGGAGGAGGCCTGCAACTAATAAGAAAAAAAGGTAGGGAATAAAAATAAAAAAACCAATACCAAGCTGAACCCACACACACCAAAACAAAACCAAAAAAAAGCAAGGCAAAACGCGAGAGATAAAGCAATTTTACGAGCATAAAAATAATATGGCGGCAGAAAAAAAAGAAATGAGACAAAACGTAATGCTGTCGAACGCGATCTAACAACAACAACAGTAAACGGAATGATGAAAATTAGTGGAGCTCTGTTGGTGCAGGGTGAGAGGTGGGGTGTACAAAAACACCGATAAGCGTCCGAAGCAGCGCACCCATACCACTTTACAGACAGAGGGAGGTACAAAATGAAAAATGAAACGGCAAAAGGGCACAGTGGGACAAGACCGAGCGAATACAAATGATTTATAATAAATATTCAAGTTGTGTAAAATACAAATTTATTGCTGTAATTACATTACCAACATACAACAAAATATACACACAATAAAGATACAAAAAAAAAAAAAACATTATAAATAAATAAAAATTATCTTAAAATTTAAAACATAATTTTAAAATCAATTTCGTTAAACAATAATTTTTTTATTGGTTTATTTAAATTTACAAATTTATTCTTATATTGGAAAAACCAACTGATTTAACATAACAAGGTGAAGACTGTAGTAGCACAGTTTCAATCCCAACCCAACCAGTATTGTGCCACTATACCTACTCTTCACACACTGCAGTGGGGAGTACAACAATAACAATGGAACACATACCACTGTCCTCCTTTCTTTCCCCTTCCTCTTTGGCCGTCTGTTTCCGACAAGCACAACTAATAATAAAGAAAAGCCGATCCGATCCGTTGCAAAAAAGAAGGAAGGGGGAAAGAGAAAAGAGGTGAAGGAGGCCTAGGTAGGCTGGCGCTTTGGTGGTTGAACGAAAAAAAGAAGATGAAGTATAGCAACAATCGGGCGGTAGACATTCGAGTGTACAGACACAGAAAACTGGATTTGGTCGCGTATTTTTTTCAAGGGAAGGGGACAAAGTCGGGGTGGTTGAAACCCACACGCATACACATGCCCGCCAGCTGTAGCCTCGATTTATGTTTTTTTTTTCTCGTTTGGCTGTGTCCGCTGACTGCTGTCGTTTCATTCCAACCCCAAGCAACGATAGGGCATCCCACTCGCACGCGCTCTCCGGCACGGGCCGCCATTAGTGCCATTGCACTCGCACCCATCCATTTCGGTATAGAGAAAAGTTATTAGTCGGAGAAACGGGTTCGTTCATGCCCAGCTGCCTCACACACACACTCACACAATCCCGACACATGCGCACTTCATTTTGTTTCCGAATGCTGCCGTAGAGTTGTCGCTGGGGCGCGCGGTTCATTTCGAAAATAAACTTGGCGGCGTGCGGTTCTTGCGCTCTGCGTTCGCGTTCGTGTCGTGCATGTGTATTTGATGGAGAAAAGTCTCGCGCCGACGCGACGCACACACACACTGCCAGTGACCCATTCGTATTTATTTATTTATTTTTATTTGCGACAACTGCACATCTGTGGTGGCGGTTAGTGAATGCAATAATACTATAATACTCAATGAAAATGAGGAGGAACGGAAATATTTACGGGTGTCGCGACGTTAGCGACGTAAGCAGGCCGCTGAAAAATGTATCGAATAGTGGAGAGTATCATCGCCTGGAATAAAAACAACGCGAGAAACCAGAAACACAAAAAACAAAAGAAGCTAATACACAATTAATGCTGTGCGGCGTCTAACGTTGTCGTCGTCGTGCTCTTTTTTTATGTAAGATCGCGTGCACAGGTGCCTCTAAGTATGAATATACCCTGTAACCAAACAAATTAAAACGATAAAACTAAATAAGAGGAGAACCATATTTTTTGAGACGCTGCTGTCGTCGGCGCATGCTCTTTGCATGTTGTTTGCTGTCCCGCATTGTTGTCATTCCTCCCTGCCTCTTCATTTTTCTTTTCCTTTCTGCCTCTTCTCCTGTTTCTGCCGCTTTTCTGCTACCTCTTGCAACTCAATTTTCGGTCGAAGGGGAAATCAAATGATTTTGATTTCATTCATCACACACATTAGCACGCACTCGCACAGTGGAGACAAACCAGTCTTTTGACTGCAAGTTGAAACTGCTGCTGAGTCTCCACTTCAATTCCGAATTCGGAAATCCACCACCGAATACCAGGGGTAATTGTTTATGATTCGAGGGGATCATCTCGAAACGGTTGTTAAGCCTATGGCATTGGAGACTCAGCATTTTTGGCCCGCAATACAGGTCTTTCAACCTGACCCCCTGAATTTCACTATCGTGGTTCTACGGCAAAACACAACCCATACATAAGTAATGTCGCCTACTCCCACTTAAACATCTTCTCTGCGTAGGATGACGAGGGGAAGGATTGACAGACGGGGAGAGCAGGATAGCTGGCACAGAGCAATGATACTAAAAATAGAAGTTATGGGCACAGGCAACTCTGACAAGTGACCTGCTTTAAACATACATACAATACATATATTTGTGTATTGCATGCATAAATGCTAAACGGTAAATTTTTAGTAGGTCACGGAACATAATAAATTTACGAGTTGATTTGCAAAGGAAGTGCCAAGGATAGAGTTCTCTCAATATACACCATAAATTTCTTTAGACAGTTTAAAACTCATTTCGAAGGATAATGTTTGGCTTATTAATTAACTTAACTTAAAGAGGCTTGTATAGGTTTTTTGTATTCCCTGTTTCACTTCAATGTTGTCCAGTGTAACTATAATGGTCACCCAAATCAAAGCGTATCTCGTTCCGTCGCACTTTTTCGTTTCAATTTTGTTTTCGTTTTCTTTGCCGTTTTTGGACTGTGAGTGCATTATTACACGATCCCGTCTTTGTCTTTCTCAATGATCGCCCGTCTCTTTTGCTCCTCCTGCTCTCTTTCCCCGTTCCTCTTTGGAGTGCGAGTGAGAGTCCGAGCGCATGCATGGTAAATCGGTCTCCTACTACCTTGCTCCCCTGCCATCTTGCTATCCCCACTCTCCCAGCCCTCTGGGATCACCTCTCTTTGGCGGGAGTGACTTGGAGTCTTAGTCCGTTGTTGTGGGGCTTGTTGGTCAAGCACTAAAAGAACATGAAGCATGCCCCACGCATTAGGAGCCGCCCCAAGTGTGTCTGTGTTTATTTGTGTTTGTTTACGATGTTTACTGACCGACCGATCCTATTCTTCGTTTATTTTTTTCAGTGCGGTCACGAAAAGTGAATCAACAGGAGAAGCAACAAAAACTCGCACACCACCATCTTCACCCATTACTTCGGCAGCAGGCGCAAACGCAACCCTAAAGGGCACCTCCACCTCTCGCGAGGATCCCCAGCGACCGCTTAGGTGCTTGGAAACACTTGCCCAAAAGGCGGGAATCAGCTTCGACGAGGACGTCGTCAGTGGATCCTTAGCCTCTCAATCGCCCACCACCAAGACACGTCTGGCAGTCGCGACGCCACCTATTCGACGACGCCATCCTCTGCTGCCGCTCAGTTCACCTACAACCCCTAACTCGAAGTCGCGCGGCCACAAGCTGGAGAAGTCACAAAGTCCCGCCCAGCAGGTGGCGGCCGCCACCACCGTGCCGATCCAAATCTCCCCCGAGCAATTGCAACATTTCTACGCCAGCAATCCGTATGGCATCCAGGTGAAGCAGGAGTTCCAAACGCACACGGCTGGCGGAGGAGGAACCGAGCTGAAGCATGCCACAAACATCCTGGATGTGCAGCAGCAGCTGCAGCTGCAACAGCAGCTATCCGAGGCGAGTGGCGGAGGCGCAGCCCCGGGCGCCTCCGGCGGAGCACCTAGTCCGGCCAACTCGCAGCAGAGCCAGCAGCAGCAGCACTCCACCGCCATCAGCACCATGTCGCCAATGCAGTTGGCGGCGGCAACCAGCGGAGTGGGCGGGGACTGGACGCAGGGCAGGACGGTGCAGCTGATGCAGCCGTCGGCCGGCTTTTTGTACCCGCAGATGATTGTGTCCGGCAACCTGCTGCACCCAGGCGGCCTGGGCCAGCCGCCCATCCAAGTGATCACAGCCGGCAAGCCCTTCCAGGGCAATGGCCCCCAGATGCTCACCACCACGACGCAGAACGCCAAGCAGATGATCGGGAGCCAGGCGGGGTTCGCCAGCGGCAACTACACAACCTGCATTCCGTCGAACCAACACCAGTCGCCCCAGACACTGCTCATCTCGCCGGTGAACGTCATCTCGCACTCGCCGCAGCAGCAGCAGAACCTGCTGCAGTCGATGGCCGCCGCCGCCCAGCAGCAGCAGCTGACCCAGCAGCAACAGCAGCAGCTCACGCAGCAGCAGCAGCAGCTCACTCAGCAGCAACAGCAGCAGCAGCAGCAGCTGACAGCTGCGCTGGCGAAGGTGGGGGTGGACGCGCAGGGCAAGCTGGCCCAGAAAGTGGTCCAGAAGGTGACCACCACCAGCAGCACTGTGCAGGCGGCCTCGGGACCAGGATCCGCTGGGACGGCACAGACCCAGCAGGTGCAGCAGGTCCAGCAGCAGCAGCAGCAGACCACCCAGACCACTCAGCAATGTGTCCAGGTCTCGCAGTCGACGTTGCCAGTGGGAGCAGTGGGAGTGGGTGCCCAGTCCGTCCAAACGGCCCAGCTCCTGAATGCCGGACAGGCGCAGCAAATGCAGATCCCCTGGTTTTGGCAGAACGCAGGTGGCCTCCAGCCCTTCGGCTCGAACCAGATCATCCTGCGCAACCAGCCGGACGGGACACAGGGCATGTTCATCCAGCAGCAGCCAACCACGCAGACCCTGCAGACCCAGCAAAATCGTAAGAAACCCCATAAATTATCTATCATTACAAGGGAAGTAATTTGAATTTGAATGTTCCGACACAGAGATCATCCAGTGCAATGTGACCCAAACGCCCACCAAGGCCCGCACCCAACTGGATGCACTGGCTCCCAAGCAGCAACAGCAGCAGCCGCAGCAGACGGGGAGCACCAACCAGACGCAGCAGCAGCAGCAGCAACAGCAGCAACAGCTGGCCGTGGCCACCGCCCAGTTGCAGCAGCAACAGCTCACGGCAGCAGCTCTGCAGCGACCAGGAGCCCCGATGATGCCCCACAACGGCACCCAGGTGCGTCCGGCCAGCTCCGTGTCCACACAGACGGCCCAGAACCAGAGTCTGCTCAAGGCCAAGATGCGCAACAAGCAGCAGCCGGTGCGCCCCGCTCTGCCAACCCTGAAAACCGAGAATGGTCAGGTGGCGGGTCAGAACAAGGTAGTGGGTCACCTGACCACAGTGCAGCAGCAGCAGCAGGCGACGAATCTCCAGCAGGTGGTCAACGCGGCGGGCAACAAGTGAGTGCATTCCATGTGATTCTGGTGATTAAACTAACTATTTACTGACCTCCGCAGAATGGTTGTGATGAGCACGACGGGCACGCCCATCACCCTCCAGAACGGGCAGACCCTCCATGCGGCGGGAGTGGACAAACAGCAGCAGCAGCTGCAGCTGATCCAGAAGCAGCAAATCCTACAGCAACAAATGTTCCAGCAGCAGATTGCTGCCATCCAGATGCAGCAGCAGGCGGCAGCCCAGGCCCAACAGCAGCAGCAAGTGACCCAGCAGCAGCAGCAGCAAGTGAACGCCCAGCAGCAGCAACAGGCGCAACAACAGCAACAGCAAAGGGAGCAGCAGCAGCAGCAGCAACAGCAAGTAGCCCAGGCGCAAGTGCAGCACCAGCAGCAGCAGCAGCAGGCGCTGGCCAACGCCACTCAGCAGATCCTGCAGGTGGCGCCCAACCCCTTCATCACGTCCCACCAGCAGCAGCAGCAGCAGCTCCAGCACCAGCTGATCCAGCAGCAGCTGCAACAACAGGCGCAGGCGCAGGTGCAAGCCCAGGTGCAGGCGCAGGCGCAGCAGCAGCAACAGCAGCGCGAGCAGCAGCAGAACATCATCCAGCAGATTGTGGTGCAGTCGGGCGGGACGACCGCCCAGCAGCAGCAGCAGCAGCAGGCTCAGCAGCAATCCGGACAGCTGCAGCTGAGTAGCGTGCCATTTTCGGTGTCTTCGGTGTCCACGACGACGCCAGCCGGGATAGCCACTTCCAGCGCCCTGCAGGCTGCCCTCTCTGCCTCCGGCACCCTCTTCCAGACCCCCAAGTCCGCCAGCTCCTGCAGCTCCTCCCTGCCCACCAGCGGAGTGGTCACAATTACGAACCAGAGCAGCACTCCGCTGGTCACCAGCAGCACGGTGGCCACTCTGCAGCAGGCGCAGGCACAGGCCCAAGCTCAGCTGCAACAGCAGCAGCAGCAGCAGCTGATCACCGCCACCTTAGCCGCCGCCACTCAACAGCAGCAGCAGCAGGGGCCACCTTCACTCACCCCGACCACGCCCTCGCCCTCCACCAATCCCATCCTGGCCATGACCTCGATGATGAACGCCACGGTGGGTCACCTGGCCACTACTCCGCCCGTGACTGTGTCTGTGACCAGCACCGCAGTCACTCCGTCGCCGGGTCAGCTGGTCACGCTCAGCAGTGCCAGCAGCGTAGGAGGAGGAGGAGGAGTGGGAGTGGGAGGCTTCCCGGCCACGCCCTCCAAGGAAACACCTCCGAAGGGGCCGACTGCCACCCTGGTGCCCATTGACTCGCCCATGACGCCAGTAGCAGCACACGACTCCTGCAGCACGGCCAAGTCCTCCACTCCCGCCACCGCCAGTGCGTCCAGCAGCTCAGTGGAGGCCAGCAGCTCCACGAGCGATGCTCTGCCCAACGGAGAAGCGACGGACAGGGCCTCCACGCCCTCGAAGGTCGCCGTCACTCCGACGAGCAAGCAGAGCAGCGCGGTGCAGCCGACCAGCAGCACCAACAGCACTCCCAACAGTGCTGCTGGCAAGGAGGAGCCCAAGGGTCTCCAGTCAGTCTCCGCCAGTTGCACGTCCGCAGCAGCGACGCCAACCACGACAACGGTTAGCGGGATCAACGGGATTGGCCAAGGGATTGGGACCAAGACGACAGCGAGCACCACCGTAACGACCGGCACCACCGCTAGCACGACTACCGCGACCTGCAGCAGCACTTCGTCCACGACCAGCAGCATCACGACCACCAGCACCACCACTACGACGACGAGCAACAACGGGGCCAAGGATCTGCCCAAGGCGATGATCAAGCCGAATGTCCTCACCCACGTCATAGACGGCTTCATCATCCAGGAGGCCAACGAGCCTTTCCCCGTCACCAGGCAGCGATATGCGGACAAGGACGTCAGCGATGAGCCGCCAAGTGAGTATTCATGCCTCGGCCACTCCGAAGTGATCTTATCCTCGCATTGCTCTTTTGTAGAGAAAAAGGCGGCCATGCAGATGCAGGAGGACCTCAAGCCGGGTGGAATGGCGTCGGCTCCAGCCTCGGACATGGTTGCGTGCGACCAGTGCGGGAAACTGGAGCACAAGGCGAAGCTCAAGAGGAAGCGCTACTGCTCGCCGGCTTGTGCCAGGCAGGCGAAGAACGGAATCGGAGGGGAAGCAGGGGAGACCAACGGCCTGGGGACGGGCGGAATCGTTGGCGTGGACGCCATGGCGCTGGTGGACAAGCTGGACGAAGCCATGGCCGAGGAGAAGATGCAGACGGAAGCCCTGCAGGCGATGTCCGAAGGAACTCCCACTGCCACTCAGTTGCCACCCACTGAGGTGGCTCCCATGCCACTGCCTGTGCTGGCGGCCATTCCAGTCGCTCCGTGTGCGCTGCCTCTGGCATTGCCGCTGCCGATCTCCGCGATCTCTGGGATCCCTGCCCCTGCAGCTGTTGCTCCTGCTCCTGCGGTGGCGGCCACGTCCTCGAGTGTCAACGGAACAGACCGTCCGCCCATCAGCGGCTGGAGTGTCGAGGAGGTCAGCAACTTCATTCGGGAGCTGCCTGGGTGCCAGGACTACGTGGACGACTTCGTCCAGCAGGAGATCGACGGCCAGGCGCTGCTGCTGCTCAAGGAGAACCACCTGGTGAACGCCATGGGCATGAAGTTGGGCCCAGCCCTCAAGATAGTGGCCAAGGTGGAGTCCATGAAGGAGGTTCCGCCGCCCGGCGATGCGAAGGATGGGGTGGCCGGAGGAGTGCAATAGTGTCAGCGTGGTGAGCCGGGTGAGATGATGCCGTCGCCCTCGTACTCGATCACCCCGCCCCCGTATTCGCCGGTGGGTCCGGGGCTGGATCGGCGACCCGCCGCGACTCCCACTCCCGCTCCCGCTCCCGCTGGCACTCCGCCGGAGTCCGAGGACAGCAGCGGGGGCAGTCACCTGTGCTTCGACCTGACCACGCGCCTCTGCCACGACCTGCGGCTGGAGGAGGAGCCGTAGCTCTGGACTGGGTCTAACCTGGCACAGCCTGGTCCCACCTGGTCCAGGACCAGCCAGCCAAGCTGAATCTGATTCACTTGCAGCGAACAGTGTTACTTTTGTACGTAATTTAAACTAAAGTCTAAAGGGGTGGTGCATAGCTCGAGAATAAGGCCGCCGCATGTAGGATAGTGCATGGACTGCTATCCCAGTCATCAAGAATCAAGAATCATCGATTGTACAGAACTCAGAACTCACCCGTACACCGTACACCTAAGCGCAAACGTATTTATTGAAACGTTAATCATTACACAACTCGCAGTGGGAAGAGCAAGAAAATCACTTAAACTATAGGTAAGCGGGAGTACATTTAGATTTGATTAACGAATAAGCCTGAAGTAATTCCTAAGTGAAACTGAATTGAATGCGTCATCTGACCACCTAATTTATTTAAGGGGAGATCGAAAGAGTTGTCCGATGAGCTATCACTTTCATAGATAGTGTACGTATTTTATTTCTTAATCAAGAGTTAGGAAGTTATGGGGGTCGACTGAAATTACAAATATTCTTAGGTAATCATAAAAACATGACACGAGTATCTGAGTATATATAAAGATATATTTAATTTTTTTTTCGAAAGTTCCGTGGTTGTATTAACTTATTTTTTTCCTATTGCTGAACAAAATAAAAACTTTTACTGTATAGTGTTTAACGAACGTAAACATTAAATATCGAGTTTTATTGACAACGGCTCCATAAATAGCAACTTTGTAACTCCTTTCCGTTTGAACGTTGAGTTGAACTGAACCACCTGAAAATTAAAAGATACAAAAACAATTTCGTTTTCGGAAAGGTTATTTGTAATAAGGTTTATTCAATATGTTTTCCTTTCAAATATGCAGACACATAAAAATGTTGATTATATCTTTTAGAATCGCTATTATCCGTATAATGTTTCGAACAGCTATGCTCATTAAAGTTACATTTTAATTCGTAATAATATTCTGTGGCTGGTAAAGTTTTTATGTTTGTTTAGCGCTTGCAGATTGATTTACATATAGATTTGCTTCAACATTACAACGACTTTTGTTTTGTCTAAAACTTATTTGGTGTTGACTTGTGTCTTGATTTCTTCGATCGATTTGTTGCGTTTATTTAATTAGTTCCCTTTACGATCTAAAGCTACGAAAACGTTTGTTGCGATTATCGCTGTTCGTCGTGGGCTTGTTTACCATTTGTTGTGGATTTTACCTATAGTTCCAATCATATCGTCATCGTTCAACAATATTCGCAGTATTTTACATTCACATATCATATATCTAATGCTCTAGGTCGGTTATTATTTTGTAAGCAAAAAGAACTACTAGTTACTTCTTGTATGTATATAGATATATATTTGCTTTTTCGTTTCTCACCGGATTCAATGGGAATGTCACCGAGCATTGCGCCGTAATTTCTCCCTAATTATATACTATTCATACTCCATATGGTATATGGTACTATAACACTTGTATTATGCAAATTGGCAACATTTGAACAAAGAAAACGTCGTCTTTTTTTTGTATTTGGTTTGTATTCTTGCAACATCGAAACCGCACCGAGGTTTCGTTAAATATCGAACAACTTGTTATCGTTAAATATCGAACAACTTGTTATCGGATTATGAACACGGGGTGAGGTTGGGGTTGGGGTTGAGGTTAAGGTGCTCCGTGTGGTTGCACGGCTCACAGACGTATGTACTTGAGGGGGATTCGTGGTTTCGGTTTCGGTTTGGGGTTCTGGGCTCGGGGATCGGAAGAAATCGGCTGAGGTCCGAGGTTTTTGGGGGCTGAGGCTCTACCCGCGAATATTGTTATCTAAAGTAAGTCACTTAAGCAATTGATACTTGGTGTTTGCTTTTCTATGGTTAGTTGGTGTATGGTTTACATTTCAATATCGCCTAGATACAATTTAAGAGTTAATTAAGTTTAAAGCGTTTCCTTGCTCTTGGTTTTTGGTTTTGGTTTTTGGTTTTTGGTTTTTGGTGTTTGGTGTTTGGTTCTCCTTGTCTCCCTGTTGCGTATTAACTTCGTTTTTGATTACTGTTTACTCTTGTTAATCTTAACATCGTTGTTTAAAATGTTGTGTGGTCTGATGTCTTCGATGAGGCCTATTGGTGTTTTGTTGCGAGTTGGCTTTTGACTTTGGCAATCCTTCCATCCTCTCCTTGCTGCTCCTTCCTTGGGACTTATCCGTTCCCCGCATCCGGTTTCCGATCGCTATATGCTATAGAAAAAATCCTTATCCTGCCCCCATTTCGGGAACAAACAAAACGTGTCCTCAGCGGGACTCACAAACAGATTCACCTTCGTTCTTGGGGGCCACTAGGTCGCCGCCCAGTCGAAGCCAGGCTTCGACGTATTCCATTTGAATTATCGTATTATAGGCTATAGGCTATAGGCTAACTATATAAAGTACTAGATCACGCACTTACACACACGTTCGTCGTCCGATCGGGGTCGTCCCATCTCGAGCTGGTGCTCGATGGCTCAGATGGTGGGTGGAAGATCGTGGGTAGAAGGTTGGGGGTCAGGGGTCAGGGGTCACTTCAGATTCAGATTTAGATTTAGATTTAGATTGCAGATTCGAGTGGGACGTGGGGTGAACACATGAGTACTTATTGTTCTAATCGAGAGACGGGGGGAGTGGCTCCCTCCCCTCCCTTCTGTGCGTCCGTGGCTTCAATCTTGGTTTAATCTTGGTCGAGGCATTTCGCTATAATGCTATTTCCCTATGTAACAGTGCGTGCTTCGGTATTGTTTCGGTTCGTTGGGGGTTTGTGTCAACTGAATGCGAATTGAGAATTAAAAAAGCAGAAGCGTTCAACAAACATGCAGGGAAAATAAATAAAAAATAAGGTGCTTCTTTTCGTGTATCGTATATAAAATTTTTTATTTTTTAGGTATAAATACAAATATAATTTGTGTTTTTTAGGTTTTGTATTCGTTTTTCTGTATGTTTTGTTTCTTTGCAAGATCCAGATAAATAACAATTTAAAGCACTTATAAAAGCATAAGGTAAAATAAGATAAAATAAGGGTATATTTTAAAAATATTACTTAGATTTGCACAATGTTCTAAATGGTTTAAATTTTCTACTGCTGGTATTGTGTTACTCCTTCCTGTATAGCTGATTTTGTATAATTTCTTTTGCAGTGCCCAAGGTACTGTGCTTAAATATTGCATATAGAGTTTACATCCGCTTTAGCGCTTGAAATAAAAAACTTAGTCAAAGAACACACACTCGCACATACACAGAAAGAGAGTGAGAGAGAGAGATGGCGGTAGAGAGAAAGGCATAGAGAGGCACAGACACACGATTATTGAATATGTAACTTCTAAAGTTATAGGTTTCTAAATGGTTTTTTCGATCATTTGAAATGTAACACAATGGGCAAACTTTATAAGATCAATATACAATTAAGATCATACACATACAATCACTAAATTAGCGGGGAAAAACGGGGAAGGGACAGGGGAAAGGTGGATGGGGAAATCAGAGATTGGCTGCTGGAGATATAGATCTGGATCTGGATCTGGATCTGTCGAGCTGAAATCTTGGTCTTCTTATCCTAGCGACGATACGCCTAAGCGCTTTTTAGCTTGCTGTTTACCCTCTAATCTGTTCTGTTCTCATCTGTTCTGTTCGGTTGGCGTCTCTGCTGTCCTGCATTCTGATCTCGGTCGCCTCTGTTCAATTCTGTTCTGTTCTGTTCTCATCTGGCTCTGTTCCTACTGTTACTGTTCTCGCTGTCACTCAAATCACAATCAACGCTTTTTGTATCATTATGTGCTTACTGCCTTAGTTACTCCTCGAGTCCGTCCTCTTTCGATTTTGTCAACACTTAAAACACTAAACAATTGATTTGCATTTGCTTTTTCATCTCATATCCTGCAACCGGTTCACCGACTTCATCTCCGTTTCAACTGAGCTTGTCGCTTTCCAGTTGGAAACATGTACATATTTCCAACAATTGCAAGCGCCAAGCAAGTGGGAACGGTTCTGAGTCCTTTCGTTCCTGCCACTCTTCATAGAAATGTTTTCTTTTTTGGCGGTTCTGCTGCAGTTCCGCCCAGATTGTATCCTTAACTTCCGGTTTGGGTTCTCTTAAAAAACTACTACATAAATATGCCTGGGGTTTTTGGGTTTAGGGCTTCGGGTTTTGGGTTTTGGGTTCTGGGGTTACTGCTTTACGTGTGCAGGGAACACTTACAACATAAAGCGAGACAATTACGTACAACTAAGCATTACACACAATACAATTACAAAAAGTATATAGATTACATATTAAAAAAAAAAAACATAGAACGTGGTACAACAGTAAAACTTAGACAAGGGTTTCGGTTTCTGGGTTTCTGGGTTCTGGGTTTTGGGTTTTGGAGCGGCAAAGCGGCGGGCTAACACTTTAACACCTTAACTGAAATCCACTTGGGGTCTGTGTGCGTGTGGGGGAGTGGGTGGCTGGTGGCTGGTGGGTGGTGGGTGGTGGGTGGTGGCGTGTTAGGGGGCGTCGCGACTTAGAAATTCATTTGTCATGTTTTGCGCGGCGGCGTCGGCGGCGGCGGCAGCGCAGGCGCATGGCTCGGCGGTCGCAGGCCGCTCATGTTCATGTCTTTGGGAATGTTTTTGTATTTTGCTGAAAGATGACGGGACTGGTGAGCAACTTGAGTATGCCAGGTCGCGGCCGCAGCGGCGGCGCCGGCTGCTGCATCTTACCTGCTCCGCCCGGAGCAGTCGCCTGCTCCTCCCGCTGCTGTTGCTGTTGCAGTTGCTGCTGCTGTTGCTGCTGCTGTTGCTGCTGCTTCAGCGAGTCACTGTAAAAGCTCGACTTGCGCATGTTGCCCAGCCCCAAGCCGATGCCGCCCAGCAGGGCGTTGATGTTGCCGTTGCTGCTGTTGCCACTGCCACCACTGCTGCCGTTGCTGTTGCTGCTGCTGCCGCTGATGCTGCAGTGGTTGCCGCTGCTGCCGTTGATGCAGCTGCTGCTGATATTGCCGCTGCCGCTGCCACTGCCAATGCCGTTGTTGTTGTTGCTGTTGCCGCTGCTGCTGTTGCTGTTGTTGCTGGTGTTGCTGTTGCAGCCCATCGCCATCGGCAGCGGCGGCTGCTGCTTGTTACTCAAGGCATGCTTGTTGCTCACGCCCACGCCTACGCCCACGCCCGCGCTCCCGCCCATCCCAGTGCCCGGATCCGCCGATCCGGACGATCCGGGCGTCAACGTCGTCTTAGTCGGTACTAAACTTATGCTAGAAATTGCTGGTGGTAATGGAGATCTTTGTGAATCGTTGCCAATCTCGCCTGTGTACCTGGATGGAGTTGTTGGGAGTCAGTTAGTTACTCAGATGGGATGGGGGATGGGGGATGGCCAATCCACTTACTTTATGTTCGTGTACTCGCGGCCAACCTGCAGGCTCTGCTCCTCGGCTCGCTTCCGGGCGATCAGGGTCTGGATGTAGTGCTGCACCGCGTAGTAGACGAACTTGTACTGCGCCTCCGTTTGCACGAGCCCGGAGCGCTGTGACCGGACCATCTGGATGGTGCGCTGAATGTCGATTTCGGTGTCCAGTCCTGTCGAGAAGATTGGAGGAAGAGGAAGTGTTAGGAGCTCCCCATTTCGGAGGTCTGCCAGTGCATACACTACTTACCATTGCGCACAATCTGGTCGAGGATCATGTCGATCACGATGAAGGTGCCAGTCCGTCCGATGCCCGCCGAGCAGTGCACGCAGATGGGACCCTGAAAGCGGAAAGCAGTTTAGTCAGGAAGCAGTCCAAAGCAGTCGCTCTCAGTCCCACTCACCGGCTTCTCGCCCGCCTGCGTCAGGTGGCTCTGGCGCGTGTTCACGTCCTGCAGGAAGTTGAGCACGCAGCCCGGGTCGGTGGGCACTCCGTGGTCGGGCCACACCTGGAAGTGGTAGTGGAAGATCCGGCGCGCCGGCTGCTCCCGCCACGAGACGAGGAACTCGCGCAGCGTGTAGTCGCTGGTGGAGTTCTCGGCGACGCACTGGATGCGCGCGTGGCCGAACTGCTCCGCCTTGCCCTCGTCCGGCCAGTAGCGGGCGCACTTCTCCTTGCCGCGCTCGTACTCCTTGGTGGTCATGACGATCACGCGCGTGTTCTCCTGCCAGATCATGTTCCAGAAGTCGGTCACCGTGTTCACCTGCGCATTCAGCAGGCAGCCCTGGGTGGCGATGTACGTCTTGAACATCTCCCTCTCCCGCTCTCGCTCGCGCTCGGCCATCGACATGGATCCCGATCCCGAGCCCGAGCCCGATCCCGATCCCGAACCGAAGGAGGAGTCGTTGGAGTGCCTCTTGAGCAGCCCGGCCAGACAGCCGGCGGTGCCGCCCGTGAGGTTGGTGGGTGTGCCGGGTCCGTTGAGGCTGCTGACTCCCGAGGACCCGTTTCCAGATCCCGATCCCGATCCGGATCCGGCGGAGGGCGAGGGCGAGGCCGAGGACTCGCTGCGCTTGTGCTTGCTCAGCGAGTCCGACTTGCGGCTGCAGGTGGCGCAGTTGCTGTACGGCAGCGTGGCGCTCTTGAGGGCGCACTGCACGCAGGTCTTGTTCAGCACCTGGCAGTTGGGGCAGTTGCGCTGCGTCTGGGCCGCCGTGCAGGCGGGGCACGAGGGCACCGAGCTGTTCAGGCTCTCCGAGGAGCTGCTCATGTTGTACAGGTCGCCGTCGGTGGGCAGGCGTATGTAGTTGGCGTTGATGTACTCCGCCCCGGCCACGTTGGGCTCCACGTCCAGCAGCCGCACGCGCGTGTGGTCGTCTAGTTTGGGCGAATGGGAAAACCAGGAGGACGGGAAGTGGGTTAGTGATGCGTACTACCGAGCTGGCCGAGCCAACTGCTCCATCAGGGGACTTAAGTGCGACAGTACTTACATGGCAATATGTTGCGGTAGCGGTTCTTCATGCGGTTCTCCTGCTTGTAGCCCTCGTTGCGCGAGAACGTGTCCCGACTGTCCTGCTGCAGCGACTCGAACTCCTCCCAGAAGCCTCCCTGGAAAGCGGAAATCGAAAGCGGGATGAGTAAGCTCAGAGCTCCAGGGTTCAGGCTGCAGGCACCACTCACCTTGACCAGCTGCTCCACCCGGGCGTTTATTCCGGCCGCCGTGATCCGCGTGGCGTTGAACGGCTGCCGCAGGTGCACCACCGTGCCACACGTCTCCACCATGGGATTACGCTTGTAGTGCTCGATCAGCTTCGACAGGGTGGCGAACGACTCGCCGCCGCCGACGTCGTACTTCTTGTCCTGCAAAGGAGGGAATCGGTTCAGTCGGTTCAGAACTGATCGAACTAGTCTAGTGATCAGTGATCACCGATCAGTGATCAGGGATCAGGGTGTTCAAATGCGGGGCACGTGGGGCGCGGGTTCGGTGGTGGGGCGTCAGCAGATTAGCTAATACATAATGCCAAAAAACGTGACTGCAATGTCGAATTGGAAAAAGGCCAGCTAGACGTGTAAATGGCATAATTGCAACCGCAAACCGCAAACCGCAAAAACCAAATTTATAGTATTGGTGGAAAAGTTGGTTTGGGGAATTACGTTGAAACTGGAACTGCACTGGCACTGCTTGACTAGACTGAAGCTCCTGCTGCAAAAGCAGTTTGCAGTTTACAGTTTGCGTGCCCAAGGCAAGCAGTGGATTCAAACAGTAAGCTCTCGTGAGAAAAACTTTTTTTCGCACTTTTTCCAATCTTTAATCTACAGCACTTCTATTGCAACCAAATGAATGATGAAGATAGAGAACCCATCCTTCACTTTGTCGAACTTAGGCTGGTTGGACTGTACAGCACAGCTAATAAATGCACACTTGCCCATATGTGTGTCTCGACTGTGGAGCCAAGGTCGAGCGATGAGGAACTTTATGGGCAGAGCGGCTTTGTTGCTGTGCTGGCATCGATTTGCATTTGTCTTTTGCACCCTCCGGGGGAGGGGCAGGGGAATCTGGTTAGGTTGCTGGTTACATGTTCAGCTAACTTACCTGCCATCGAATCATGACATGCGTTACTTTGTCGTCCGTCCGCACGGAGAGGACGAAATCGCCAGGCTTGCTCTGAGATTCACGGACGAGGAAAGAACCATTCTTGCCACGCTCCAGGATCAATTTTTCCGCTTCCTTTCCGGAAAGATTGCCATGAAACCATCTGCAAAGAGGGACAGCAAAAATTTCGTTACTATTGTCAGCAGTTCGGGTGTTATATACGGGTTATTTTCGGGCAGGTTATATCTACCGATCGGAGGCGCATCCACTGGGTAAACCAAGCGATTGACTGACTGAATGACTGAGTGCTCCAATGGCAACTACGTGCGCGCTTGAAATGCAATTACAAACTATACGAGAAGCGCGCAAAAGCGCAAAATACTAACGCCAAAAACAACAACGCCCGTAAAAACAGCTAAAACTACAACAACAACAGCAACACACCAAGAGCAACCGCAATACCAGCGAAAAGCAACAACAACTACAACTAGGAACCAGGCAGCGCAAATACAAATCGAACGTAGGTACAGTCAAGACTGGGGGGGTGACCCTGTTTGGGTTCCAACAACATCTCCGGTGGCAAATTAAGTGGTTGCTCTCTGAGTGGGTGGAGTTCTCCTAAGCTCCAGCTTCGATCCATCAATATAGTAATATTTTTACGTACTGACTTAAGGGGGCTTCACTCTAACATGTACGTGCTAAGGCACACACCAGCAAAAGTTCGAAGAAAACAGTCAAATGCAAGGCGACAGTGGCAATAACAACGGCAACGGCAATAGTGGCAAAAGTGGCAACAGCACAACATCACGCATACGCCGTGTGGAAAAGCGCAAGTTGAATCGAAGCCAGCTACTGGAGGCCCGGGACTTATAAGTCGACCCGACTGGCCTGCTCGGCTCAGTACTGCAGTGTTGACAGACTTGAGGCTGCTGTCATCGCCATGGCAATTGCAATGGCAATTGCAATTGCACTCTGCTACTCTGCTATGTGACATAGAAAAAACGCGGCTAAATCGAGCCTAAAACACAGTCGAAACAAAAGCAGCAAATGAGTTTGGATGGGCCATCGAGAAATTGTAACTCCAAGCTAACCCCTACTGCAAAACTCTGAATTCGAGTAGATGGGAGTTACAAGTTAGTGAAATTCGCACTTTTGTTTGAACAACTCCTTCCACTGCCCTACGGTTCGTTCGTTGTTTTTGCTCTTCTACTCATTTGCATAAATAACACTAACTTATAAAACTAGATCTGAATGCCATTATCGGCCATGTGCTGCTGTTGTCTTATATATCTATGAGCCCGCTTTCGAGTTCGTCGCCACCAACCGAACAAGAAAAATACGGAATTCGAGCAAAAGCTAGAAACAATTGACAACATTGGGGGGTTGTCCTTAAGCCGGTTTCAATTTAGTGCCTTTGGGGTCATAGATATCATAAAATATGTCATCGCGAACGCGAGAATATGGGTGGTGGCAGGGAGACTCGACTCATGTATAATGTATGCGACAGCATAGAAGTGCCGAGTACTACTTCCCCCGGATATCCCCTCTACACGGAAAACGAAATGTGAGTCGTTCTCTAACAGGTAATCGCTTAGGAAAGGTTTTTCTCGTGAAGTAGCAGCCTTATAGATACATTTTTCTATGATTATGATAAAATAATAAAAATGTTTTCTTTGCATATTGATTGATTTTAGCCAGCTAAATCAATTTATCTTCCGTGTGATTGTGTGTGAAGCTGGTTTGCCTATTAATAGAAATTCATGTAGAAACAATTAACATTACATTAGAGCCACACACAGTCGTGCATTTCAATGCTGTCCGTCTGTCTCCCTCTTTCCTCTTTCGCCGTCTCGCTCTCTCGCTCTGCTTTGTAGCCTGTTACAGATTCAAGGTGGACCAAACTCGATCGGCTGAGAGTGATAAGAATACGTTTTACAGGTTTATTTTTAGCAAATCGGAAGAATAAAAACCTACTGTGCTGTTGATCGCTGCTTTCTGGAACGAAGACCGGCTAAAACTGCTTAAAATATAACGGAACTACAAAAACTGCTTGCTGTAGGTACAGTACCGCTATTAGATAAAGCTTCAAGCTAGATTTGTTTGAAGAAAAAAAAGAGGTATTCTTATTTATTTCCGTTTTACCAAATCTTTGGCAATATTTATAAACTGCGCGTTCTTTCCGATGATTCAAAATCTACTAAATGTATATATATGCGTCTGTGTTCAGAAAGGTTTTTGCGATATTTGCACAAAACAATTCACAGTTTTCGAACCATGTCTATTAGCACATTTGCGTGTTGTTAAGCCGATCTTTTATTTGCGATCATCGAATTCGAATTCGTGTACTCATTGCCCTCTGGCGTCTGACCCCGTGAAATCGAGTTGAACTTAGCAATTATCGCACCCCACATCGACTAAATCTCTCATGTCCTTTGTGTCATTCTGCCAAACTTTGTCTCCACCCATGTTTCTGTGTTGATCTTTAATTTTAGCACCGTGACGATAATATAACACAGCACAAATTAATTTAACTGCACTCTCTTGCCGATTTAAATCGGACAGACTGGGGGGTTGAGTAAATCGCAGTCGACAAAAATATCAACAGAAGCATTACCTCCAGGGCGGAGTACGTCAGTGAAATTTCACAACTTTTTGCATCATTTACAGTTACATTTACAGGCGAAATTTCGAATGTGATATATTTACATACGAAGGAAGCTGCGCGCCATTCATGAAAGCGCCGCCTAAGGTCAACAAACAGATTTACATGCACACCCGAGTATGAATATTGTGTCGTGTTTTCGGTGTACATGTATGAATTTCTGACTGTTTTGATCGTTGCGTTTGTCACGGGTTTGCTTATTTGTTTGTGTGCCAACGCACCTGGAAAGGCAGCAAAACGACTGTTTACGGGGGGCTCGGAATCGCTGAGGCCTTCATTAAATTAACTTCTTGACTCGGAAAGGTATTGAAGTGCTGATTCTCCATACCCTAACTGCCCACTCACAAGCAGTGCGCGGAGTTGAGCCAAGAAATCAAGCAGTCCCGAAAAGTACAGTACACTCAAAATGTTATTGTAGATAAAATGGTATTTCATGTGGTATATAAATAAACTAGTTTATAAAGAAAAGTATATACGCAGTATATAGCCGTAAACTTTCCGCGAAGTTTTTCCCCTTGCTGTTGGGTTTTTCCCCTCAGAGCATCTTGTAGTCGGCCGGTCGCATGAATTTGTACAAATTAAAGCGCTTTATTTGATCAGCAGCAACAGCACACGGTTGTGCAATGGAAAATTCGAAAATATGCGAAACAGAAAGCAGCGCTCAAAACCATTACGAGAAATGCGGCTCTATGAATAGTTGATCATCGGTACACCGAAGAAAAACAAAAGTGGAGACAGATTAATAGAGAGGTGGCACAATAAAAGGCATGGGTGGTGAAGCAGGGGGTAAGAGACTGCCCTAGTTCCTAATTCCCTAATTCTCAGATCATTTGAGAGAAAGATAATGGTGAAGAAGAAGAACCCTATACATATTTCACTATAATCTTGTATGTCTTTTCTAAAAATGCAACTATCAGCTAATTTGCAAGTTCGTTGCGTTTTACCTCCGGGTGTTGTAAAAGTAAGGAATACCCACAGGTCAACTTAACAAGCCAATCAACACGGCCACCCATAATGAATCAATCCCGATTGGAGCCCAACTAAAAGTCAAAGATTATTTATGGGACACTGTTCTCGGTGGGTATACAACAAAATAGAAACATTCTCCGAAATGGAAATGTGCGAACCCAGACTTCCAAGACAGGGGGCAGCCCACGCAACTCAAAAACAGACGGCACTCGGCACAAGCCGGGCAGATAAACAGCGGAATCTGGTGGCGGGCGAGATGGAATCTTTGCGGAATGCCGACGTTTGGTAAACACTCTCTGTGCGAGTGAGGAGATAATTCCCGACTGGCAGTGGGCCAAGATACGGGTCTGGGTCTGCAGTGGGCGTTTCGCCGAACTCTGCCGCTGCTGCCAGTGCCTAGTTTCGTTGGGGATCCCACCCACCTCACCTACAACTCAATCTACGGTTCTAAGTGTAGAGTCAACATGCAACTTCGGCTTGACAACGGGCAGTTTATAAAGGGGGCAACCATATACGATCTGCCCGATCTGAGGCCCATTCCATTCTATTTCGAATGGCCCCCTTCACTCGGCGGGCATTCATTCATGATGGAACGCCAATTAGGCCTTTTTTCCCCGAACGATGGCTCGCTTTTTGTAGAATGCTTTGCGTAAATATTTACTCATTTTGCGTGGCAATTTTGAGCACATGACAGTTTGTGTTTGTGTTGGGTCGGACTGTTTTTGTTTTGTATCGGCGTCAACTGCCTGTGATTGCCTGCCTTATTAGGGTTAATGCTAATGGGCGGCAGATTGGCTCCGGACTTCGCTCGAATCACTTGCTACCCTTCGCCATGTGACTGACGAGCAGGCCGGCTGACGAATGCGTTTAAGCCGCGCGAAATCGCGGCCCTTCTCCGATTCTCCCTGTTTCCGCGTATCGTAAAGATCTCGTTCAAACCTAGCAACCTTAGATACATTCAATGCTGAATTTTCCCGTTTCAGAAAGCAGGGTATTCGGGTTTTATTCGGCGATTTTGCCCCGCACAAATTGATAATTCGCACATTGATAACAATTAGCATTTAATTTCGCACGCGCCCCAAATCAGTTGATTACGTTCGCGGATTCGATTACTGTTTCTGTGTTTTGTTTTCTGGCTTCGCGGCTTCGCAACTTACGTGTAGCCCAGGAGCTGCACGCGCATGGTGGCCAGGAGGGTCAGGGTGCTGGTGGAGCAGCTGGCGCCGCCGAAGGCTGCCGGGAACTGGGGCGGGCTGGCTGTCCAGGAGGTGGGCGTGGCCGGGTAGGAGGTGCTGGAGGCCTGGGGACTCGGGCTGAGCCGGTGCAGCGATTCCGTGGACGTGGAGGTGGAGGAGGGGGAGGGCTGGGCGGACAGGGGACGCCGTCTCCTGTGCAGGCGGTTGCTGGGGCTCTGCATCCCGGTGGCCTGGTGGCGAGTGGCTCCGGCCACGCCCCTGATGATCTGGGCCAGCTCGTCGTGGGTCATGCAGTTCTTGCAGGCCGTTTCCTGGGCCTCCGCTTCCGCTGGAGAG